GGCAATGAAATTACAGACTTGGACGCTTTACGCTCCCCGTGTATGTACCTGGTGCTGATTTTGTTAATAAGTGGCTGTTATCATTGACCGTCAGGTAAACTGTCAGCTAGCTGTATTGAGCGGCGAACAATCAATATCTAGAATTATAATAACGATGAGACGTTCCGACAATTAGCTTAATGTTATAACGAATAGTCCGTTACAGAGCAGGGGCATTCTCTGATAAATATTTATATTGCCCGCCTACACATGGTAGATGTTCAGCGCGAAATGTTTCCGATTGCTACCACGAGGCCTCATATTATAGATAATTTGCACGAAACGTTTTTAAATATACAAACATTTACTACCGTTTGTTTAATTTTTACATAGTCTGGATGACTCATTAGCGGGTTACCGTGATTCGTTATTAGTATTTGGTATAATAGTAAATTGACAATGCAGTGTAGAGCCGACTAATTTTTGGCGTTGTAAGTTGTGATCAGTCCACAGAATGGTCAAACAGACTTCAGTGGATATTATTATTACACCATTTCGTTTGTACTCGTACACAGGGTGGCGTTAGGCTCTCAGGTAGTAAGGTTACGTTTGTGTCTCAAATAAGATGCCAGTTGTAAAACATTTTAGAGACAGTGATTGAAAATCAACGTTAATAGTGTGAATAATTGCTACCTGGGATGCGTCCACGAGTTTCCAAACGCTACTAAATCGCCAGTTTGTCGATGCTAAAGTGTCGTATGTACTTGGGTTCGTACATTTGTTGGTGGTTCGCAATCGTTGTACTTAGTCATGTCTGCTTAACTTTTAAGGATAAATGCACTGTTTGTATTATACAAGTTGCATTCTATCTATACATACTATGACGTCCAGGATACTCATACGTTATCATTTCTAAAAACTATTTCGGAAAATATAAGGTGTACCGAAATATGACTATATATATATATATATATATATATATATATATATATATAATATTCTGACGTGCTGTAGTCACAGAATAATTTGTTATATGAATACAATATAAGAACTATATACAATTATACAAATGCAGTCCATCCTTCGATATATTACAAATACTCACACGTACATTCATGGTGTACGTATACTTACTAAAGTATATTAGCAAGCAATAAACTGTTTAGGAGTTGAAGGTCTCAGTACTCAGGTGTGTTTAATTTTATTACAATTAATATAATTTTTTATTGGATATTTTATTCGGCCTTTGTTCCGCTCCCTTCAAATATTTACATAAAACAATTGTATATTGTTATGGCACAATAGAATGTACCCTGGAACAAATAGAACACTTTTCTCTACCTATCAGTTGGAGTGATGATATTTAATGTTGTAAAGTGGATATGGATGCAACTGATTTAGGCTCTGGTGGTCTTAGGTTCTGGCGTATTTCGGGTTCGATTTTATTTAGTGATCAATTTATCTCCATAAATAATAAAATGGTAATTAAACCATGTCTGGATACATATTAAGTTACCAGAGGGAGATTTTGTACAAAAGTCGTTTGCTTAGGTACCTCTGTCCCATTCGTGTTTCAACCGTGAAGCAGTTGTGTTTGCATGTCTGTGTTTCGGTTTAAAGGATGGGAAATGGCAATGAATTTATAGGGTACAGAGGAATAACACCCGAGTCTTTAGGAATGGCAACGCATAGGGTGGTATCATGGACAAAACAGTGTACTCTATTATGTCCATGGTACTGCTCATATCTATAGGCGACGGTTATTACTTTCCATCAGGTAGGCCGTCAGCTTGTTTGTCATTCTAAGTTGTTATAAAAATAAAGTTACTTGGTCGGATTATGATGACATTTGATGTAATGATTAGTTAGCACCTAGATTAAATATTCCTTTATTATATAATAAAATTGTACCTAGACGATGTCTGTACATGGGGTATGTTTAAGAAAAAATTATAATAAACGATCTTAAAATAGCTATTAGCAATAGAAACCAAAATAATTTTTAGAATTCTTTTCTGTCTGTCTGTATGTTGACTCTGCATTATACAAAAACTATTGCATAAAATTGGATGCGATTCTCACAGTTGTGTTTCTTAAGATAACTTAAAATCAGATGTATATTTCAGATGTATATTTATATACGCCATCTAGAAGTGGTTAATTTCATTGAAATTCTAAAATCTACGCGTACGAAGTAGCGGGCAAAAAGCTAGTTTGTGATATTTTTTGTTACGTTAAAATTTAGCTCGTAAAATTAAGAATAAAACTACGCAGGTCTATTCGCGTGCAAAAACTAGTTTTAGTACTAATTCAAGTGCCCACTTATAGATATTTCATATATTTTTTCATTACTGATATCGTAGCTGTTAATATTATAAGTATTTTTTATACATTAGAGGTGAGAAATAAACATATGGTTTACTTAAATTACCTTGTAATCTCTACCCGTTAATCGACTATGTCTGCTTTTGTATTTTCCGAACGATAAGATGCCCAGAACTATATTTTTTTATTTGGCATTGGCGTAGTGAATTCATAATACATATATAACAGTGATCTGCCTGTTGGGCCATCAGTTGGAAGAAAACAGCCAATTTTTCAACTTCATTTCAACTTCCCCTTTCCGATATTGCTACTACGAGGTCTGTCCGGAAAGTTCGTATAAAAGTGTTCTGGAATGCGAGAAAGAGGAGTGGGGAGGCCAGGTAAGCGCAGGACCCCTTCCTTATGTCCCTAACAATGCTTCAGTTCTGGTCTGACCGCCGTGCGGTGCGAACTGGCTTGTCACGCCATCTGTGAAGTTACCTCTTAACGAAACCCCGTCGGCATGGAGCCCGCTTCCGTTGAAGAGCAGCGCGTCGTAATCAAGTTTCTCTCGAAACTCGGCAAGAATGGCCGTGAAATTTTTGCCGATCTCAGAACAGTTTATGGGGATGATGCTGTGAAGGAACCAACCGTCCACAAGTGGCTAAAAAGATTCAGAGAGGGCCGAGAAAGCGTTCAAGATGACCCACGTTCAGGACGTCCTTCCACTTCACATTCCGACGAAAACGTGGAAAGAATTCGAACTTGTGTTAATGGGGACCGTCGTTTAACGGTCAGACAGGTGGCTGAAGAGCTTAATTTGGGCAAAACCGTGGTCCACGAAATTCTAAGAAACGAACTTCAAATGAAAAAAATTTGCGCCAAGATCGTTCCGTGAGTTTTTGAGTAAAAATTCCATTACGGTGACCGAACACCCCCCTATTCGCCGGATTTGGCCCCGTGTGACTTCTTCTTGTTCCCAAAAACCAAATTGGTACTTCGGGGGCGGCATTTGGGGGACATAAATGAGATAAAAAAAGCTACGACGGGGCAGCTGAGAAACCTACAACCAGAGGACTTTCAAGGAGCCTTCTCACAGTGGAAACGGCGTTGGCACAAGTGCATTATGTCACAGGGGGAGTACTTTGAAGGGGATAAAATTGATTTACCTGAATAATTGTAAAATAAAATTTTTAAAAAACTTTTATACGTACTTTCCGGACAAACCTCGTATATTATACTCGGTCATAATCCGAACTGGCTTACAAATAAGTTTACAAACTCCTACGTGAACCGTATGGTAACAATGTTTTTTTTTAATGGATGATAATGGAATAGTAACCCCGCCTGCGCTAACGGTATACGCTGGCGGGGCACCAGTGAGGGATGAAAAGGCAGGTCAGTTAGCCCATCGTAATGAATACAGCTGGAATTCAGCACGATGGTTTTCAGGGGAAACCGCGTATTGGTCGACCTGTTCGGGTATTGCTAGTAATATTTATTTCTAGTAGTAGGTATATTGCTAGTAATGGGCCTGTTAGATCTTATTACTAACAATCCCTGTCTCCCGTTAATAAAGGAGTTGACGACGATGGTTTCCAGAGGGAAACGCATGGAGGTCAAGTTGACTTGACAGGACATAGTAATAGGACCATCGTTACTAACAATTCCTTCCCCCCATTTTGCAAGAAGTTCAGTTGCATCAACACTCGCTATGTATCGGATTGTTACACCCCGTGTATGAGTATGTACGTCGTAAATGCAGTTACATAAATTGGGATTGTGTAAACAATGTTAACAGAATAACGCCTCGCTTTGACTACCTTCAATTAATATTTTGTTCTCACCCACACAACACCGACATGCACGGTTCTTTAATGAAATAAGACTGATGTTTCCAGTGAGTTCATTAAAATTTGCATGTAAACGGTGTTAGTACATTGATGTAAAAATTAGTGAAAAATATTTGACACGATAAAGCGGATTCTGTATTTTTTAGTACATAACCTAAAAAATAAACAACCTAATATCGGTCTATTTTTTTGATAAATTTTTTTGATATTTTAATGTAATTTAGTAAATGCATAATATCTTATGTACAATTTTGTGGTGTTCCTAATTATTATTTTACACATTTTCTCTTACAATCTATTAGCAAAATTGTGTGCAGAGTCTACTATAAAGAAATTGAAAACAATCGAATCGTACCTCTATAATCGTCGATTTGATTCTTCTCAGAATGAACAAGAATTGTATAATAACATAACGAATGTTATGCCATTCTTTGTAAGCTATTCTTTGTGACAGTCTATAGGGTACATTACATTATCATATAGGTACATAGCATCGATATATGACGCTCTTGTTGTTGTGTGTATTTTAATATAATTAATTCTATTCAATTATAATAAATTGAGTCGTAAATTTATAAATTATAATTATATAATAAATAATACAGTATGACTCATGATAGTTATAATTTAACAATTTATACTTTATTAATTTGGCTATTCCTATAGTTCAGCGGTAAGCACATTGCGTAACCACGTTTCAGGTTTGATTCTTGGTCTGGCCAAATTAAGTTTTTTTTTTCTGACTTGGTTCGAATCTAGGTTGGCCTCCAGATGTTTGTCTTTTAAATTCAATGTAAAAAGCCTCCAAATCTAACCGCATATAATAATATGATAACAAAAGTAACCTTACCGCTGTTTTTGCAGGCAAAGGAGATTTTGACCAAGGAGTCCAACGTCCAAGAGGTGAAATGCCCGGTGACCGTCTGCGGGGATGTCCACGGCCAGTTCCACGATCTGATGGAGCTGTTCCGCATCGGCGGACGCTCGCCGGACACTAACTACCTGTTCATGGGCGACTACGTGGACCGTGGTTACTACAGTGTGGAGACAGTCACACTGCTTGTCGCGCTTAAGGTAAAGCAAATTTTATAATTATTTACATTACAAAATCTTGTACAAGCATTAGGGCCTCTATACTCGAGGTTGATTTGAAGTCGAAAAATCGGCCGCCTACTTGATTCTGCTATGTATGGCCATAACCTCCCATTTTTTTATGGGTGATAATGGAATGGTAACGCCCCTCGCGCACCTGTGAGGGATGATAGGTGACGATGAAAGCAGGTCAGTTAGCCCATCGTGACGAATTCAACAAGTATTGTTCACGATGGTTTCCAGGGGGAACCACATGGAGGTCGACCTGATAAGATGTATTGCTAGTAATGGGTTCATTAGACCCCATTATTAACAATCCCAACCTCCCAATGTACACAGATCCTTTAAAGAGTGACATTGCTTCGTGAAGCACATGAAAGTACTAGGAAGCTTCTGCGCTTCCGAGAAATTGGGATGCCTATATTATTAATAACTCCATATGCAATACGGTTCTAATAAGAGTTTAAGTGAGGGTAAGAGGGTTTCCTAATTCTATAATATATTAGAACAAACTGTGATGAACAGACAGACATATTCACACCATAACAGTTCCTATGTAATATTTTATGTTTCTGTTATACAACTTTGGTATGAAAGAAACAATTTAAATTATCTGTATGTATTGCTTTGTTTTGGATGATAATTGAATGGTAACCTTGCCTTCGCTTACGGTATATTCTAGTATTATGAGAATGAAAAGCAGGTTAGTTCATCGTGACGAATATAACTGGAATTCAGCATGATGGTTTCAAGGGAGACTAGGGAGGTATATTGCTAGCAAAGGGAGTGGTAGTTCTCATCACTAACAGTTTTATTCCTCTCGTGCAGATAGGGTTTTTTTTCATGGATGAAAATGGTATGGTAACCCCGCCCACGCTATCGGTATACATTGACGGGGCACCAGTGATAGATGATAAAAGAGGATGAAAGCAGGTCAGTTGGCCCATCATGGCGAATTTAATAGGATTTAATTATGATGGTTTCCAGGGGGAACCACGTGTAGGTCGACCTGATAGGGTATATAGCTAGCAATGAAGCCCTTAGACTCTATTACTAACAATCCCTTTCCCCTCATGCAGATAGGGTTTGTGTCCTGTGCCATTATCTTAATTCGAATAAAACAAGCTATCCTAACTCGGAGACTCTGGTTATAATTGATCTGATTATGGGTTACTATTATTAATTGTGAATATGTGTTATTAGGTTTATATGGCATTAGTCAAATATTATAACTGATTCATGTGTTCGTGTTTCAACCGTGAAGCAGTTGTGTTTGCATGGCTGTGTTTCGGTTTGAAGGGTGGGATATGGCGTGATTTTACTGGGTACAGAGGAATAACACCTGAGTCCTCAGGAATGGCAACGCATGGGGGTGTCATGGACGAAACAGTGTACTCTGTTATTTCCATGGTACTGCTCATGTCTATAGGCGACAGTTACCACTTTCCATCACGTTGACCGTCAGCTTGTTTGCCATTCTAAGTTGTATAAAAAAAAATGTACAATTGTTGTCATACTATGCGTAATGTAATGTACAGACAGATATATATTTGCTATTAAAATAACAACCGATACATGTTTGGAATGTGTATTATTTAAAAAATTACACCGGTAACGCGTAAACATTAACTGATCGCTTCATATATACGTAATGTAGGTACACGTAATGCACGTGGAATACATCCATGTTTATCAATAAATTAATCTATAAATTATATATAATTATACTATTCGTATGGTGCCCTTTTATATCAGTTTGCAACATAAGCGGCGAACGAAGTGTTTTTAAATTCACTTCGCATCTTTATATCATCTATTTTTGTAATATTGATAGCATTATCAAGAGAGATTATTTTCACCTTTCGATAACAACTTTCACGATCGTCTATCAATTGTTTTTTCTAAAAATCTATCAAATGTAATAATAAAGAATATAAATCCTTATCAATCCGAATATCTAATATAGGAATCTCTTAGAGTAAGTTAGCCGTGTAGGTCTTGGCATAGAATAGGCCATCCCTTCCTTTCTCGTGGGTGTCGTTAAGAGGCGACTAAGGAAGCTTATGGTGGAGGATGGCAGCAGCGTTTCTTTTAAAACATCACCAAAAGCGCCTGCTAAAGCGTAGCAAAACGCCTCTTATTGAGGAGGCTATTTTCAGTAGTGGACAGTTAACGTCTGATACAAGCTCGTTTTTACACACTATTTTGTATATACAATTAGTAACATGATTTGTTGGTTCTTTGTTTTACAAACTTGGGTAAGTAAGGCAGGAAAGAGGAGGCATATTGTTGGGGTCGGTTCAATTTAAAATATTTCAAATTGATGCGACAATTGAGTGAATTTACAGGGTACAGAGGAATAACACCTGAGTCCTCAGGAATGGCAACGCATGGGGAGTATCATGGACGAAACAGTACTCTGGTTCATGGTACTGCTCATGTCTATAGGCGATGGTTGCTACTTTCCGTCAGGGAGGTCGTCAGCTTGTTTGCCATTCTAAGTTACATAAAAGAAAAGAAAATTTTAGCAAAAGCGATTACGATAAATAAAAAGAAATGTGCACAAAAGATAAATTACATAATTGTTTTTTCTTTGTTTTGTGTACATCGAATCTAACATACTGGGTTTTCGAATCAAGTAAACAATATTATTGTTTTTCTCACAAATACTAATTTGTGATTCAACAATTGTTTTGCGTCACGATATACCTATATCTATCATTATAGTGATAACATGACTTGTATGACGAGCTCTTTGTCTGTACAAATACCTCATCGTTAAAGTTATATCGTCAGTCAATTTCAATCGACATAGAAGTCAGAATATATCTGACTTCTATGTCGATTGAAAGTATATTATTTATTATGCAAATTAATGGTTTAGTTAGCAAGCCCGTCATTTGAGAACGGCTGTCTTGATTTGGCTAATTGTTTAATGCTCGTTCGTTGTTTGATCTTTCGGCCCCAGATTACTTCCGAGAGCGATTTTCCTTTAGAGTCCCCGATACTCGTGTGCATTGTCTAAAACAACATACAATAGAATTACTTTTATTAATGTAATTGGTAATTAATTATCCCTTAAAAACTTATTTATTTATTAAAAAAATGTTTGGATAAAACAATTGGGTCAGGTCAGTGTTACTATTTACGCGTCTGGGTAGTTTCAATAAAATCAGACGCCCAGTTTTTTTTCATGGATTATAATGGAATGGTAACTCCGCTTGCGTTATCGGCATACAGGCTGGCAGGGCACCAGTGAGGGATACTAGGTGTGAATGAAAAGTTAATGAGCCCATTGTGATGAATACATCTGGAATTCACCACGATAATTTTCAGGGATGTTTCAGTACGACAAATTCGTCATGTGGTTCTGGCATAGAATAGGTCACCCCTTCCTTTGACGTGGTTGTTGTTAGAGCCGACTAAGTAAGGGCAAGGGATTAGCAGTAGTGTCCCTCATAATCCCTGCTAAGCCTAACTGCGGTTGCCAATCCTCCTGCCAAGCGTGGCAACTACTGGCAAAACCCTCCCAAGGTAGGTTTATGTTCAACAGTGGACAGTTAAAGGCTGATATAATGATGAAGAAAAAATTTTGGGGAGACGGACCACGGGATAGTCAACCTGATAAGGTTTTTTTATACAACTTGAAATGGCAAACAAGCTGACGGCCCACCTGATGGAAAGTGGTAACCGTCGCCTATAGATATGAGCAGTACCATGGACATAACAGAGTATACTGTTTCACCCATGATACCCCCATGCGTTGCCATTCCTGAGGACTCAGATGTTATTCCTCTGTACCCTGTAAATTCACACCATATTCCATCCTTCAAACCGAAACACAGCCATTCAAACACAACTGCTTCACGGTTGAAACACGAATGGGACAGAGGTACCCAAGCAATCTACTTTTGTAGAAAGTCTCCCTCTGGTATATTGCTAGCAATGAGACTGATAGTCCACATTATTAACAATCCTTTCAATCCCGGCGTTTGATATTAACTAGAGCAGCCTCTAAGAACGGATATAAACTAGGATAAATCCTCTGTTCTGGGCTAGTAATGCGTGTACCATAGGCTCAAGACACACTCTTTGCGTTTAATGTTGTTCGTATCAGTTTATTTGCAATTTTAGCTAATATAAAAAAAAAAAAACTTGTTTTACTTAGCGTCGCTGTAATGATTCTCAGAATTCCTACATATTATGCCATATATCCGGCAGTTCGATATTATACTTAATTTTTATTCCCGGTAATGAATTTATCTGATACATGTACAGTCAGTGACAAAAGTTGCTGACATAGCGTACTTGGGAAGTAAGTAATCGGACCGTTCGGAATGTTGAATATGGTCTTAGTTTTACTTTGTTGAGATAACGCGTCAGTATAATGATTGTGAAGTAATGTCCAAAAATAGCCGCTAATTAATTCGGAAAACTTGGCACTCACATAATACGGTATTTATTGCGTGATAATTGTACTTAGTTTAGGACTCTCCTATTTTTGTTGCTATTTATGCTTGAATGTAACAGAAAGTGACCTCTGACTACTCCACTTCTAAACGTATCACTTATTTATTAATTTATAATAAAATAGTATATGCTAGGTAATGTAATGGCCAACCGTACAGACTAATATTTTTACAACCAACTTTTTTTTTAATTATTTTAATGTCGTTTACACTTATGTATTTTAATGAAAAATAATTTAATGAAACATTTTTAACTAGTACAAGGAAATTTACACATAATGTATTTTATTCATATTTCTTTTTTTTTTTAATTATTTTTGTTAAGGAATTTGCGACTGGCTCTTGGCCACAACAGAATATCAGTACTCTATTGAGAGTAAAACAATAAACTGAGTTGTACCAATTTTGTTACTATGGCACACGCAGTAAAAAAATTGTTTCTTGTTTTATATATTTTCCCTTTTTTTGTGTATGCTTTCATTTATCTCTTTTTACTGTGCATCTGTTTTTATTTGTATGCTGTAATTTAAGTAAATTATATATCTATCTATCTAATCTCGACATAGTGATAAATATGTACGGGAACATACTTTTAAATGTAGATAACTTACTCGGTAGAATTCCCTGTTACTTTTTATTTTACTGGTAGGTTTTGTCATCGTACCTATGCTTGTCGCGGTGCAACGTGCTCGTTGTTTTGATCTAAAGGGAAAAATTGCCAGTGCAATCATGACGTCATAAGAGGCATTACACTCCAAGGACGTGACTACAATAACACCGCGACACTACATAAGCAGCACTTTTATGGATGCCATAATAATTTTTACATGATGTCGTAATTATAGACATAATAATTTGACATTGCGATAACAGAACAAGAGAGAGAGTACAAAAGCTGTCTGCATGCGTAACTCTGTCCCTCTCGTGTTTCTACCGTGAAACATGGCTGTGCTTGCATGGTTGTGTTTCGGTTTGAACATTAAATACATTGACGATGGGCTATGAATTACTATACATACACCAGAAGCTATCAGGACTTGTTTTCGAAACTTGAACTCTAAAATATCACTTACAGAATTAATTAATTGAATTGATATTTATCTTGCGACAAATCGGCGCTCGTGAGTGGGCTTCTACAATTGCCTGGTATATGCTAGTCGACCAACTTGAATTAGTTTACGAAAACGATCTTGTTTACCACTTTTATTAATTTGGCCTGGGTGCAGTCAAGTAATATTAAAATGGGGAAGGTGTTAGCTATGCAAGTAACCCCCCATTTTTTTTTAATATGCCCTGTTGACCTCCACGCGTTCCTCCTTGGGAACAGGCCAGCTTCATTTCTGGTAAAGTCACTATAATTGACTAATTCACCGGATTCCGACTTCATTTCTCATTGATATCTCGCCATTGTAAAGCAAAGCATAGGCGGGATTACCATTACCTGACGATCTTGGTAGTATAGCAGTGTACCATCTTACTATGTTTACCGTTTGTATTGATGGTTATCATTTGTATTGATTCGTGTAATTAAAAAAAACTGTCTAAAAAATATTAAATAGGGCTTCTATTTGTTACAATAGGTGGCTCGACTTACTTTGGGATTAAATAGCTTTATGTGATATGTCTGGAGATTTTTATAGGTATTTATATGCATTAAAAATATTTAATGCCAAACGTGGCGTGATTTGCAAAGGCCATGGTATAATTTGAACAATTATAATAATGCCTAAATTTCTATTGCAGGTGAGATATCGCGAGAGAATAACAATCCTGCGCGGCAACCACGAGTCACGTCAGATCACCCAAGTTTACGGGTTCTACGATGAGTGCCTCCGTAAATACGGCAACGCGTCCGTGTGGAAGCACTTCACCGACTTGTTCGACTTTTTGCCGCTGACCGCGCTCGTCGATGGCCAGATCTTCTGCCTGCACGGGGGGCTGAGCCCCTCGATCGATACCCTTGACCACATTCGAGCGCTCGACCGCCTGCAGGAAGTGCCCCACGAAGGGCCTATGTGTGATCTCCTGTGGAGCGATCCCGATGATAGGTGAGTTTTGTTATGCTACTTGCAATATTAGTTATTCTAATATTAGTACCTATTAGGAAATCCTATTATTTTGTATGCACCGGATCTCTTATATATCATATCAGGAATTTCTGAAAACTTAGTTTTTTGTGGATAACTGGATTGGAATGGAACAAAGGAATCTCTTCTCTATGTATGCATTTTAAGCGTTCGTTTGACTACTTGATATATACTAAGTTGAACACTTGTTTTAATTTACACACACACTCTTCTAATTCTTATTACGATTAAATGATGCCTCAAAATTGTTATAGTCTAGAAATTTACTGAAGGTTTTTTTTTTTAATTTCTACGATCTAGTTCTCCTGGTTTGTAATTTCTTAAAATAAAATAACATATAGTGTATAAGACTATCAATGGCAATCCAGCAATAGCATTAATTTTATATCCATTTTGAAAAAAATGCTGAAGAAAGAAATATAAGATAAACTCCTTCATACACGGCTATTTTCGTTAATTTATTATGAAAGGTTTAAATTTTTTCCAACATACTTTAACGTCAAAAACTTTCAGTTTTGTGAGTGCTTTCATACCAACGTATGGAGCAAAACAAACATTCCAGTTGGAAATCCTGCTGTAATATTTCGTGTCGTTCACAGTTGCTCACTTATACTATAGTTACAAGTTGCATCTAACATACGCCCATATGGGTGCTAACTCAATTTGCATGCGCCTATTTATTGTATCATTGTACCTCTGTAGTGCACTTCGCCTACCTATGTAACAATTTATACTGTCAGTACTCAATGACATTGGTCGTATGCAATACTTTTAGTTAGAACTAAATTTATTCGCGATTTCCGGGTTATCAGGTTCAAAAATTACCTATTTCCTGTTTATAATAAATATTACGTGTTTTTTTTTTTTCTTTAATGGCTGAAAATTAAATAGTGACCCCGCCGGCGCTATCAGCACGTTATACACTGGCGGGGCACTAGTGTGAAATGATGTGAGATGAGAATGAAGAGAGTCAGTTGGTTTCCAAGGGGCACAGAGTGAAGGTAGACCTGATAAGGATAGGATATTGTTAGCAATGGGGCTGTTAGACCCCATTAATAACAATAGTTTTCCTAATACTACATGTATTGTAGCCAAATGGCGGTCGTGATGTTAAGGTATGTCCTTGTTAGTCGATCGATCCGGCATAGGGTTTTATTTCAAATTTTTTCTATTGCATTGGTTTATTATGCTTGGTCACAACGTCGACATTCCATGGATACTAAATCTATGACATTAAAATATATCTATATATGATTACATATGGTTAAATATGACTATATATGGGTATACAGTATTTAATGTCTTTTTAAGGTGAAATTGCTCAAATTTTACAATTTATATTTAAAAATAGAACCCGTGGAAGAACACTAGTGTTATCTTAATTATAAAGATGAATAATCATGAGTCATACTGGATTATTTATATCGGCTTTACTTACGTTTACCTGTTCGGGCAACCCTGAAGATAAAAATGTTAATAAAACAGATAAAAATACTTTATATTTAAAAATGGTATTGTGTCCCACAAGAAAAAAAAAAAAAAAACTAATTCAATTGTGACAAAACCAGTTATTTTGAAAAACTGCTAAATGGATTTTGATAATATTTCTATGGGACCAATATGTAGTATTATTTTAGATAAAAAAGAGTAATTTTCCAAATCGGTTTAAAACTGACGAAGTTATGAGTTAACAAACATAAAAAAATATGACCGCAATGAGAACCTCTGCTGATGGTCCACTTGATAGAAAGAGCCGATTGTCACTTATAGACATGAACAGTGCACATGAACATCGCAGAATACACTGTGACACCTTCGGTATTGAACTGAAGGAAGACAAGTATAATAATTGCACTATCATATTTTACTTATTTAAACTTTAGTGGACAGTGAAACTCTATGTACATTTGGCGGACTTAACACCGGACGGTGTTCTCTACCAATCAATCATTGGGCAAACCGAGATATAAGTAGGTGGTGCATTATACCAAATCCCATCCTTCAAGCCGAAACAGCTATGGAATGAAATAGAGATCCATGCAGACAGCTTTTGTATAAAATCTCCCTTTGGTAATGATCCTCATTTTAATTCAATGCTTTTATTTGTCACTACAGAGGCGGATGGGGCATATCGCCGCGAGGTGCCGGTTATACCTTCGGCCAGGACATCTCGGAGACGTTCAACCACAGCAACGGGCTGACGCTGGTGTCGCGCGCCCACCAGCTCGTCATGGAGGGCTACAACTGGTGTCACGATAGGAACGTGGTCACTATATTCTCAGCACCCAACTATTGCTACAGGTCAGTTCAATGTGCCAGATACATACATAGATAAATACATTTATTTGCTTTTTTGATCGTGTATTTTTTTAATCTGGATTTAACGTAAACAAATTAAAGGCTCGTCATATAGAACGCTAATTATGTCTATAGCTGACTATAGCTATGATTAGTGGTATGGACGTCACTGTTTTTAATACAACTTAGATTAGCAAACATGCTGTCAAACTAACATTTAGTGATGTATGTTGCTTATAAACATGAATAGCATCATAGGACATTACAGGGTACACTGTGATGTCTATGATATTTATAGAGTTTGGATGTTACGAAGGTAAACATTATAATTTCACTGTTATATCCACTCTTCGAATCGAAACAATGCAAACAACTGCTGAAGGCAGAAGTAAGGAGAGAGTTACTCGTGCAGTCGAGTGAATAGCGCTTCTTATATTAGCGCTTCTTAGTATAGACAGGAAGAATTGTTGCAACTAGAATTTTTTTTTGACATTTTAAACTTATTACTTTGTCCAAATATAGTTTTATTTGATTTGATAGCCTTTATTATTTGGATATAATTTAATACTAACCCATTGTGTCATCATCTATGTTAAATATAAATGCTAAAACTTTTAAATAACTTTGATTTTATCCAAGATGGTATCATTAGTTATTTTAATCATGTTTTAATATGAATATAATTATTTTTTAATATTTGGTAGTTCACATAATTTATTTACATTAATTTATTTGTTACAGATGTGGTAATCAAGCAGCCATTATGGAATTGGATGACGCGCTTAAGTACTCATTGTAAGTAGTAATTTTGGTGACATTCTTTACGAAATAGTTGGTATAACGTATCTAAACATATGTGTGGATTTCAGTTTATGAGGTGTCGTTAGATTTGTGTTCTATGCAGTAGGCTGTACGATTCAATTTTAAATAATAGAGATAATTTCTCAAAAACATGCGACAATTTTTACTTTAGAAAAAAAACAATTGTTTCGTTATATATATTCTTCTCTTTTCTTTTTACTGATAAGCGTCCTAATACTGCTGGGCAAATTACGCAGCGCGATCTAGTCCTGAACTAAGCAGGGTTTATACTTTTAATATTAGATAATTGAACACTAATTGAAATACATACTTTTTTTTAGTAAATACATATTATAAATAGCAAAATATCCCGAACAATACAGAGAGACTTATGATTACAAATGTTAGTTATTGTGAGGGATCAAACCCGCAGCCACTGTGCTTAAACATTAGGTAATTATAATTGGGTGTTACGCCACGTGAGTCGCGCGTTGCCGACCCTGAAAAACATCTTTATCCCTTTTTTTAAGAACTCCACTCTGTAGTCTTTTAGAAAACTTAAACAATATCTTGAGAGTTATATTCGTCATTTATCCAATGGAATATCGCATTTCGATTAGGGTTGTTTGTTGTTTGTGGTAACGCGGCAACAAAACAAATCCTATTATGTATTGGACACCTTACAAGTAACAAAGCTTTATCGTATCAACATTCTCATGGAATGATTATCAGCGCAAAGTGATGACTGAGTTTGTTGAAACAAATTCAAAATGTCGACGTTACGTCGAATTATACTATGGATATTGAAGTTTATGACCATATACTGCTGTTTTTTTTTTTAATGCTTATAAAGTACCTAGATTCTAATGTATGTCTTGTCTGTCCAGCCTTCAGTTCGATCCGGCCCCGCGGCGTGGGGAGCCGCACGTGACACGGCGGACGCCTGATTACTTCATGTAGGCTGCACGTGAGTAGTTCACACTTGACGTTATATTGTTGCTAGTAAATAATCGTGATGCTCAAGACGTTTACATTATTATGTTACATTGTTGATAATTAGTAGTAATTTAGTGTTGAAATCGCATACAAGAATGTATGTTTTTCATATTAAAAATATAGTTTTGTCTACAATGTATAGGATAATAGTTCAGTAAAATTAAAGATTTAGAGTGGTTATGTCTGTATTGTTAGGAAATGCTTCTAAAAATAGTTACACAATCTTGCCTTCGTGACATTTTTGATTAGTAAGTTTTAGTATTTCTCCAAAGGAATGAGACGTATATGCCATATTAATTTCTGAACCAACATACAAGAATTAAGTTATAACCCCATATCTGTCTAGTAGGTTTTGTGTAATACGTGCGCAGGATGGGCTAGTTTTAGGGACTTTATCATACAAGATATAATGTGATGTGAATTGGTGTAATTGAGTCATGGTACATTGAGCTTTTATATATTATATTCCAGTTGTCTTTTTCAATTAGTCGTCACTTGGCGTTATTTTTGTGAGCGGCTGATATATTATTTTAATGTACCTCTATTGTCGAGCATTCTTGTTAGTTTTTATAATAACATATTATAATAGCTTACAACAATTTTAACAATAAAACTGTATCGTAATAGGAAGCGTTGTTTGCAGCGGAGGCGCATATCAAGCAGGAGTGGTGGCGGGGCGTACGGGCGATACGCATGCGAGGCCAGCGTCGCCGCCTCGCACGCCGCCGGCCGGCCCCCGCCGCGGCCGCCGCGGCCGCCCCGGCCGCCGCCTCCACTGCGCGGGCGCTGCGCCGCGCGCATCGCGCTCAGCTCGACAGCCTGATGCGCGTCGCACAGTGGCTCGCCAACGTGTGACCACCGCCGACCGCCGCCACCACCACCAACACCACCAACACCACCACTACCACTATCGCCACCGCCGCAGCCGCCGCCGCCGCCGCGGCGCGCTCGCCACCGCGACACGTATTCACCACTCGATATTGCATGGGGCGAGAACGTCCACAGACAATTTAAATAGATGTCGCAGTCTTATCTATTGTGCATGCCAAGTTTTTGGCCTAAGGAAGCTCAGAAGAACACTTAGACTCGGGATAAATTACGATTCTGAGATCTTACATGAAAAAATCAAATTCTTAACAGAAGACAGTATTTTTAGAGTTTGCTGTTAATAAATTGCTTTGTAATATTACAGTAAGTAGAAAGATATGAAACACTTAGTATTAATTGATGGTATTTGCGATATCTATTTCGATCTGTCTGTGGAAATATCTCGGACGACGCAGTAGGTTGTGTATTCGCGTAGTAGATTCGGTACGAAGGCCGATATGGAATTAAATAATTTTATCGGAATTGCAGGTGTGTGGCCCCATTTACACTACAAATATCGCAGGTTTTTTTTATGCCATAAATCTTACGGGATAAGTAGCGCATGCATGTATTTATTACAGAGCGATTTACACGTCTTTTGTACTGGAACAAACCTAAATATTTAAACTACGTGTGGATGGCTGTATAATCAAAGTATATGCCACTATTTATTCCTTAAGATTTTTAAGAAAAATGTGCAAGTTTTCCAAAAACCTATTGTCTACTGTACTGTAAACGGGGCCTAAGGGGCGGGTTGTTTACATAATGTAGAAAAGTGTAAACCGTGTTTGAAGATGAACGTCACGACTGGACGTCGGAGTGGAGACGGAGGCGGGGCGGCGGCGACGTCGCAAAGTTAGGTTCTTGCCCGATCACAGCATCGCCCCGCGCTTGTTATGCTGGTATGTTCATTGTGAGCGGACGAACGACGCTGACATATATATATGTATACAATACACCACTCCTCAAAGACAATTTAGACCTCATTAAAGTGGGTAATTTGCTAATACAGTGGTTTTATTTCATCGACCGACTTCAAACACCATTGATTGAATAAGACCGACTAATGGACATACCATCATAATGAAATTTGGTGATAGATAGACACGCATTCAAGACGCATGGAAAATAATAAATAGGTCAGTTTTGTAAGTGACCACACTGGCAGTACAACATTATTTTTTTGTGGATAAGTTGCCCTCTGGTCAGTCTTATTCTCATTTAAATTCTAAACAAAATGTTTTACACAGTTACTTGATTATAAAGCATTTTACACACTTTACTGGTGTGTCTTATTGAAAGCGTAATTCTCTTTTCAGTCAGTGTGACCTCAGTGTTACAATATAGTGCATTTAATTTTATGACCGAATGCTAACTTTTATGTATGCCTGTGACTGAAAGTCGGTAAAAAGTATTAGAAATTATATTTTATGTAAAATCTATCTTTAAATGTCGTAAAATGTTGCATTTCGAGATTATTTTCTTTCTAAATTCTCCTTGTCTTGTGCCACAGTACCTGTACAACATGGAATAAAGTGTTTCACAAGAATGGAGCTTTAATTTTTTTTTATTATTATCATTATTTTAGGTCATTATGTAAATACCTAAATACGAAATCGTTATGGGGGCGTTACAATATCTAATCAGTAAGTTTTAAGTATTTCCATAAATGTACTCATGTCAAATAAAATGCAGCGTAATTTTTTTAAATATAAATAGTTTTTTTTATATCAAAGCAACAAACACTGCATATAATAAAAATGGGCATATTTTATACGGATTGGAACCGTTTAGGTTATAGGCGAATAGGCGTGGGCAATATACTTATATTTATTTTGTTTTTATCACATTTTTTAAAGTGAATGTTCGTAATTATAGTTGTGCCTAGTTTACATTGCAAAGTATCTACTTATGACCTGACAAAAGTAAATGAGCCTCTACGAACGATATGTTTGATCAAAAATTTCTTTTGTCAGTGCCATAATATTAGGAAGTGTTCTACTACATTTAAAATGATAAAACATTGTACTAATTATGATTTACATGTTCCGTAATTGCATTACATAATTGTTCCATACTTGACGTGTCTAATTTATACAAAGACTTTATACCCACCAATGACATCAAAAGCCACACGTTACGTTGATGTAAGTATTAAGTATGTAAGTTATAGGTAAAGAATAATTATAATATTCAAAAAACAAAAAAAGATGAAAATATGTATAATGCGGAGCTTCGTTAGCGTGAAATATGATGTTGAACCTTTAATGTACTCGCATAATATTGATTTCGGCTTTTCCTATCATTATTTCACACAATCGAAGCTCTTATTAATTAATTAAGGCTTTCCGGGTAATATGCATAGACGTTATTCAATTTTTAAAAAGGTTCCAAAACGGTCGCGAAGTGTGGAGTGCGCTCGTGCGTGGAGAGCGAACTAGTGTTGCGCGATGTATACCGTGATTCAGATAGTGGCTGACTACATATGGCAATAAAATGTAAACGTTCAACACAAACCAATAATTTATTCTCGCAACTGTACTGTGCCCTTCATAGGAATTAGATAATAAATAAAAATAATTATTAAAATGCAAGAGTTTTCTTTCATCGACCCATTATTATCGTTTTAGTAAATACCACATATTTAATAGATGACGAGTTAAATTTATTAGAAATATAAAAAAAGCCCTGACACATTTTCTATAATAAGAAAAAGCTCCAACCTTTGGTCAAGGTTACCATGTCATGAAAATACCATCGTACCATACAGTACACCCAATTTTAAAAGAATTTTACTTTTCGTCAAGTAGATGAGTTAATAGTCTTACATATAACGCCTGAACATACATTAAAAACCATTTCGACCAAATTATCTAAAATGAGCCAAAATCTATCCGTTTTTTTGATAGATACACAGAGGCAGACATATTGAAGTTATAACACCTCTCTGCGTTGGGGCTTTACAAATAAAAATGCAACTATTAATAAATATATTTTAATTAGTTTTACATAATCATCTCTCACAAATCGAATTTTGACGAATTGTGAAATTGTCAAGTGTATTATGTATTATCTATTTATATAATAGTTTACCTAAATGATCATGTTCATCCCTGTCTCATATATCAACCGGTAACAGTCCACTGCTGAATATAGGCTTCCCCTTATATTGCCAGTAGTTGTCACGCTTGGCAGGCGGATTGGCAACCGCAGTTGACTTTGGCAACGCTTTAAGTCTTTCTATGCCGCGACCACATGGCCCTTTCTTGCATAAAACATGAACGTGAAAGTCTGAAAGTTATTAGCCGACTATTAAAAAAAACACAACATATAAAAATGAGTTTTTTATTCAATATAAAGATATATTCTACAACAATTTATATTGGGATTGAATGGATACAATAAAAATTTACTATTATCCACTTCGACATGTTTGAGAAGAGCTTTTTATTTATTGTATAAGCGATACATTAAAAGATAATTTTCTAAAACCTTTACAGTATATTTATACTGCAAAGGTTTTGGAAAAAATCTAAACGGTACATACTAGAAAATAATATATCTTAAATGTAATTTAATTTAATAAAAAAATTTACAAAACATCAAACAATAAATCAATTTAATTGCTCATGTAATAATTCATTAACAACAATAATGTCATTTCATTTTCGTTTTTAAATCTGGAATAGAACAACTTGGAAGTGTAAAAATTAGAAAAATAAATATTTTTATTATTTACATAATAGTACGTAACAATAGTAGAGCATTCCACGATATTTTGATTGGTTGATGTTTAACTCTGCTCAAATTCCCTCAGTACAATAACAATGCAATAGAAACTGCATAGTATTATAATGTATGTGATATTGAATTCGAACGTGTAAGCGTACTGATAGTATAAAAATAGACTCCGTAGAATTGTTATTTCCTACTTCCTTCGACTCCGCATAGATTGAGAAGGGTGTTACAAATTTATGTTTATTTAATCTTACGATATGACGCGTAATACTCATTCTAACTGCCATACTTTCTGCTTGCAAGCCCTGATAGGATGTGAATTACAGCACGCCAATGAAGCTATTACTATCGAATTCATGGGAGTGTCAAATTGGGATATTTATTTTTATGGTCATGTCATAGAAGACTAATGGCCGTTCCGTAAGGAAGCGACCAAAGACGCCGACTATTTTAAGTTTGCGTGTAAACAGGATTATTAGCAGCAACTTAGTGGTTGGCAATTAAAATAGCTGCCGTATGGATCCGATATTACACACATTTAAACTGGTATTTGATCACCGGCTAATCTGGCTACGGTAACCGCTTACCATCAGGTGGGCCGTATGCTTGTTTGCCACCTCAGTGGTATAAAAAAAATTATAAAAGTGCTAACCGAAATTAATATTTTTCATATTAATACGACCAGTACTAAGGACGTTACCAAATAAGTGTAAGGAATCATTATTCATGTTAATGATTTTAAAGGACGGTTGGCACTTTTCAGTTTCACCACCGTATGAAAAGAGGGCCTATGATTTTTTTATACCACGAAAGTGACAAACAAGCATACAGTCCGTCTAATGGTAAACGATCACTGTAGCCAATTACTAATAATGCAAAACAGCGTACAATAGTGTGTTTAGTGAATTTACTGGGTACGGAGGAATAACACCTGAGTCCTCAGGAATGGCAATGCATGGAGAATATCATGGGCGAAACAGTATACTCTGTTATGTCCATGGTACCGCTCATGTCTATAGGCGACGGTTACCACTTTCCATCAGGTGGGCCGTCAGCTTGTTTGCCATTCTAAGTTGTATAAAAAAAAAACACTTATACACATTTTTCTCTGCCTACCTTGTATAGATCTTAGCGTTGGATAGACGATTATACAAAAACAAAAGTACAATTAAAAATTAACTAAACCGAAGAGGTGGTTTTGTCATAATGGAAAACTTAAAGTTGTTTAGAACGATTTCGATTTTCCGTCGACGATAACGTAATAGCGATACTGATGACGTGCAATACAATAACTTATAACAGTGTATTTTATCTCATAAGTTTATTTTGCATAATTAAAGCGTATGGATTCTTCTATTCGTAAGATTATTCTAGAACCACAATATAATAGTTACGAGCTTGATCCTCTAGACACGATAGATATGTTTTCGTTACAGCACGGGATAGAACGGCACAGTGATGTTCAGCGTCATATTCTTTCATACACGTGCGGTAATGAAAATATATCTATAGATAAATTAATTTGCCACTATCTATATGGGTGCTAAACAGATGAGAATATGCAATTACGCATACGCAAGCGTGTTGAGGACCTAAGTGTACTAAAATTAAAAACCCTTATCTCGTCATAAGAAACCTGGCCAGTACTGATAGATACATTCAGTGGCAGTTATGCTCGTCGCTATCCTACAGATTGAATTTACACAACTATATTAAAGCTATTCACAATTATTTCTAATTAATTCAATAAATAAGTATAATTTGACATTGTATGCACCTACTTAATAAATACTAAACATTCATCACTGTTGCCACTTCAAAAAAAAAAAAATTATTAAATCTTTTAAGATTTGAATACTTGTAGAAATGGCTGACGAAAAAATGTACTAGAAAATTCATGTAAATTTATAAAAAGGTGACCAAAATAGAACGATTCAAAAACAAGTCGTGAAGAGATGACAAATAGAAGTGTTAACATTTTTTTAGCTACTGATATATCTTTTTTTTTTTTGTAACTGATGAGCAACGAATACAGTACTCTCAGTGGAATTGACGAATTTCAAAAGTTTGCTACATTTAGCAAAAAAAAAGTGGTTAAAGTTTTTTTTTACAACACAGGGGGCAAACGAGCATACGGCTCACCTGATGGTAAGTGACTACCGCCGCCCATGGTCACCCACAACACCTATGGCATTGCAGGTGTGCTGCCGGCCTTTTAAAAAGGAATATATACTTTTCTTGAAGGTTATGTTGTCGTATCAACAGTGGCAACAGTGATTAACTTACATTTTACCTAATATTAATAAATCCGAAGTCACAATATGCTAAAATAATAATCATCGCTACTAATCTCTAACCAGCTTTATTATACAGTTACAAACAAAGTAAAACAATATGCCTACGGAACCCTGTAGGCATATTGTTATATTATATATTCATAATGGGTGTAGGCCTAGAACGAAACCAAAAGTGATCGATTCTGAGTAACCTTATAACTATTTAATAGTGTCGTGTTATTACTGCTTTATAGATCATCACAAACCCGAATTTATAATAAGTTTCACTTAAATATATTTAAAATTTAGTTTATATTTGTATTTACGATAAAATTTTTACTGTGATATAAAATTGAAATTTTAAATTTAGAAATAGGTTTAAAAAAAAAAGGCCTCACAGAATAAACAAGATAAAATCTTTAAATATGTTTTTTTTTTTTTTACTTTTATACTAAGACACACTTATATACTTTAACACTTGATTGTCCAGTTTGTAAGAGTATATAAAATATTTTGAGCATTCGTTATTATATACATATTTTTAATTAATATGCAAGTATGTAGTACATAGTTACATTTTTCCATCATCGAATCGTATCTTGATTTCAACGACATCAGGCATGATCACTAAGATAAATTGATATAATTTATTAGATATTGGAGCTACTAGAAATTGGATCCATATTTGAAACAGTACTCTTTCTTTGACCGGAGATTTAACTTAGAACTGGGGGCCTACCATGAAATGAAATTCCGAATTTTCGCGCTCAATTTCGTGTTTTTGTTCGTACCTAAATCGACCCAGTAAATGGAGCTTAACGTTTCATTCATCATAAATCCTATCCTAATAGTCCAGAGGAACGATATTTTAATATTTTTAAACGGCAAGTATTATGTAATTTTAACATCAAATTTCTATTTCGTTCGTCCCCGAAATTTCGGAAAATATTTCGTGGTAGGCCCTCTGTTGTCTAGCTCTTAAAAATAATAGAATTCAATAATTCTGTTTAAAATAAACAGCTCTTAATATTTAAGATAAATTGCTAATTGTGCTTAATTTCATAAATATACAAAAGGCACAGTTTTGTGTCAAAGACATAGATATATATTTGATAGATGTAGTAATAAAGTAGTGGAAAATTGTATCTTAAAAGTCAAGCCGTTTAAAATAATTCAATACCAAAATAATGTATATACATATAATACGATATATACTCAAAGTGCATAATGAAAAAATACACATACAATTAAAAATACTGCAATGTATATTAATTACAAATTATCAAAAATATATTTATATATTACGTAAATATATTTATATATTTAAGTCAATTAATTTTAAAATATAGTATCTACTAAGTCATGGTAGAAAAAATATCATTCTGTATTGAAAATTCATATCACGATGTTTCAATGTAATTAAAATTCAATATATATCTAAAAATGGACTGTTTTACAGTCCATTTCAGTATTTACAATTTTTTTTTATTTACTATGTTTTTTCATACTTGGCGTATTTAGTAAAACTTAGCATTTTTTGTCATAATAAAAGTGAATAAAATTAACGAATGATTACTAGAATAAATATATTTGTTTTGATTAATTGTTATATATATATATATATATATATATATATATATATATATATATATATATATATATATGTGTTATTGCCACATTTTTAATTACTAATTTCATTAAAATACTTGCCAATAACAACATGCTAAATATAAAAAATGTGGTTTAGGTAGAAATTAATAGTAATTAATTAAAATGTCCATTGGAAACCATTTATTCCGTCCAATATATTATTTAAAATTGCACTAAAATGTGCTAATATAATAACCTCATATTTTATAACTATAGTTTTTTTATGTCACAAAGGTGGGAAAGGTTGTAAACAAGCATACGATCTGCCTGACGGTAAATTATTACCATAGCCTCTTAAACATTGCTAACTATGTGACTGTACTTTTAAAATTTAATAGTATTGATTATTTACTTAAAATTTGCTTTATTTCTTACATGTTTGTTTTATCATTCGATTATTTATAAAAAATATTATTTCACGAGCATTATCATAATACGTATATCTGATTTAATTGGATTTTGTATTGTTGAAATTATCGATGGTATAATTCATCGACTGCTGGATTTCTTAGTGTTTTTTTTTTATATTGATTCTGTCTACTCTACTGTATAGTCATTAATTTTAAGTATATGTTTAAATTGTCCCTTTTACTCCTTTATACTTAGACAAGGATGGGAGCAAATGTTTATACTAGTATTATTATATATATTTCTTTTATAATATAACAAAATTGTAATTTATATTTCATTATATTGTATATAATGCAATAATTAGAAATCAAATTGATTGTTATGCAGCAATTGCTAGTCTAAAGTCCGCATTAGATTAATTAATTTTTACATACATACATACATATCTGTCACGCCTGTCTCCCAGGCAGGGTAGGCAGAATTTTTTTAGTAAACAGATTCGGTATAACTCGTTATGATAAAAAAAAATACGATAAGAACATTTTTGTTTGTCTACATTATTTTTGAATGTCTAATTTCATTAAAAATATATTATGATTGTTTACCATAAATGAAATAAAAAAAAAAAAAATTTCGCTTGATATTACGAGACTTTCATGCCGGTGTCTAACTGGAGTAGTTGCTTCATGAGCTCGTAGGTGGAGAATGACGTGGCAACCATCGGTATTGCCCTGATGTAGTTTATACTCATCCCGCGGTACAACCCTTTCACTATACCGTTCTCTCGGTATATGAGGGTTAGAGTCTTGATCATGCCAGCGCTGTGGATATGAAGAGAACGATTAGTCGACATTATAATTTGAGATTGCGTTCCACAAAAATCAGACTTCAATTTTGGCAAAACCACATCAACAAAAAAAATTGTTTTTAAAACTAAACTACTAAACCGATTCTGATAAAACTTCTATAGGACTTATCTGTAGGTGTACCTTTTCTGATAAAAAAAAGAAATTTCCAAATCGGTTCATCCCTTAAATACCTGAAGTTTCAAATTTGATACCGGGGTTTTAAATCGCATTGGGCGCCTACAATCGATTTTATTTTAATATTTGGCGGTTTACATGTTACCAAATGTTTTTTTTCAAAATAAATATATAAAAATATCGTTTTCATTTTTTTACTATTTTTCCCCATTAGTAAACACAATAAAGGATACACTTATATATTTTTAATTTGATTTAAAAAAATCAGGCTTTTAAGGGTTAAAACTGATGGAATTATTAGGTAACAAATAGGAAAAAAAATATAACCAAACTGAGAATAAACTATTTGGAGTCGGTTGAAAATTGCCACTCCTAAGGTCTGGGGAGCGTTTAAGTATTACGTAACGCAATTTGGGGGAAGGGTATTCGAACAACGCGTTATGTAACTTTGTTTATTTTTTTATTTAAATAAAAAAAACTAGGGAATTAAAATTTCCTAAGTTGGCAACCCTTTTCGTAAGGGAAATCCTTCAACTGTATTACACTCGTAGGTATTTTTTTTTGTTTCCGTTGTCAATGCAAGTTAATGTAATCGTTAGTGTTGTGAGTGTAAAATTGGTCACTTGAATGTTACGTAACGAGAAGGAGGGTATAGAAAAATGTTACGGCCCCTTATATGGTAAAGAGAGGGGGGGGGGGGGGGGGTTAAAATATTCAAAATATGCGTTACGTAATACTTGAACATCCTTCCTGGCACACTTCATATTGAAACACACTCATGCAAGCAGTGCTGCTTAGCGGCAGAAACGTGAATGGGTTAGAGATAGAGGAACCCAGTTAGATGTTGTCTTACTTATGCACAAAATATCTCTATTTAAATATAACAAATATTTAAATTTCCGACTAACTCTTTAATTATGGAAAACGCAGTTAACGATTGCAGTAGGTTTGTCTTTAGTCATGTTGAATTCTAATATACTCAGCGAAACGTGAGCAGGCCCCCAAGACAGGTGGCAAGCAAATTTGTCGATAGAATCGACATCGCTAGTAAGTCCATGAGTTGGAGTGAGACATCCGACGTTGCTATCTCATTCTATATGATGAACTCGCTAGCGATGTCGCCTGCCGCTTGTCTAGATGATCAGGGCCTCTAGACAAGTGGCGAGCGATTTCGTCGCTGGAATCGACATCGCTAGCAAGTCCATGAGTTGGAGTGAGACATCCGACGTTGCTATCTCATTTTATCTCACGGACTCGCTAGCAATGTCGATTTCATCGACGAATTCGTTTGCTATTTGTCTAAATGCCCAGGTCGACTACTAAGTTCAATATAACAGCAACAGTCGACAAATGTCTCCAATTTCGGGGTAGTTTGAGCCATTTTTAGGCTATAGCTTTAACTACACCATGTCGTTGTATGCTCAAAATGCTTTCATCATTTAGCCAATATGTATAAGAATGATATTCGTTTTACAAGTTTAAAACCAAACAAATATGCAGCTGTATACATTATAATAAAATAACAAGAAAGAAAAAAAGAAAATATGTGTGTTTGCATACATATTCAAGGCGTGACGTAACGGTTATAATAAGCCGCAATCGAGTAACAGTATGACATTGATCGACTCGACTCTTTTTTATATATTCTGAAGTGACTTCTAAATAGATAAGTATCTTAATTCGTCTGTATTTATTATTATATTATATTTAAGTGATAATTCCTTATGCAATCGATAGGTACATTACCTTGTTGATTGATTTGCGACACTAGAACCCTCACGATTATGCTTGTTGCATAAAATTATTTTATGCAAATTATTTTATGAAATATTTAAACGGGCACAATCGCATATTTTAATAAATAATGTTTATATATTTTAAGTGAAATATGTTTACGAAACGTCTCGTTGACATAGGCGTATTTAAGAGGGGCCCAAGTGAGCCGTGCCCACATCAGTATTGTCTGATGTCCACCTTAGGCTGTGAGCAAGGCTTTCAGCTATGCACAAGTTTGAGAGTACATAGTTAGGGATCAGGTTTGGTAAATAATCTTATTACATCAATGCTCGTTGATATATAGGTACATTATAAAAAAGAGACGAGAAGGAATAGCCATATACTGTCTTATTTCGTCACTAAATTCCTTGTATATGTATACAAAATAAGTATTGTATTGAATAACCAACCTCCTGTACGTGTTGCCGTCACCAAGTGCAAGAAACATGCAAGAAGAAAGATATTCGTTAGGTCACGTTAGTTGTACAATAAGTTACATGGTTGATAACTTGATGATTGAACAGATTAATTAGAGAATACATATCGTCTTGCCAAATTATTTATACTCGTAGATCCAAGTGTTTGTTCCGCAAAATAAAAATAGTGATTGAGTATGTTGTGAAGTGACCTCATCAAAACGGCCACACAGCAGTCTATTGTGGAATGCTCTAGCTCGGCGGCGAACAGAAGTAGATGGAGACATATTGCGAGGACCTCAATCGCGAAGGAAAGCCTCATCGACGGTCCACTATCATTGTGAAAACCACGACCACTCTGTCAAGAGTGTACGACTGAAGAGAGATGTTGTGAAGAGTACTAGAGTTTAACAACAATATTAAAATGTGATTTTAATATTATCAACAATATTCGCAATAATACATATAAAACTTACTACTTGTGAAAACCTATTAGTGGCTTATTTTGTGATCCTAAACTGTATTTTTTTGCTCTAGTGTAGCCCTGGTTTTCCAATGAATAAATAAATGAATAAATAAAATCATATTAAAAATATGTTTACAATTTCTATTTACAAAACGATGTCTTGATTCAGTCAAATTTTGTTGATACCTAATTATTTCTCACGAATTAAGAAACTGTTGAAAAAAGGAGATCTACTCAATATCTATAGATAGTCCAATGATATTATAATAAAAGAAATAACACCATTGAGGTAGGTTAGCAGGATTTATCAGCGAATTTCAGTCTAAGTATTAATTGATTAAAACGTTTATCAAAATATGCAGCACCGATAAAATATAGAACGTGGATAAATTAATGGCATGTGCGTTAATACTGGGTGCAGTCGAATACATCAGCATTTTGAAGGAAATTCTACCAACGAAATTTAATATTTTCCCCAAAAGAATATAGCTTGAATGATAAAGAAAGATAAAGTTAAAATAAAAAAAATAAAATAAAAAACTTTGTTTAAAAACTAAGCTACTAAACAGATTTTAATAAAATTTCTATTGGAGTAATCTGTAATTATCATATATAATTTCATATAATTACAGATTGTAGGAATTTTATTTTCCTTCAATATGTCAGAAACCACAAACATATTAAGTTATGCTATTAAAAAATTTTCAAGTTAAGTTTGATATTTTTAACACGTCGAGAATTCATCAAATTTGGATACACTACCTAAATAGATACCAGTAAAAACAATAGTGCATCTATAGCAGTTTTGTAAAAGGCGTAATTAGTAAATAGTGGTGCATTTAGATTCTCATACATATTATTTTATTGTAGCCTACCTATACCATAGAGTAGAGAATATCACATCTCCCATATTTAGAACTAACAAAATTTTTCATCGTGCCTCCCACCAAATTGTTTATAATTACTCCTCTCCATCCAAAGGTTGCCTGGAAGAGATCGCTCTTAGCGATAAGCTCGCCCATTGTTTTCTCATTGTGATTATTTGTTGTAATTATTTATATTTATAATAAGTTTACTATTGTAATCTTTTGGAGGAAACAATAAAGAGTATCTATCTATCTATAAATAAATAAGAAATAACAGTAGAGAATTTAAAGACAAAATTTTATGTTTTTTTTTTTCACTTTTTCAATGTTTTGGAAAGTACTAAAATGTTAAATAGAATATAACTAAAACTACTGGATTGAAACTGTTGCTACTTTACGACAAACCAGACGCCTAAACTAGTTTTACAAATAATTATATGATCAAACATTAAAATGCCTAATTTACAATATATCTTTTTGTTTTGGGCACAATTAGTAAATACAATAAGGATGTCTTTTTATCGAAATAACAGTGCATAAAATAAATAAATAGCTCGCTAGGTTTCTATATTAATTATATAATTCTAGCTTTCACACACGACTTTTCTATTTTATATAGTACAAGTATACCAAACTTCATAGTAATTGGTTAAGCCATTAGGCACTTACAGGTAACAAACAAACAAACTTACTTTTAAATTTATATAATTAGTAAGAAATTGTATATTATTATTTTTGTCACTTTTAGTTTTATTTTAAATGACAAAATTCGATAAAAAACGTACTAATACATATATATATATATATATATATATATATATATATATAGACAGTACAACAAGTGGTGTAATATATTTATTATCGCTTACCCAAACTTCTCCGTCTGTGGGGTCATGCAAGCGAGCTGCATGCGCCGGCGCGTCACGTCCAACGGATAGGACACGGACTGCGCCACCGCGCCCGCCAGCCCGCCGCAGAGGAGCTTAGCTGGCACCGTCAGTACTAGCCCACCTGGAGGAATATCCAATCATGTATGGCGTGTAGACGGGAAGGGCTCGTTAGTAATGCTGACTATCAGTCGCATTGCTAGCAATATATCCAGTCCGGTCGACCTCCACGTGGTCTTCCCAGGAAACCATTGTGTTTAATTCTCGTGGAATTCTTCAAGGGCTAACTGACCTGCTTTCTTTCTCACATATCATCCCTCATTGGTGTCCCGCAATTGTATACCGTTAGATTACGATCCCCATCCATTCCATTTCCATCTGCAAAAAACCTATACCATTCTACTGCAAGGCAAAGGAATCTTTTATTTCCTATAATGCGACATCTCGAATCATTTATTGACGGAATCGTTATCGCAAGCGAGTTCATGACTTGGAATGAGTCATCGGAAGTTGCTATCTCATTCTATCTTGTCTTGTCTAGAGGATCAGGCCTATTTGATGGCCTCGTTTCCTGGGCTGACCATGACGACGCCCTGTAGACAGGTATGCACGGTGGAGATCTTTGTATAAAAGTACCAGAGCTACTTTCTACTATGTGGTCTACATGGGTACCTCTGTCCTATTCTTATTTCAGTAGTTTCAAGAAACTTCGCTATTGATTGTTTTAAACAAGAATTAAGTTTACAAGTTAAAAAATATGTAATAACAATGACTAGCATAAATTTTATATTGATAAAAACTATAATCAGTCGCAGTATTCTTAAACAGACCAGCCCTTATGAGAGGCACCCGTTCACGAGTTAGGGGGGGAAAAGGATTATTCATAACGGGATCTAACAGTTCCATTGCTAGCAATGTACCCTATCAGGTCAACCTCCACGCGGTTCCCCCTGGAAACCATCCTGGTTATTTTTAACGGATTATTTCACGATGGGCTAACTGACCTGCTTTCACCCTCACCTCACTCTCACTGGTGCCCCGCCAGCGTATACCGATAGTACAGACGGGGTTTACCATGCCATTTTCACCCATAAAAAAAAACACTGTTCACGAGTATGACGCATGAACGAGCTATCGTTGTGTTCAACTATGTTATATGGAGCCTATTTACTATTGAATGACTAATAACAGCAAAGGCCATAGATGGATAATACTCGTATTTACTTAAAGACTTATAACCGACCTTATTTATAAATATTGGCATAGCCATACAAAATACAACACATATGCATGTATGTTTGGTACGTCAGAGCGGGTGTGTCTGTTTATATTCCCCTGAAATATTTCGCTGTTGGAAGCGAAGCGAGCCAGACAGCTCGACTCTCCAGTTATTTATAATAGCAGTTCCTGAGTCCAAAGGTTCATTTGCAATTTGCGTGCTTGGTATAGATGCAAAATGCATATTTTCATTACACTATTTAACGTTTACTATACGATGTGATTCAGATATGAATACAATTCGTTTGCTAAGTTTCAAAGTCGACTTGACGGACTATTTGTTATTATAAAAGCCGTGTGGTACCGGCATAGAACGGGCCACACCTTCCTTTACCATGCGTATCGTATGAGGCGATTTGTGTGTGGAATTCGTATTTTTTTTTAATGTATGATAATGGAATGGTAACCCCGCCTGCGCTAGCGGGATACGCTGGCGGGGCACCAGTGAAGGATGATAAGTGAGGATGAAGTAAGTCAGTTAGCCCATCGTGACGAATTCAACAAGAATTGTTCACGATGGTTTCCAGGGGGATCACGTGGAGGTCGACCTAATAGGGCATATCGTTAGCAATGGGGCTGTCAAAATCCATTGCTAACAATCCGTTTCCCCCCGTGGAATACGTGTTGGAATTACTCATTCCAACTAAATTGTTGAAACGTCAAATTGAGACAATACTCGAGTGGTAATAACGTGTTCTCAGATAAGGATAGTCACGTGCAATAATATGTAAACAATATTGTATTTTATCGCAACAAACATTCTTAGTTTGTCTGATTAAAAAGTGGCCAGTACTATCAATCATGTTACGATCACAGTACATTACCTTATTATTTTACTATCAGGCATAGACTCTCGACCCTAACTGAGGAAGTACATGGATTTAGTACTTCATACTGTATATACTGTCTATTAGATCAGCGCAATCTCTTGCCTCGTTCAAGAGGCAGGTAAAATCTCATTACCTATCTCTTTAATTTGCTTTGACGTTTACGTGTGATTTATCTTGATCTATTTAGTATATTTATGTTTATGTATTATATATGTATGTTTATGTATTGTAATCTTATTTTTATATTTAGAATATTTTGCATTTTGTTTGATTCCTTTTATGTATTTACTGTGTCTGACTTGCGCCATCTACCTTTCTCTCTGTACTTATCCATTCTTTATGCCAGGTTGTCTGTAAGAGATTGCTTTTAGCGATAAGGCCACCTTTTGTATATGCACATTCTGTATACATCTCTCCTGTGCGCAACAGTTTATTATTATATAATATATAGGCGGCGCTCTTGTCGAAATTGTATACCTGTAACTTCAACCTGAGTGCTCTAAAAACTTTACATTCCCACCTGTACGAGCTACAGTCATACATAACAAATTTACTTGTATATTAATATATACTTATTTAATAACCTCATTAAAATGCCTCTTGGCATAAACGCAGGTGATGTTAAGAATATATTAACATTAATAAAGTAAATTATACGCTCTCTTAAAGTTATTCTAGTATTATATTATTCGACTCGAAGGACCAAATATTGGATCTGTTACATTTTTTTTATACAACTTAGAATGGCAAACAAGCTGACGGCCCACCTGATGGAAAGTGGTAACCGTCGCCTATAGACATGAGCAGTACTATGGACATAACAGAGTATACTGTTTCGCCCATAATACCCCCATGCGTTGCCATTCCTGAGGACTCAGGTGTTATTCTTCTGTACCTAGTAAATTCACGCCATATCCCACCCTTCAAACCGAAACACAGCCATGCAAACACAACTGCTTCACGGTTGAAACACGAATGGGACAGAGGTACCCAAGCATTCGACTTTTGTACAAAGTCTCCCTCTGGTGACAATAATAATAAGGACATGTTGATAATGTTGAGACGTATGCGGGAAGTTGCCAAAGATAGTAAAAAACGTTGTTGATTTTTGGCATGCAGCATTTCGCAATGATTTGTTCATCATTATATCGACCGTTAAGTGTCCATTGTTGAATATAGGCCTCCCCCTACTGGGGGATTTCTACGCTTGGCAATCACAGTTAGGATTTAGTGGTGTTTTATGACCATCCTTCGACCATGGGAAAGGAAGGGGTGACCTATTCTCTGCTAGGACCACACGGAACTGTCATTTGTTATATTATCAATCAATCATAGCCCATGGTATCCCATTGCAGGGAAAAGCATCCCTCAACTGCTTCCAAGTTACACGATCGCTGGCAAAGCTATACCAGTCTCTGTAGAACGGGTAAAGATCTTCTGTCCATCGCATACGAGAATATTATTATTAATAATACGTACTTTATCTACAGTGTGTGGGCGGGAGGTGCCAGGTGCCAACTACTTACCGACGATTGATTTTATCAAACAAATTTCATTTCATCAACCGATCTTATCTATTTTTGGAGTGTACAATAAATAAGTGTACTGAATACAATATCTTATATTTATATAAAATGGTAATATTAAAATTAGCATTTCGATTTTTTGTTTTATACAACTTAGAATGGCAAACTAGCTGACGGCCCACCTGATGGAAAGTGGTAACCGTCGCCTATAAACATGAACAGTACCATGGACATAACAGACTGTTTCGCCCATGATACCCCCCATGCGTTGTCATTCCTGAGGACTCAGATGTTATTCCTCTGTACCCAGTAAATTCACGCCATATCCCACCCTTCAAACCGAAACACAGCCATGCAAACACAAGTGCTTCACGGTTGAAACACAAATAGGACAGAGGTACCCAAGCAATCGACTTTTGTACAAAGTCTCCCTCTGGTAGATTGAGTTTAATCATCATCATCATCATCATCATATCAGCCATTATCTGTTCACTGCTGAACATAGGCCTCCCTCATTAAACCGTCATAAAGAACGGCCCTAAGCCACCTGCATCCATCGAATCGCTGCAATGCATTTGAGATCGTCACTCCATCTAGTGGGGGGTCATTTTACACTGCGTTTGCCTGTAGGGGGTCGCCACTCAAGGACCTTTCTTCCCCACTTTTATTTAGTTTTGTGAGTAGCATATTTGATGTTTGGTTCGTTCAATACAATTAGAGTGAGTTAGAATGTTAAGACCTTATGTTAATTTTGTTCATCGAATTTAGATTGGCAAATAAGTTGACGGCACACTAGATAGCAGTAACTATTTCCTATAAACATCGATAGTGCGATAGACATTACAAAATACACTGTGACACCCATGGCAACCCATGTTTGCCTTTGTTCCCTATAATTTCATTACTATATTATATTGAATCGAAACAGTAATACGCTTAGTTACTTTGCATAAGAAACACGAGTGGGACAAATGTACCCAAACAGACAGAAAAACCTACATTTTACACATTAAAAACAATTACATAACATTAATTGGAAATACGTTTATCTAAATATTACACATTTATAATTCACTAGTGATTCAGCCCGGTTTCACACGGGTATATCAATATATATAATAAAATCATAACTGGTCGCTGTCTGTACATGGAAAATATATAAGAAAAACTATTATAGGGGGGCTAAACGAACGAAATAGACTCCAAAAGAATGATTTTTAGAATTTTTGTCTGTTTGTATGACTGTTTGTTTGTGCCTTCATGCACGCTAATCTCAGAACCGGCTTAACCGATTTGAACGCAGTTTTTACTAATGCGTTGCGGTTTACTTCACTTAACATTTAGTGTTTGTTTTATTTCAATCGATTTGTAAAAAAAAAGTTTATATCAATTTAAAGAATTCCCACCTGTTCGAAGTTAAGGCGGGTTGCTGGTAGAACATTATGTAGCCTACATTACCCACTGATAATGTAGTTTTTATAGGTTTTTTTAATCGGTTGAATAGTTAAGTTTTTCAATTACAAACAAACAAACAAATGCTTCTTCTTTATCGTATTAGTATAGATAAACGAGTAGTAACATATTATGACGTATAGAGAGTTTGTTACAATTAGATAAAATATAAAAAAAAAAATGTAAAACACTAACATGACATGTCGTAAGGTCATTCAAATCACGAGTGAAAAGTTATCTTATATGTGTTTATGATTTCGATTCACGTAACTCCTTCTGGCGATATGTATGATAATACTTAGATGTACTTATAATAACTGATAATAACCGATATTGTGTTAAAAAAAAAACTGACTTCTATTGTGGCAAAACCATTTATTTTAATTTAAAAAACTAAACGGTTTTGATAAAATTTTTATAGAAGCGATATGTAAGTTTTTTTTTCTCAGATACAAAAAAAAAATCCATACATTTCATGTCGGAAAAATCAGACAACTCTATTTTTTTTTATGGGTGAAAATGGTATGGTAACCTCGCCTGCGCTAACGGGATACACTGGCGGAGCACCAGTGAAGGGTGATGGATGAGAATGAAAACAGATTAGTTAGCCCATCATGATGAATTCATCAGGAATTAACCATGATAGTTGCCAGGAGGAACCGCGAGGGGGTCGACCTGGTTGGGCATATTGCTAGCAATGGGATTCTCAGTCTCCATTACTAACAATCCCTTTCCTCCCAGACAACTTTATTAGATTGGTGCAAGAGAAAGGACTAGGGAATAGACTTTACTGTTCCTCGCAACTTTGCCCATTTGAATTAACATAACTATTATCCCTATTATACGCTGGATTTTTGTAGTCGATTTCAAATGGGACTCCACGTCACATTCGCTCTGAGATGGGAAGTATAAAATCAGGTTTTTAGCAAATAGGAGGTCACCAGTACCCACACGGCTTAGAAACAGTGTCTGCATGGCGTATTTTCCAGATGTAAAAAAATATATATTCTATATATGTAAGTAGCAAATTTCATGCAAATTACCAGAGGTAGATTGCATGAAAGTCATTTTCTTTACATTAGAGTGCCTCTGTCCCATTCGTGTAACTGCTTTTTTTGTGTGGCTGGTGTGACACGGCAGTGAATTTATGGAATATGGACTCATAACATCTTTTTTTTTTATGCAACTTAGAATAGCTGACGGCCCACCTGATGTAAAGTGGTAACCGTCGCCTATAGACATGAGCAGTACCATGGACATAACAGAGTATACTGTTTCGCCCATGATACCCCCCATGCGTTGCCATTCCTGGGGACTCAGGTGTTATTCCTCCGTACCCAGTAAAACATCTTCGGGATTGACAACGTACAAGGAATATTATGGGTGTTACTCTGTATTTTGTAATATCCATAGAGTTTTTCATGTCTATAAGCGACGGTTACCACTTTCCATAAGATAGGTCGTCAGCTCTGGCCCGGTTCGTCTTCAAGCTGTTAATACATGACGTTAACATATCTTTATAGATTTTTGCTTATAAAATATTAGGATATTGTGGCTGTACTCACCAGTATTCCTTTCGCATTTCCGACATAACGTATTCGGTACGTATTTCATGCAGAGGAACTTGAGGGATTCGAAGCAGTAGAAACTAAATCCGGCGTACGGGACCATTCCCACCATGGTTGGCACGAAACCACGGTAGAGGGCGCGGATGCCGCCTTCCTAGCAACGACAGTAGTTGGTTTGTATTCGAGAATTATAAAGCTGAATTTAAATAGAATAAAGACATCTTAGACAATAGATGAGCTCACGAGTATGAGTTAGATAAAGATGGTGGTAATCATATATTTTTTATACAACAAAGGGTAAACGAGCATGCGGCTCACCTGATGGTTAGTGAATATCGCCACTCATGAGTCACTAGAGCAACACCAGAGGCATTGCAGGTGTGCTGCCGGTCTTTTAAAAACGAACATGCTCTTTTCTTGAAGGTATGATCTCGTACTGGTTTGGAATTATATTATTATTGACGTTCTTTCTAATGTGAGCGCAAATCGAAACGATTCCATATTCGATAATCGCAAAGACATATTTATATATATCTTGTTTATCAATTGCCTAGATAGGCAGATATTGAAATAGAAAATATAATCAGATTGAAAGATCAACATATAAAATTGTTTGCGAATAGAATTGACCAAGTATTATTTAGATATTTATATTTGATCTATATCAAACTTTATTTTTAAATAAAAAGAATATTTAACGGATTTTTAAAAGGGAGATTTTCAAATTGATTCTATTTTTCTTGTGTGTAGGAGTCTTAAGAAACAGACTATTGTGTATATTTCTTCCATACGAGGTTTGTCCGGAAAGTACGTATAAAAGTTTTTTAAAAATTTTATTTTACAATTATTCAGGTAAATCAATTTTATCCCCTTCAAAGTACTCCCCCTGTGACATAATGCACTTGTGCCAACGCCGTTTCCACTGTGAGAAGGCTCCTTGAAAGTCCTCTGGTTGTAGGTTTCTCAGCTGCCCCGTCGTAGCTTTTTTTTTCATTTATGTCCCCCAAATGCCGCCCCCGAAGTACCAATTTGGTTTTTGGGAACAAGAAGAAGTCACACGGGGCCAAATCCGGCGAATAGGGGGGGTGTTCGGTCACCGTAATGGAATTTTTACTCAAAAACTCACGGACAACAAGAGAGGTGTGGGCAGGGGCATTGTCGTGGTGAAGAATCCAACGCCCCTCTCGCGCCAATTCTGGACGAACTCGTGCCACACGAGCTTTGAGGCGTCTGAGCACATCGACGTAGAATTTTCCATCAACTGTCTGGCCTGGAGGGACGAATTCTTGATGGACAATCCCCCGAACATCGAACTCTTTCTCGGCCCTCTCTGAATCTTTTTAGCCACTTGTGGACGGTTGGTTCCTTCACAGCATCATCCCCATAAACTGTTCTGAGATACATTTTTAAGGCAAAAATTTCACGGCCATTCTTGCCGAGTTTCGAGAGAAACTTGATTACGACGCGCTGCTCTTCAACGGAAGCGGGCTCCATGCCGACGGGGTTTCGTTAAGAGGTAACTTCACAGATGGCGTGTCGCACCGCACGGCGGTCAGACCAGAACTGAAGCATTGTTAGGGACATAAGGAAGGGGTCCTGCGCTTAAAAGAACACTTTTATACGAACTTTCCGGACAGACCTCGTATTTATGCTTTTCAGGGTTCTACATTTTAAAGAAGATTGAAGTCAGTTTTAACTTAATTTTAAAAAAATTACGAGTTAAGTTAAATTGTAAAAAAAATTAATAGCTTACCGTTTTGAACATGGTGGATGCGGCGTGCACGATCCCTGTATACTTGTGCTCGCCAGTGATCTGGAAGGCAAGACGAGCGCGGATCGTGTCCAGGGGGTAGGTCAGCGTGACAGCGGTGAGGCCGGCCGCCGCGCCCGCTACGAACTTATCGCCGTGTTGCACGACCGGTATATGCACTCCGTTTAAATACTGTGGAAACAAATGGAAATGTATTGGCTGTGTTTCGTTTTGAAGGGCGAGATATGACAATGAAATCACAGGGTATAGAAGCAAGGCGTGAGAGGTATCATGGGTGACACTCTCTATTCTATTATGCCCATGATATTGTTCATATCTGTAGGCGACGGTTACCAGTTTCCATCAGGTGGGCCGTCAGCTTGTTTTCCATTCTAAGTTCCATAAAAACATTAGGATATAAACTTTTTTTAACGCTAACCCTGCATTTTTTTTACAACATAGGGGGAAAACGAGCATGCGGCTCACCTGATGGTAAGTGACTACTGCCGCCCAGTGACTATCACCGCCCATTCTTTAATGTAATTGGACTGGTAACCCTATGTCCTTCTCCGTCCCAAATATTATGTACAAGTTAAATACAGAGATTGCTATTTATACCAAGAGATAACAAACAAACAATTAGACAAACAAACTTTCAAGATCATAATATTAGTGAGTATTATAAGAAACATAACAGTGTCGTGGTCTAGTGGAATACTCATAGGTTCCAAAGGTCATGAGTTCGAATCTGCTTGACAGCCAAAACTTTGTGTCTATTGAATTTTTTTTTTATAAATAATAAAACCTTTTGGTGATAAATCCGAGTAACGAGTAGGGTTACCTCTTTTTGATTTTAAGCCAAGTTTGATTTAAATATGCTTGGTGAAATGTGGACATGTCAAGTGTCACGTTGGCACAGCGATCGACAAGTGCATACCTTATTTATTTTCATTTAAGATAATAACTTGATATCATTTGAGCTTTGTAGAGTCATCGATTAAATAATCGATTGGGTCCAAAGTATTTCCAAAGAAAACATTTGATAATAATTTACATCTCATCACTTTTTTTATAGACCTATAGATAAAGTATAAATAATATATTTTACTATTTTTTTTAGATACTGTGAATTACAATGTCGATCAATAAGTAGGTACTCTGGACATTTTGAACACAAACCGAATAATCTGAACGGATTTTTTTTTATTCTTCAATTATCATTAGTATATAATTTTTCCCCCATATTTAAGAGATGCGCTCTTGCCGATGGAGCTCTTGCCACTCACTACGATTTTCAGCGAGCCTCTTCACCTCTTGTTACGACACAATACCAACTTTTTCTTTTATCTGCCTGATGTAATTATGACTTGGTCTCTCCATTCCTGTCATTCCTTTTATTTTAGTATTTCATTATATTTTCAGTAAAATATTGTTCCCAGTAAGAAATATATATTTTAAAATATGTTAGGAATATAACAGCTTCATCATAGTATCGTATAGGGAGGTCGTTTTGATTTTTCTACTATTTTTCCCCATTAGTAAACACAGTAAAGGATACACTTATATATTTTTTAATTTGATTTAAAAAATCAGGATTTTAAGGGTTAAGTAATCTTTCAACGTGGATTGCACGTCGTGGTCACGATAGAACAATGAAAAATTTGGTACTATTTATCTGCAATTTTGCATTGCCTGCATCGCGCCAAGTACCGTTAATGTATTTAAAATGTGTGTCAACAACGCGAACGTTTAAAATTATATCGATTCGATTATTTACATTTTCATTGTTATTAAAATAAACTATACAAATGTTAAATATATAAGCTATCTATCTTAACACCATGTGGTTTATGGGGTAAGCAGAAAAAACCGTAAAGTCATAACAATAAAAGTCATAAAATGTTGTAGAAAAATTCGACGTGCGATTGTTGTAATCCCTACAATGTACATAGTTATGTTAAAGGCCTAGAAACACGTATACCAAGAAAGTGACGTCTACCGTAATGGCCATTAGATATGCACACATAATCACGGCATGAATTTTATGGTGTAACTCTTACAAGGAAGGACATAAGAGTCATAATTGCACACGATATTTTTATGGTACGTTCGTCACCATGAATTCCGGTATGCGTCCCAGATTTTAAAACGTTCACTTTCAAAAACCACAGCTATGTCATCACTGACCGTAAAGTACTCATTATAAATTAATTAGTAATTTGTAAGTAGACGGCAGTCGATATTGCAAATCAAGTTTTGCACGAGTTCTTACAAATATTATAAAAATGACAATAAGTTTGTTTGTTACCTATTGACGCCTTGACGGCTGAATTAATCGTCTATATATATTTTTTAATAGATGATAATGGAATGTTATTACCGCCTGCATCATCGATCGGTCACCAGTGAGGAATCATAAGTTAGGATGAAGCATGACAGTTGCCTCTAGTGACCAATTCAACAATAAATCAATCATGATGGTTTCCAGGGGGAACCACGTGGAGGTCGACCTGATAGGGTACATTGCTAGCAATAGAACTGTTAGATCTCATTACGAACAATCCTTTTCCCCCAATCAATCAATATAGCTATCCCGGTCAGATAGACGAAGTCACGGCAAAAAACTATTAAAGAATATATGTTATGTATACAAAACTTATTAACACTACAGTTTAATATCTTCGGCTCCTCACAATTCTTTTTTTTTTTAATCATATACAACCCATGTTATTTACTGATAATATAATTTTCTAAAGGTGAAAGAATTTTTAAAATCGGTGAAGCATTTTTCGAGTTAATCCATTTAGGGAGACTTTGCACAAAAGTCGACTGCTTGGGTACCTCTGTCCCATTCGTGTTTCAACCGTAAAGCAGTTGTGTTTGCGTAGCTGTGTTTCAGTTTGAAGGGTAGGATATGGCGTGAATTTACTGGGTACGGAGGAATAACACCTGAGTCCTCAGGAATCGCAACGCATGGAGGGCATAATGGGCGAAACACTACACTCTGTTACGTCAACATGGTACTGCTCATGTCTATAGGCGACGGTTACCACTTTCCATCAGGTGGGCCGTCAGCTTGTTTGCCTATTCTAAGTTGTATAAAAAAAAATTGCAAACAAAAAAATTTACATTTCTCCTTTATAACAGATGTAAATGTACGAGGTTTGTCCGGAAAGTACGTATAAAAGTTTTTTAAAAATTTTATTTTACAATTATTCAGGTAAATCAATTTTATCCCCTTCAAAATCCCCCTGTGACATAAAGCCAACGCCGTTTCCACTGTGAAAGGCTCTTGAAAGTCCTTGGTTGTAGGTTTTCAGCTGCCCCGTCGTAGCTTTTTTTATCTCATTTATGTCCCCCAAATGCCGCCCCCGAAGTACCAATTTGGTTTTTGTCACACGGGGCCAAATCCGGCATAGGGGGGTGTTCGGTCACCGTAATGGAATTTTTACTCAAAAACTCACGGAACGATCTTGGCGCAAATTTTTTTCATTTAGTTCGTTTCTTAGAATTTCGTGGACCACGGTTTTGCCCAAATTAAGCTCTTCAGCCACCTGTCTGACCGTTAAACGACGGTCCCCAAACACAGAATATTTCCACGTTTTCGTCGGAATGTGAAGTGGAAGGACGTCCTGAACGTGGGTCATCTTGAACGATCGGCCCTCTCTGAATCTTTTTAGCCACTTGTGAAGATTGGTTCCTTCACAGCATCATCCCCATAAACTGTTCTGCAAAAATTTCACGGCCATTCTTGTTTCGAGAGTTATTACGACGCGCTGCTCTTCAATAACTAATATATTTTTTAATCACAGATGGCGTGACAAATGCAACAATGAATCGGCGGTCAGACCAGAACTATTGTTGGGTTACAAGGGGTTTTAGAGTATCATTCCAGAACACACACTTTCCGGACAATATATATATCTCCTTTCCAATGTGACGATAACAAAATACTATAAAGAAAAACTATTAAAAGTCGAAACTTGTCTGTTTATTTCAATTCATACAAACCCCGGCTCTGACCTTCATTTTGATTGAGATGTATTCCAAAGCAATTCTATTTCCAGTTATGTCATAAGTATTTGTACCTACTTGTAAAACACAGAATATTTGCATAGCAAGTAGGTAATAGACCGTACCAACGCGTAACGATCAGGTATATGAAGATACCTATACATGCCGATTGTGTTTGAGTAATTATGTAGCTATATGAATAACAAAAATTTTTTTTTAATCTATGTAAATGCAACAATGAACCCGTCTGCACTATTGGGTTACAATTTCAGAATATCAATGGTACACATATACAATATATATATATATATATATATATATATATATATATATATATATATATACACATGCAGTAACAACAATAAGTTAATAACAATGATAGCAAAGGCGAACTTGTCTCTAAAAGAGATTTCTTCCGGTCAATTTAACATAGGGGCACAGGAAGTAGTAGTGAAAAACATAAATTAAAATAAATATTTACATACAATCTATATATATCTACTTATTGTGGGGTTGGGGGGCGCATGGAATGGTAACCTCGCCTGTGCTCTCGGTTTACGCTGGTGGGGCCCCAGTGAAAGATGATCAATGAAGGCGAGGATGAAAGCAGGTCAATTGACCCCGCTAATTTAACAATAATTCACCACAATAGTTTCCAGGGGGAACTGCGTGGAGGTCGACATGATAGAGTATATTGCTAGCAATGGAGCTGTTAGACCTCATTACTAACAATCCCTTTCCTCTCTCTTATTGTGGAGATATACCGATATCCATGAATGGGCCACTCCTTCTTATTGCGTGCGTGTTGTAAGAGGCGACTAAGGGAACATAATGATCGAGGGATGGGCAGCAGCATACCTCTTAAATCATCACAAAAACTTAATTGCGGTTCCTAACCCCGCCATGCCAGCCTGCCAGCATGGCAACCACTGGCAAAATTCCCTAAGCAGGAGGCCAATGTTCAGCAGTGAATAGTTAACGGCTAATATAATGATAATCCATGTCCTGTTAGAGAGACATTACTGTCAATAACGTCTCCCTAAAAGCCCAGTAACTTATTTGATATATTATGATGATGAAGTATTTGTATTGAGTAGATACATTATTGAACTTTAGGTCAAAATATAAAATGTAATTGATTTATGAGTAGAAGAACAACAAAATATATACACAATGTATTATCGAGATAATTATAAGTGATTTGATAAATTAGTTGGACATTTATTCAGAAGGAAAATTGAATGTATTTTTAATATCCATTACATTTATTTTGCATATTTATTATATAAATTTAAATCTTTGTAATAACAAACACCCTCATTATCTTATCTAGGAAGTTATTACAATACTATCTATAGACTCAATATTATTTCATATCACAAGTAATTTCTTCAAATTTGCATGACTGCATGAATTTTTGAAGTAGGAAAGTGAATAACTTCTAAACTGACTTCTAAATGACATAGCAAGATTAAATGCAAATTAGACTTTAAGTTCGACCTTAAGGAATGCAACTGTGAAAACTGCATTTAATTCGGTTTTTTGCAATATGCTAGAACAAACCATGTAGACAAAATTCTAAAAAAATACTGTTTTGGTTGGAATTGCAAATGTTTTCTATTATACCTATATATGATTATATCTGGATATATTTACCAAGAAAGAGACACAGTTTAATATTTTACCTATTTCTTTACTAATATTAGAAATGAGAAAGTGAGTTTGTTACAGTTTGATACCTCAACTAATCATCAAGAAATTTATTAATAGAATTGCCATTGGAAAAGGACAAGCTTTTTATGTCAAACAATGTATCCCTATTATGTAGGTGAATTTACAGATAAAACCTAGTTATTAGATAAAATCTTGGATAGCTTAAAAATGTAAAATAATATCTAGGTACAACTGAGACTAGGTACAGTTAGCTTTTCACTATAATACCAAATATGCCCTCTCTTCCCTTCAAACCGCAGAGAGGTTCTTGCAAACTTATTTGTAACTAACAGATATATATGCAAGTGAATAAGCCAAATATAATAATATTAAGCTAATATAATTATTACTACTGAATTTACAGGAACATATATAAGAGTCTCAGTTCTACCTAACTTATTTACTCTCTTGAGATTACTAACCTTTTTATAAATTTCAAAGCTGGTGAATTGTGTAGCGGCGTAAGGAAATATCCGAACCATTTGAGCACCATTCCCTTTGTACAATGCAAGGAGAGACTCATTCCGTACTATGGCAGTTAGGCCACCGACTACGCCGTGATGTTTATAGTGGACTGACTGTGCTTGCAGAAGGATCTTGATCCGGTCTAGAGGAGCTACTGTTGTTTTAGCACACATGCCAGCAATACCTGGGAACAAAACATTTTAAGAGTAATTTTGACATCAATTTTTATTCATCATAGGGTTAAAAAATCACATAAAATATAATTTTGCAGTGAATATTGCAGAATCTCAATGATCTTTTTCTTAATTAGAATCATAGAAGGTACTGAATTTCATCAACATCTACCTGTAATAATAATGTACCTGATGTATATCTCAGTAAAATGTGATGATCTCAGTATTTCTTTTGTCATCAGGGGAAAAGATGAGCCAGTCAATATTTTACTCAGGGTCAATATTTTACTAATTTTCATTTTTTTTTTTTATTTTACTCCATTAACCATTCATATGAATAAATTTACAGAAAAAAAACTACTGAATAGTATAATAGTTATTAGAACATGGCTTACTATTTTTTTATATAATTAAAAAATGGACAATTTGGACAATTAATATATTTTATATATTGTTACAAGTATACTTATAAATTAATAAAAAATTTAATCACAAAAACCAAAAAAAAAAAATTAATATAAAACTACTTATTAACATTTATTATGAGAATGAAAATATTATGAAGAGGATCTTGGTATGGAATAGGAGATAATAGTTCAAGAATCTCCAAAATGTTTTTCAAGTTTTTTTATCACACACAAATTCAGCAACATGTTTTGTATGGAATTTGGTAATAAAAAAATATTTACAACATTTTAGTTGAATATTCAATTTTAAAGGAATTTACCCTTATTACCATGTAACATAATAATTATTATGTTAAAATTAAAGATAATTCCAAATTCTAGACTTTTAGGAAGTTTTTCTTTAATTTTAGTGATTATTATATAAAAAAAATTATAATATTCTAGATTATAAAAAATGGCTTTACCTCCAGCTAATAAACTCTTGAGTATAAAATCAAGATCATTTTTTTGTTCCATTTTCAGTGCCATCTTCACTCAGGAAGATTGCTTTCTATGAACTAACACACTATAAAGCATTAACGTATTCTTGTATTAATCAGATATTAACATGATATTTTTAAATTAAATAAAATTAACTAAAGTACACGAACACACAAATATCTTTCTATTCAAGATCCAACAATACACAGTACAGTCCACTCTAATCAAATCAACTTTGACAACTTTCACCGGCGGTTAGTGCCGCACTCCATTAGACTGGACTAACAGCACAAGGGTTTGCATCGAATTCTCGATTCGAATAAATCGAATCTATTTTATATATTACAATCAGTGAACTTGATTCTAGGACGCCATTTCTATAATCCTATTTCTTAACCTATTATTTTAATTAGATAATTTCGCGTAGTTACTGTTTTATGGACTATCATTAAATACATTTATAATAATTTTGATTTGGATGTATTAGAAATTTATTTCAATTACAAATAGTTTCTTAAAATAAAAATTTTGCCGCGATATCAAACTAAAATTTTAATTTTAGAGATAGGTTTAGAAAAATGGCGTCTCAGAAATTATATCATTGTTTTTTAGATGTTATTGATCTTACAATAGATCTATTTAGAAATCGACAAGAAAGGTTAAAGATTGATCAAGTGAATAATGATGTTCACATATATTAATATCTTGTCATAATCGTCATAAATAAGACGCGTTGGAGACGATTGGTTTCGGTTTAACCACAGACAATGTATGTGGATTTAATCATCGATTATTTTTCTATGCTTCTGTATCTACGTCAATTACTTAGGCAATTTTTTTTAATGGAATAAATAGAATGATAACCTATATTCATCCTATCTTCATTTATTGGTTCCCTGTCAACATTTACCAATAGCATAGACACCAGTAAGAAATGATAGGTTAGAATGAAAGCAGATCCGTTAATCCAATGTAATAAATTTCACAACAATTAACCATGATGAGTTCCAGAGGGAACTGCATGGAGGTCGATTTGATGAGGTATATTGTTAGCAATGGAGCTGTTAGACCCTTTTGGTAACAATCCTTTTTTCCCTACTTATGTGAATTAGGTACCCATACAAATATAGATTAAGGATAGTGCCTGATAGAAAGTACTATCCAATAAATGGGAGGGAACGGATTTTTAGTAATGTGGAGTATCAGTTTCTTTGCTAGTAGTATATCATATCAGGTCGACCTTCCCGTGGCTCCCCTGGAAAATATTCATCACAACGGGCTAACTGGCCTTTTCATTCTTACCTGTCATCCTTTACTGGTGTTTCGCCAGTGTATACAGTTAGCGCGGGTAGGGTTACCATTCATTATTATCCATTAAAAAAAAGTACACTCTAATTATCCAACAATGACAATATATTTTATGAAGATTGCTAAATGTTAACATAGCATGATTGCTTCCTAATAGATAGCTAGATAGGCCAAATAATTTTTTCTACAAAAAGCGCTATTTGCGATCTAGTGGCAAAAGACATTGACAATTTATGATAATAATTTAAAATCTTAAATTATTTTACAGAGGTATTACCATTATTCGCTCCTTTATTGGATTAATAATACAAAAAAAATGTCGAAAATTGACTACAAATATAGTGCAATTTCGGATTATCATTATTATTTGTTTTTTAAGGAATTGTCTGTCGGTTGTTTTTTTAAGGAAATGTCTTGACTATCCGTTTACCACTCATAAAAAATTATTGGTACCTTCCATCAAAGGCACAAGATGTCACTATTTATAAAATAAAGTAGTCAAATCTATTACACCGGAATAGTGCAGTAACAATAACAATGTTTTTAATATGGGATATCCATATAACAATGTATTTAATATTGAAAATAGAGAATAATTGAAAGGATTATTTTTTATAAAAATTTTAGTAGTTTATATGACATAAAAATCATTTCATTTTAATCATCGATTTCATCTCCGATGAAGGTCACCTTTATAAGCGCGAAGCTTAAACAGGAATATGTTACCACAGAGGTTGCGATGCTATTTTGACGCCGAAATTGAAAGCCCGTAACTATTGTTTACACAAGTAGTTGGTTTATCAGTGGGTCATTATGTTAGCATATATATCAAATATAAAAACTGTGTATCTGCACTCATGATTTCACCATGAGATGCGCGTATTGCGTACTGCACAGACGCACAGTCAGTGACTTATATATTACAAACTTTGAATCCGATAGGACGTGTATTAAAATTTTAAAACTTTAAATGTGACTTTAGAATTTAAAATAACTTAGTGAAATTTTAAGTGAAAAATATCTATAAATTATTTATAATAATGGATGTACCAGCAAAGGGAAATATTTTAGGACGTAAGTAATATATATATTTTATATTTTAGGACGTAAGTAATATATATATTTTATATATATTAGTTTAATATTATTAGGTAAGCACATAATATTTTTGACGTGATTAAAATAATGAACATAATGGCAGTTTAATTTGCGTTTTATTTTGTAAATATTCTTGTTGAAATAATAACAGTCTAATAATTATATTAAATAAAATGAAATGAATTTATGTAGATACAAGTAGATTTAAGATACTTTATTATGGTCTTACTATTGAGGGTCGAATTTGAATAGTTCAAAGTATAAAAAATGGTAATACAACGCTACTGAATTGTGCGTATATGGAACTAGTGCTAACTAGGTTTTGTAAAAAAAGAAACAAAAAAATGATAAGTTTATGTTACAATTGAGGATTGAGGTTTTGAAAAATTAGACTAGGTATTAGATTATATAATTGTGACAAATAATATTGTAGTTGAAATGAATATAATGAATGATTGATCGTTAGTCTCAAGGACCAATATTTTAAATTTTTTTAGTAGTACATATATCGACAGGGAATTCATTCTCTCACGTTCGAACCTAAATGGTTACGTACAATGTAGTTTCAGAGAAATTTTCTCCCGCAAACGCTGAGGCTGTGGAATGAGCTCCCTGCCGACGTTTTCCTTAGAGATTACAATATGGGATTTTTCAGAAAGGGTATATTAAGGTTTCTTCAGGGTCGGCAATGCGAACATGACGTCCCTGATGTTGCAGGCATCTTTAGGTTACAATGACCGTTTACCATTAGACGGGCTGTATGATTGTTTGCCATCTTTGTGGTATAAAAAAAAATTGTGTTATTTACGAATATTAAATTCTCATAAATAATATGTAAAGCTAGATATTTTTCGGGTATTGGTAGTTCAATGACTTTCTACGTTTATATGGATCGGTGTTTAATTTTTAATACAAATCTATAGGGCCACGACTACTTGATAGGATGATTACTTATTATGATCTACGTTTTGTTACTGATAGATTTATCATCGATAAATCATAGTCATATTATGTTTTTTCGAGACAATTGTTCGGTTTCATAAATTGCAGTTAGTGGATTTCAACAGATATCTAGGTACATTACAATTAAATTTGCCTTAATATTATTTTTAATACGTTTCCTATTTATCTTCTATTAATTTTAATCAGCTTTAAGAATCAATCATCTTTTTTTTTATACAACTTAGAATGGCAAACAAGCTGACGGCCCACCTGATGGAAAGTGGTAACCGTCGCCTATAGAAGAACTTTTAAACTGCAAATATATTTTATGCATATCTATGTTACGCGATATCTGTATCTAATTGAACCGATTTTATTTATCTATTTAAGGACAACCAACAAAGTATATATTTATATCTAATTAAAGTATATGATAATATGGTTACATTATAAAATGTTGCCTAATTGAAAGGTCGCCACGACACGCGATTTTGATGATTATTATTGCAAACGATTCTGGTTATTCCCGTGTTGGTTCCATACTAATTGTAATATAGTCGAATCTATGTAAGTACTTACTACGAGGACTTTAAAACAGCCGCACCAATTTGGTTAATTCTTTTCTTGTTGAATTTGTAATTATTAAGACAAAGTAATAAATGAAAATGTTTTGGAAAATCTTACGGAAAAATGAAATGTGGGTTAAAAATTGTCCGCACAAAAATTGGGTGAGACAGAAGACAGTACAACAATACAATGAAATAAAATAACAATTAAATATATCCCATATTTAAATGTTATTTTATTTCATTGTATTATTATACTGTCAAGGGAAGATTTGGTGTCATTTTCTTCATGAATACTATAGTTATAGTAATTTATTATTCAATAATACGTACTAATTTAGTAACTTTTGTAGTGTGCGGGCATTGATCTCGCGGTCATTGGAAAGTAAGATACTGTGTTAAATTGCTTATATTATCAAATACGTCAAATGTTTAATATTATGGATATTAAAAATGTGACTATCAAAAAGTTAAATTCATAACCTTATGGTTATGGAGTTATTTATTTGTTTATTGTGTTAATCTATAAATTTATACTTAGAGATTAATACAATGGTTAAAATGATGACGTGACCATGGTCACCTTTATTTAAAAATTTTCGTCGAATTTGACCATAAGTACCGTGGCAACAGTCACGTAGCACGCGACACTGTGTTTGTATTCGATCGCTTTCGATCCCGGTCAACGTGAGTCATATTCAGATTGTAAAAGGATATATTATATGATTTAATTATTTTTGGACAGTATGTGATCACGTATACTTTATTATTTAGTTAAATGGAGGAATAATATAAATTTTATTAAAAAAGTAGCTGACCCCGTAAACGTTGTTTTACCACTTATTGCGAAATATAAAAATCGCGATTAAAATACAGGGGTTGATCGTAAAACGATGAAAATTTAAAGTTGTGTGTATTTTTCAATGCTAAATCATAATAAAATAAAAATGGAAAAATTTGTTAAAAAAATAAAAAAAAGTTTTTTGGGGAGGGTCACCCTTATCCTTACCATTGAGGGGTATGAAAAATAGATGTTGGCCGATTCTCAGACCTACCCAATATGCACACAAAATTTCATAAAAATCGGCAAAGCCGTTTCGGAGGAGTTTGGTAACAAACACCGTGACACGAGAATTTTATATAACTTTTTGTTTCATACGTGTGGATTTTAAAAGTTGGAAACCTAATGAAATTATACTACTTTTAGAAGACGTGAAAAGCGCATCTAATTTAGTGCAGTATTTTTTGCGTGAAGCCGGGACAAATATACTGATAGACTGACATTGACAGAAAAAAAATCTTCTATTATTTTGGCTTCAATTGCTCCCCTCATATCATTTTTTCTTAAATATCTCCCATGTATAGACGTAGTTACAATTTTATAAGTAAAAGTAAGATACGATGGGAAAATCGCTAACAACAATGTAGACTCTCGTAATCATTATAAGGAAAGACATTTCTTGATAGTCTATAGTTAGTCGGGGATGACGTCCCCCGAGATAGAGCGACGATGTCCAAAGAAGTAAGGAAAGAGTCGATGGATTCAAGTAGCGCGTTGCTTTGTGTTAGAACAAGAAAGATGATGATACATTTTTAGGGGTAACATGGGCGAAACAGTATACTTTGTTATGTCCATGGTACTGCTTATGTCTATAGGCGACCGTTACCACTTTCCATCAGGTGGGCCGTCAGCTTGTTTGCCTTTTTGAGTTGCATAAAATAGAAATCTCGTCACTATAAGAAAGTAAGTTTGTTTGTTACTGTTTGTTGGTGCCTTAATGACTTAATGAATCGTCATGGAATTTGGAATGCACGTAGTATTTGTGATGGAGAAGGACATTTATTTCGATCAATCGACATATTTCTGTCACGTGGACGAAGTTCTGAATAATAACAAGTACATTATAATAACGATTTTACTGTCTAATTGTTCGAACTCGGTAGATAAAAAAGTACGTCAAATTTGACGCCTAACTTTATCTATAACTTATAAATCAGTGGAACAGACTTCTTTTAAAAATACGGGGTATTGCATACTTACGGTAATTTTTTTGCGTAATTTGGATTGACGAATGAACTCCTGGTCCTCTGACTGACTGATGACCCTCTTGTTTGAAAGTGATTTTTTTCAATCGACTTTTCGAAAAAAGTAAAGTTTAGACTCCATTTTGAAGTCAGTTAAAATTGTTGTTGCGATTGAAAATTATGATTGCATGTCGAGTAATTTGCGTTGGCATCACTGCAAGTCATGTGCAAAAGCCCTAAGTCCATTAAAGTGCCAGAAGTTACTGGTATCATATTAAATATATAAACTTATCTAATGTTTAACAAACATACGTAACGCATGCGTAAACGTGCCTGTAGTAGATATTACTTATACCTATTACAGGACGAAGTATATATGACCATATGAGATAATTAATATAGGTAGCTATAAGTAATACAGGTATTTATATCCGATTGCAGGAAGCGTATTTATAATGAATACCTATTATATTGAAAAATAAGTATACACCATTATAATTAACATAACCCATTTCTTAAAATTTAACGGTCGAGATATGGGTAGCAGCGTCCCTTTTAAAACATCATCAAAACCTAACTGGTCCCAATTTGCCTGCCAAGCGTGGCAACTATTGGAAAATCCCCTTTTATGGGGGATGCTTATGTTCAGCAGTAAACAGTTAACAGCTGTAATGGTGATGTTCCAAAATATATAACTCTGTTATTTATAAACTGTTTTGGAAAATTCTATTTTTGTCTAAAAGGATATAATGTTAGCGCGCGCCGTCTTCCGGTTACGTTTAGTGTCCCGCCAGTAAGAACTAACCTACTTCAGCAGTCGACCTCCTCGCAGTTCTCCCTGGAAACTATCATGGTTAATTCCTGATGAATTCATCATGATGGGCTAACTGGCCTGTTTTCATTCTCATCTATCACCCTTCACTGGTGCTCCGCCAGCGTATCTCGTCAGCGCAGGCGGGGATACCATACCATTTTCACCCATCAAAAAAAAACCTACTTCAGCACGCTCCCTTAACACACGCAGTACGGTTATTAAATAATATAAATATCATTGATATATTTAGTAGTAGCCTGACAAAGATATTAGAAGCGGCTCAGACATATCTAGAGTCGGGTTAAATACATTTATTATAACTTTGTATGTTAGCACACTAGATTTATAACACTGATTTGGCTTTTGCTGTTATAATGTTATAAATGAATTATTATTTAAATTGATTATTTTAAATGAATAAATAAATAAATAATTTCAGATTTATTAAAATCGGTTCGGTAGTGTAGTCTAAACCAAAATAATTGGTTTCGCTACCATTAAAGTCTTTGTTTTTTGTATGAAGTGTTTTTTCTTTGTGGTTGAAACACGAGTGAGACAGAGATACTCAAATTGACAACTTTTGTGCAGTCTCAATCTGATAAATTGAATAGAGGAGTTATTCGTAAATTTTAGAACCTTTTTCCATTGTTTCTGCCTACCTTAATGAAAGACAAGTGTTATAGATATGAATGAATTTGAAGATGATTTAAATTTTAATTTGAATGTAAGTTTTAAAACACGAAGCAATCGAAGCCAATAATAATTTAGATTCAGTTGAATATTATTTGTTAGTGTCATTTGTGGGTCTTTAGTGATAAGTAGGTATCATGATAAGTGCGCGTTAGCAACGTCGCATTATCATATTTGTATAATAATATAAATCAATTGTTTTTTTTTATTTCAATCCAATTAACGGACCTCCGTAATTGAATATGAAAGGAAATATTAATAAATTAACATCTTTGATTGCTCTATAAGTGATTTTTTTTTAAACTAGGATATTACCTACTAGAAAACTATATACAATGTTTTTTTTTTAAATGGGTGAAAATAAAATAATGTCCCTGCCTGCGCTATCGATATACACTTGTGGAGTACCAGTGTGAGTTGATAGGTGAGGATGAAATAGATCAGTTAGTTCGTCCAAGTCTTCAGGGGGGACAGCGTGGAGGTCTACCTGATACGGTATATTGCTAGCAATAAGGCAGTAACATCGCTTTACTAATAATTACGTTCCCCTCTATAGACAACGTAAGGGGGATCGTTGATTCGCTTGGCATTTTAATTTCAGGTTGATGAAAAATAAGACAAACAGGGCGATGACCATCATGTGGGAAGTAGTATTCAAATGACATGCTTATAAAAGTACCATAAGCGTTAGCCCATATGCAAATATCTAGAATTCACTGACTGCAAAGCTACTTGGAACAATACCAACTCTCTTAACACTAGTCAATACCAGAAAACAAAAGAATGAAAGATAAATTTACCTATAAAAAATGTAAATTGTGACGATTAGCAGTATATAAGTATTATACGATTAACTATAATGTAATCAATTATGTATAAATTAAAATTTGCCTAATTCCTTTGTTTGAAAATTTTCACAATTTTGAACACCTCTCTACCCGTTGACATTGATGCTTTTTTCCACTTTGAGTTTTGAGAACTCTTTTGGAATTAAGCTCGTCTTTGTACATTTGATTACTTCTGTCATATTTTTATATATAATTAGTGTGTACAATAAAGTATTAAATAAATAAATAAATAACTATTGTGTAGTGTATATAACTATTATCTGTCTAGGGGAGGGGGATTGTTAGTAATGGAGGTCTAACATCTCCATTGTTAGTCATATATCATATCATGTCGACCTTGTTTCCCTGGAAATTATATTTTACTTAGTTAATGTGTGATTAAAACAATACTTTAAAAACAAATACTCATTGTCAATGTCATTCCTAAACTTTATACCAAAATTCGTGATAATAAATTATCTTAGGTCATAACACATTGGGAATTGTCATAATATTTACATAACCATCTTGTGTATTAGTTATTATTTTATATAATACTAGTTTTTTCCGGTGACTTCGTCCTCACATGCGGGATAAAAAGTAGCCTAGGTGATTTATTGGGCCGTAAAAGCACTAAAGGTAACAAATAAACAGTAACATTTCGTGACTTTTACATTTAATATATATAATGTATAGGTATAGGTATAAATAAATTATTAGCTGCCCGGCTGTGCTTTCCATGGGTGTACTAATAAAGAAAATGGGACCAAATTTTTCCTCTCACTCACTAAATTACTTTTTTAATTTGCAGAATTTTAACTTTAATTTTAACCCAAAATTTTTCACATTCCATATGAGTTTTTAAACATATCCTTTCATACAAATCATTTTACCAGAGGAAAAATTTCTAAAAAAGTCGTTTACTTAGGCACCTCTGCCCCATTTGTGTTCCGTGAAGTAATTGTGTTCTTCAAACCAAAACACAGCCTGCATGGCTGTGTTTTGGTTTGAAGGGTGGAATAATACAGTGAATTTACGAGGTACAGAGGAATAACACCCTAGTCCTCAGGAATGGAACAATCAATGCATGGGGGGTATCGTGGGTGAAACAGTAAATTCTGCTATGTCTATGGTACTGCTTATGTCTATAGGCGACGGTTACCGCTTTCCATCAGGTGAGTCGGCAACTTGTTTGGCATTCTAAGTTGCATAAAAAAAACATTGTCCTAACAATCATAAACACAAAAAAAAGAATTAGTCAAATAGATGCAGCCATTTTGGAGTGATACGCTCACGTATATTCGGCAATTGATTTATTTATATAGATTAGCACCACGTAAATAATAACCATTAGTACTGGGGGAAAGGGATTGTTAGCAATGGAGTTTGACAGCCCCATTGCTAGCAATATACCTTATTAGGTCGACCTCCACGTGGTTCCCCTTGGAAACCATCGTAAACAATTCTTGTTAAATTCATCACGATGGGCTAACTGACCTGTAACTAGATACATCCTGATGTGGTATTACACACATTGAATAGTTAATCAATAAATTAAGATTGTGTTCCACAAAAAAACTGATTTCAGTTGCGGCAAATCCAGTTATTTTAATTTAAAAACTAAACTGCTGAACTGATTTTGCTAAAATTTCTCAGAACTAATCTGTAAGTATATCCTTTCAGATTAATAAAAGAATTTTTTAAATCGGCTGTTAACTGACGGAGTTATGGGGTAACAAATATAAAAAAATACAACCGCTGAATATAAGCTTCCCTCTTGGGGGATTTTCCCAATAGTTGCTACGCTTGACATGCGTATTGGCAACCGTAGTTAGGCTTTGGAGATGTTTTAAGAATAACGCTGCTGTCCATCCCTCGCTCTCCCTTAGTCGCCTCTTATAACACCCACAGGAAAGGACAGACAGACAGACAGTGGTTCATCCACAATCCCTTACAGGGTTATAGGTGCGGATCGCGGATTAAAACTCTCTACCCGAGCCTCAACTGCGCAAGCTGCCGCCTGCGCGTCACTAAGTTTAAGCCCATAGGGCCAAGCCGACGCTATTATAAATAGCGCATGCCAGGATCGACATGGCGTTACGTTCACGAGTATATACTCTTAATGAATGCTAAGTAACCTTCACAATAGCGCAAATAATATAATACAATGGCAACCGTTAACTATTATGATTAATTAAAAAAAAGGTACGTATTAAGTACCTCTGTCCCATTCGTGTTTCAACCGTGAAGCAGTTGTGTTTGAATGGCTGTGTTTCGGTTTGAAGGATGGGATATGGTGTGAATTTACAGGGTACAGAGGAATAACATCTGAGTCCTCAGGAATGGCAACGCATGGGGGTATCATGGGTGAAACAGTATAGTCTGCTATGTCCATGGTACTGCTCATGTCTATAGGCGACGGTTACCACTTTCCATCAGGTGGGCCGTCAGCTTGTTTGTCATTCTAAGTTGCATAAAAAAAAAAAAAAAAAAAAAAAAAGTTAAAGCACGTAAGTCTAATTGGTTCAGTTTAGGTTACAAGGATAAGAAAGACAAAATACTATGTTCACAGATTACATGCCGGCCCGGTACATCCTTGCTATCCTTGGTTCTATTGGCATGGCCATTGTCTACGGTCTAAAGGTAAACCTGTCCGTGGCCATGGTGGGCATGGTGAACAACAGCGCCATCAAGAACATCATAGCAGCCAGTGGTGGTAGTCATAATCAAACAAACTATAATGCCGAAGTGGGTGACGTTGAGTGTGAGGGTAGTAACTCTGAAGGAAAGGCCACAATGGTGAGTTGAAGTGAATTTTTAAAGACCTTTTAAAAGAGGTTGATATTTTTTTTATTTTTTATTATGAGAGTCTGGAGTCTGAACTAGGTCGAAACCTGTACAGATCTCTAGGCTCTCTTCGGAGTTTTACAATATATTACTGAACATCTATATTATTATATTAATACAAGTGTGTGTGTGTGTGTGTGTGTGTGTGTGTGTGTGTGTGTGTGTGTGTGTGTGTGTGTGTGTGTGTGTGTGTGTGTGTGTGTGTGTGTTTTTTTTGTGTGTGTGCGATATTGTTATTGTTTTTTTTTATGCAATTTAGAATGACAAACAAGATGGCGGTCTACCTGATGAAAAATAGCAACCGTCACCTATAGATACACGAGCAGCATCTTGCGTTGCTGTTCTTCAGAATTTTCTGAATTTTATTATAAACCAATTTTGCTATCCTAGTAATTTATTGTTCGAGTAGTTATCTTATACTGCTGAGGTCTTATGTATATATATATATATTTTTTTTTTTATTTCTCCGATGATATATATATTTTCTAAATTGGCTAATCTGTTTGTAGCTTTGTTTAGATACTGAACCGCAGTTAGGCTTTGAAGATATTTTAAGAGGGACACTGCTGCTCATCCCTGGACCTTTAAGTTCCTTTAGTTACTATTTACGATATCCAAGGGGAAAATTAATTAATTAATTACGTATTTTAAGAGTAAAATTACATCTTGTAAATCAAGTTTTATCAAATATAGGAAGTATTTTATTATTGTTTGCATAAAACGTTAACACACTACTTAATATATGAGTACACTTTATATGAATTGATCGATCATAAATTTTAAGTAATCCTTGTACTTGTAGTTTGAGCAATATTGTATTTTATAACGTGATGTACTGTAGGTATCTACATAATTTCGAGTCATAATTTGCAACAATAATAAAACCCATTTAACTGCACCAATTTATTTTTGAATGAGGTCGACGCGACCTAATTCAAAAATACTTTGAGTCAAATTAATTTATAAGCACATATCCAATTTTATTATCACACCGAAACAATAATATTTGTAAACTGATTACGCAGACAAAAAAGCAAAAGAATTCTATAACGTCAAAATATGTGAATGACGCGAGATCCGGCACGGACGGATAGGATTTTAGAAAATAAAATAGAGCCCATGTTACTTTTTGATAATGTAACTTTCTATCGGTGAAAGAAGTTTTAAAATCAGTTATACAGCTGATCGGTTATTTTATATGCAATTTTTTAGATTGATATAACTTTTTTATTTATGTACCGATTGAAATAAAATAAACACTAAATGTTGAGTAGAATAATGCGGAAAACATTAGTAAAAACCGCATTCAAATTGGTTAAGCCGTTTCTGAGATTAGCATGCACAAACGTACAGGTAAATAGACATGCAGACAGACTAAAATTCTAAAAATCATTGATTTTGGTTCTAATGCATTGTATTCTATTATAAAGCCCCTCTATTATAGTTTTTCTTACATATCTTCCATGTACAGACAGCGACCAGTTACGATTTTATTATATATATTGATGGCAACCATTTTATTGGCTTTGAACTCATCTGTAGGCCTTAATAATGAAGAAAGTCTTATGGCACCTACTAAAGAGATAATACGATGGTTAACCACCAATGCCTCCTAACTGACATTTATATCGCGGGAAAGGGAATGTCAGTGATGGGGTCTAGTAGCTCCATTGCTAGTCGACTTTCACGCGGTTCTCTCTGGAAACTATCGTGTTCAGTACCAAGCGATGGACTAACTGTTTACCTTGCATATCGCCTTTTTGTCCTCATCTATCAATTCTCACTAGTACTCCGCCAGTGTAAACCATCAGTGCAGGCGAGTTTACCTTTTTTATTTTCACCCATCAAAATTTTTTTAATATTTATAAATAAGTACTTTATTATTTAATTATCTCCTTTTCTATGTATTGTGTGTGTAAACTTTTGTTTGTTTTAAGAGATATTTATTATATTTACGTCTATTCTTCATACAAATATAATTAGTATGGTAGAACTGTAATTATAAGGATATAAGGAAGTATAAACCTGTAGTTCATAGGAAAAGCAACGTACAATATACTCTGTAATATACATGGTATGTCTTCGGAAGACTGTTACCACTTTCCATCAAGTATGTTGGGGATGACATACAGGCTGAACCTCATTGGGACAGAATATTTTTATATTTATTTCACCTTAAGATAACTTTTAAATGTAACGAGTATTTACAGAAATAAGGCGATGAACGTAATTTGATTGAAAACTTGCACATGGATAGGATATATCCGAACTTAAAATATATGATACTTTGTGAAAAAATTCATGCAGGCAGAATTGCGAAAAAAGCTAGTTATAAAGAAATAAAATTTATTTTAATTCTTTCAACCGACATCAAAAAAGAAGGTTCTCAATTAGTTTGTTATTTTTTATGTTTATTACTCCGTCATTTATAAACCGATTTAGAAAATTCTTTTTTTTTCAGATTGGTGCCATAGATATTTTATCAAAATTAGTTTAGTACTTCAGATTTTAAATCAAAATAACTGGTTTAGCCCCGAGTGTACTCCGTGTTTATATTTTGTGCAATTTGTGCATCTTAAATTATTTTATCAATATACATTTGTTTTACGTTTTGTAGCATTTGCATAATTTATTTCAGGAGTTAGATGGTCCATTCATATGGTTGCCTGGAGTTCAAGGCATCGTGCTCAGTTGTTACTTCTGGGGATATTTCGTATCACAGTTGCCAGGTGAGAAATTGGCATTATTGTAAATGAGAAATTGAGTTTATATTTTACCTGAAGGCATTTTGTCGAATAATTATCATTAAATATGGCGTACATGTTGTATTTGATATAATAACATGTGGTCTGCTCACCCCCCCCATTTTAATATACCTATGACTCTTACCGTTATCTTCGGGAAACATGTTTTTTATTTCCTTTGAAATTTAAGTTGTATAATTTAGAAAACTATTTGTTGTAGGTGGTCGGATAGCGGAGTTATTCTCAGCTAAATGGGTGATGTTTTTTAGCGTGACGATCAACGTAGTATGTACTCTACTGACCCCCGTGATGGCGCAGGCGCACTACGCTGCCGTGGTCGTGATGCGGGTTGGCGAAGGAATTGGTGGTGTAAGTATTCTTTTCTAAAGAAACTCCTTAATTCAGCAAACAATATATCCTTAAATTATTACATTTTCATATCTTGCAAGAAGAAAATCTTTTATACGACTTAAATAGTAAACAAGTTCACGGTTGTGAATCACGTAGACGGAAAGTGGTCACCATATTTTATAGACATGAATAGCATCAGGGATAAACAATACAGAATACAGTGTCATGCCATTACTACAGCTATTGAACCTGCCTCCATCGTAGAGGCAGATTAAATAGTTTCCAAGATGACAGCCTCTCTCATGTCGAATGGTCTAAAGAAAAATTGTACTTCACTACCTTTTCCTAATTATACTGCCCTGTTAAAACTATTAATAATGGACCAAAAGACAACAAAATATCTAAAATACTACAATCAGAATGTTGATAATTCTTCATAATAAAATAAGGGAAATCTATATAGTATATTATATTTTATTTAGATTGAGAGTAACAGTAAAAGGTAATCTAGCAACGCGTGAGCTCCACAGACAATCATAGCACATAAAACCTAGTTAAACACCCCCTATAGGGGGGAAAGGGATTGTTAGTAATGGAGATTGAGAATCCCATTGCTAGCAATATACCCAATCAGGTCGACCTCCTCGCGGTTCCCCCTGGATACTATCATGGTTAATTCCTGATGAATTCATCATGATGGGCTAACTGGCCTGTTTTCATTCTCATCTATCACCCTTCACTGGTGCTCCGCCAGCGTATCCCGTTAGCGCAGATGGGGTTACCATATCATTTTCATCTATCAAAAAAAAAAAAAACACCCCCTATAATTATTTTCAGGGTGTAACATTTCCTGCGATGCACGTACTGTTGTCTAAATGGGCACCACCAGCCGAGCGCAGCGTCATGTCGGCTTTGGTTTACGCGGGAACCTCTCTTGGCACCGTCATATCCATACTTACGGCTGGAGTGTTGACCGCCAACGTTGGTAAGCTCATGAAAAATGATGCTGTAGCCTGACTTTACGCTTAAAAAGCATTAGGCTTTTTACAACTATTTGAAGAGTGTATAAAAATTAACAAGATGCAAAAATGTCTATTTAAAATAACGGGTAACCATTTTTAAAGAAATTAACAACTTTATCACATTTGTATGTTTTATTGATGAAAATTCTCACTACTATCAATTCAATTCAATTCAATTTATTGCATTCTACAATATTATTATGAAAGATGTTAATAATGGATAAAGTACATTGTAGACCCTGTCGGGCACAGCAATTAGAAGCGAGGAGGGCGACGATCCTTAAATTGTCATATAGATTTAAATAATTCAATTTCAATTTCATCAATTTAATTAAATTCGAATTAAATTCCAAATTAATTTATTTATTTTATTATTTTAACGATTTTTTTTATTTCCATATGTTTTATTTTATTTTAATGCAATTTAATGTAGTTGTTCATATTTTTATATCTTTTTAGTATCATTATCAATTTTAGTATTATTAATTAATAATTAATTATATATAAATTATATTTATATATTATGCGTTATTTTTTTATTAAAAAATTTTATCATTTAAATATTCATCTATATCGTAATAACATTTTTTAGCTAATAGTTGTTTTAATTGTGATATGAATACTTTATTGTTCTGTTCAACCAACCATATACTTCAAAAATTGTTTTTTGGAGAGAAAATATGGGGGAAAATCTTATAAATAACATTAAAAACAGGATGGGAGAGCGTTTTCTACGTGATGGGCGGTTTGTCATGTATCTGGTGTGTATTATGGATACTCTTGGTGCAAGACACGCCGCAGCAGCAATCGCTGATTAGCGCTGAGGAGCGGCAGATGATCGTCACCTCGCTCGGAGGGAAGGAAGGTGGTCATGCACAGAAGGTGTGTTTTGGTTATTTTTTATGTGCTAACAACACTAATGTGTGCTAATACCATGAATAACGGCGGGGGGGGGGGGGAAGGGAAGGATTGTCCGTAACGAGGACTACCAGTCCCATTGCTAGCAATATATCCTATTAGGTATCTCCACGTGGAGGGACCTTGAGGTCATCGTGCTGAATTCCAGGTGTATTCATCACAATGGGCTAATTGACCTGCCTTTTCATTCTCACCTATCATCCCTTACTGTCCCGCCAGCGTTATACGCTTTTTTGCATTAGTGTAGGCAGGTTACAATTCCATGATCATCCTTTAAAAAAAATGGCACAAATAGAATAGAACTGCCTGTATAAACTTTGTTAATATCTATACAACTGATTCGTTAGTATTTATTTCATTAGAGAAGTTTAAGATGTAAAATCTGATACATAGCAAAATTATAAATTACTCAATATCTTGCTGTATACGAACATTCTGCAACTACAATAGTTCTACCTTTTACTATCACCAAATGATTATCAAACTAATGATGTTATGGGAGTGGGTGCTGCGTGTAGGTCGCTGTGACGATTCCCTAATGAGTTAAATAATGCAAACATTTAAAGATGGTACGACTAAAAGTAACGAGCAATTAGAATCGTTAGCTGTATTTGTTATCAAAAGTTATTTTAAAGGAATTTTGGCTTCCTAATAGCCTTCATATCATCATCAATATTGCATTCTTATTTTGATTATTCTCCTTTTAATTTTTCTGTCATTATAAGGGATAATAACTTTCAATGTCTTATTTACGAATCGAAACGTGCATCAATGCCTGCATTTTGTCACGCTGCGTGACATGAATTCGTGATGTGAATTTAAACTAGGTACGTAGGTTTCACATTCTATGATGCCCATGGTATTCCTATAACTTTTTTGGAGACTAACATGCTATAGCTCTATATTTATAGGTACTTTGTAATTTAACTGTCATATCTCATCTTTCAAGCCTAAGTATACTGGGTTTAAATTAATTATATTATAGACTTTATGGATATAGAATACATTTATCGGATATTATCCTTGACTTCTAATGATGAATTCATTTCTACAGAAGTTACCAGTACCGTGGCGTGCCGTCCTCAAATCCCCTGCCTTCCTCAGCATCTTAGTAGCTCATGCGTGCTCCAATTGGGGCTGGTACATGTTGCTGATCGAGCTGCCCTTCTATATGCAGCAAGTTCTGAAGTTTAATATGACTGAGGTAAGTCAGTTAATCAACAATATTTATAAGACATCATTAGTCCTGGCATAGAATAGGTCACTGCATTCTTTTCCGTGGGTATCGTAAAATGGGCATCAGCGTCGCTCTTAAAACATCACCAAAAGCTAAACTATGGTTACCCCCTTATTGGGGAAGCTATGTCCAGCAGTGGACAGTTCACGGCTGATACAAATTTTTAACACAATAAAAACTGATTGTCAATTTTAATTTTTTTTTATGATACTTAGATACGCAAAAAAGCTAAACAACAACAAACAAGCCCACAGCATCTTGGACATAATCAAATTTTGGAAACGAAATTTTCTAAATTTACTCGAGCCTGGGTGTTTTGTATTGTGCTCGCAGACATTCATTACCTGAATCCTCATAACATAGCGTAGGCATCCTAACTCGAGGACCCTGCTATTGGTGTGATTGTTGGCAGTTTAAAAAAATACGCTGTGATGCCTACAGTGTCATGTGATGTCATGTATCGACATTCTTCAGGACTTATTCCCAAGATAGTCTTGCAAAAATCAATATTTTGTTTAATGCAGTGTATGAATATTTTTACCAGACTGCAAAGAAGTAGCGAAATAATTAAACATCTGCACTGATTTTCGATTCATTACTGGATACCATAAGATACCTTTAAAGTTTTATGTAAAAAATTATAAAATTGAATGTTCAATAGAAAGTGATTTATTTTGATACAGAATGCAGTAACTACATCTCTTCCTTTCCTCTCGCTGTGGATCTTCAGCATGTGCTTAAGTCGCACGCTAGATTGGTTGACCAGCAAGTCATACATCACGACCACGATCGCTCGTAAAGTTGCCACTTTATTCGGTAAGTATATCAAATGTTTATACATTGCAATGTCTATAGATAATAAGTGCATTAATCTATGTATCTATACTTATAATAAATCTGTAGAGAGGTCAATTCTGTACATGAAATATATTTCCAAAATAACTATCAGTAGGTGATTAGTGATCGATACTAATGCCAAAAATGTAATCAGTAAAATTTTTGTCTGTCTGTCTGTATGTTCGTTATAAAAACAAAAACTACTCGACGGATTTTAACGAAACTTCATACTCCTGGACAGGTTATAGTATACTTTTCATCACGCTACGATCACTAGGAGCAGAGCAGTGAAGGGAAATGTTGGGAAAACGGGAGAAGTTACTCCATTTTTAAGCTTCCGTCGCGTGTGCACCCTTAATGGACACTTTTTAAAATGTAAAAATGTCCAACCGTGCGAACCCGGACGGGCCGCTAATAATATAATAAAATTGTTACTAGACGATGTCTATAGGTAGAAGGTATTTAAGAAAAAAATTGGGGTCCTTATAAGGCTATTAGAAGTCAGAATAATTTTTAGAATTTTTGTTTGTCTATATGTTTGTTTCGGGATCATGTAAAAGCTATTGCAGAAAATTGAATGCGATTTTTACATTTGTGTTGTTGGAAGTTTAACTTAAAAACTGATATATTTTATTTCGAATTTAGAAGTAGCTACTTACACAACCTACATACAAATTTACCTACAAATGCTAGTAAGGTAGTCAATAAGGCTATGTTACTTAAATTATACCTCATTTCACTTTCGGAACCTAAAACCGTCGCTTTTTTTAGGATCCTTATGTACTTAGGGTAATCGAGACGGTTAGAACTCAATGCGATTGTCTGCAAAATAGTCAATCACAACTTTCTATAAATATATTTTAATTATAAACCGTTTTTAAAGTTTCACGTTTCAAGTATTTAACTTTAAAGGAGCTTAGGGAACAACATCTGGTGTTTCAGGTGTCCATATAGGAAACAATTTACTATTTCCTATATATATATATATATATATATACTTTTTCCAATGAATGATTATAGAATGGTAACTCTCTCTAAGCTGTCGGTTTATGTTGGAAGGATACCAGTGAGAGATAATAGACGAGGATGAAGCTAGGTCGGTTCGCCTGTCGTGAAGTACTCATCGGTAAATAACAGCGACGTAATCTAGGGGAGTTTTTTTATGGGTGATAATGAAATAGTAACCCCACACACGCTATCGGTATACACCGGCGGAGACCAGTGAAGAATGATAGGTGAGGATGAAGCAGGTCAGTTAGCCCATCGTGACGAATTCAACAAGAATTGTTCACGATGGTTACCAGAGGCAATCACGTGGAGGTCGACCTAATAGGGCATATTGCTAGCAATGGGGCTATCAAACTCCATTACTAATAATCCCTTTCCCCCCATATATCTAGGGGAGTTCGCATGGCGGTCGATCTAACTGAATATATCCTATATTGCTAGAAATGACCATTTTTTCTCCTAGCTCCTATGCCCCGTTTTTGTTAGTAATATAAGGGAGAGACTCATATCCAGTAATGGGTTATTATTAGGGGGAAAAGGATTGTTAGTAACGAGGATTAGTAACCCTATTGCTAGCAATATACCTTATCAGGTCGACTTCCTCACGGTTCCCCCTGGAAACCATCATGATTGATTTATTAGTTAATTTGTTACGATGGGCCAATTAACCTGCTTCTTCTTCACTTATCATTTCTCGCTGGTGCCCCACCAGCGTATACCGTTAGCGCAGGCGGGGTAACCATTTCATTATCATCCATTAAAAAAAATATTATTATTATTATGATATTTACAGCGTCAGTGGTGCCGGCCGTGTGCCTGCTGGCGGTGTGCTACATCGGCTGCGCCCGCGCCGCCGCCGTCGCGCTAATGGCGATCGCGGTCACCTGCATCGGCGGCATGTTCTGCGGCTTCCTCTCCAACCACATCGACATCGCACCCAATTTCGCTGGTTAGTTAATTTAAAATAAATAAAAATAAAATAAAAATGTTCATTTGGGATCCTTAGCTTAATTTACAGTTTTCTTTTTATTTGGATCTTACAGTATTTAGTCTTGAAATTAAGTCATTGTGCTTAAGAATATAGTAAGTCCAACTAATCCAGAGTACCAGAAGAGCAGAAGACAAATTGAATTTACAGGGTACAAAGGCATAATATTATAATTCTCAGCAATGGCTACGCATGACGCATCTGTTGTCTATTTGCGACAGAAATCATTTTCCATCAGGTGGACCGTCAGCTTGTTTGTCGTAATTATAATAAAAAAATGGCTTAAGTTGCCGCAGGCTTCTGGATGGGACTCTAGTTATTAGGATTCAGACGCCCATGATCCGGTACTCCATCGGTACATGAGCAAATGTTTCTTTAGTCTCCATATTTTCTTTGCATAGTAGACGCTGTCAGTTATTGATAGAATGATTAGTTTCCTGATGTCTGTTTAACTAAACTGCACAAACAGTTAACGACCATAATCTCTAAGGGAGTAGGCAGAGGCAATCGTAGTGACCATAACACCAGTTTTTGACAAAAGAATTAGAATGGAATGTGACAAAAAGAGAGAATATCGCTGTCACTAGAACCCTTGTTTATACATGAAGAAAAAGATAAAAGAAGTTATCTTCTTTTATGAAAAAATACTTGAATTTTACTTTGTAAAGACTCGAACTTAAAAACCGTAATCTTTTTCGATGAAGTTATTCTTTAAGAAAACATACCTATAATTACTTTTACTCTCTCACACTAACGGCACAGATAATATAATACTATACTAGCTAACGGTGTAAGCAGGGGGAGAAAGGATTGTTAGTAATGGAGTATTATATTATTTGTGGTACCTAATGGGGACTAGCGGACCCATTGCTAGCAATATACTCTGTCAGGTTGACCTCCATGCGGTTCGCCCTGGAAACCATCGCCGGTCGTCATAATAAATTCGTCACGATTGGTCAATTAACGACTTACTTTCATCTCTTATTGGTGCTTCGGCAGCTTATACCAAAAGCATAGTCGGGGTTATCAATTCATTAAAAAAAACTTATTTTTTTTAATATTTAACTGTTTTTTTTACAGGCACTCTGATGGCTTTAACAAACACGATATCTACAATACCTGGCATTGTCGTGCCTATATTTGTGGGAGCATTAACTCAAAAGAATGTAAGTTGTGGTATCTATTTTTATTTTTCACTCCAGACAAATTCTTGCAGGTTTTGGTATGCCTGTTTGTTATTTTGGTTTTATGATGAATAACAAAAAAAAATGATCAACTTGAAAATTATAGTCTTATCTTTAAGGTTTTGCTGTCACAGGTTTTGTTTTTATCGAAAGTGTATATATTTATATCATTTCTAATACTCTTGTATTAGAACTAGTAGATTTGTTAAATCCTGAGGATTCCTTTAGCCGCACAGTATATTTTGTGATTTATAAATTTACCTCTTTTTAATAGACAAACATTTTTTTTCAGCAAACAATTTCATCATGGCGAATAATATTCTTCGTGACGATAGGGTTGTACATTGTCGAGATAGTGGTGTACACGTTATGGGGATCCGGTGAGGAGCAACCCTGGAATAAGATACCGGAGTCAAATGATAATATTGAGACTAAACCTTTAAATAACGACGAAAAAAAGAGTACCGTTTAATAGATATATTATAATTTAATATGTGTGTAATGAAAGTTTTTAATTTATTTATACACAGTGAAATTGGAGTTGGAGTTATCTATGCACAAAATATATTTTTTTATTACAAGCTCAAATTTATTATTAGCATCCTTTTATGAGAATGCTATGCTTATTAATAAACTAAAAATCAACTAAACTCAAGTAACTAAACATTTTCCCAACTCAACAGAAATATAGAAAAGGAATTAAATATTTCGAAGAATTTAGTATGGAATGCTCTAAATTTTTCGTCGTTAATTTTTACTGGTAGAAAACTCTTTTGTTATGTAATGTAATGTAAATTGGACTCTCTATTCCGCGCTTAGCCTCTCATTTGGGCGGTTGTGCGTATGAGTCGTGGCTAGTACAGCCAACCCAGCTCCGCCCAGAAGCACACAAGTTTCCTGGAATCTTCCCAGGCGTCACGGAGCGACCTAGAAAACTCTTTTGAAAGGAAGTTATTAATTTGAAATGTATTTTGTTATCAGTGTATTACCGTTGGTAAATTGCATTTAGATTATTCCGTCTGTTATAGGTAAGTAAGCTATTTACTTGTGACAAGAAATAGAAATTTTATGAATGTTTTTACTAAGAGTGTTCATAACGAAGTATGGCAACGTCGTAATTATTTGTCAATTTTTAAAAACAATTGAATATTTTTCAATATTTTTGATTGATTATCTGAAAAGTGCTAGCTAACTAAAAGGTTAATCATGCTACGATATTCTTATTTTAATAATTTGGATTTTTTGGTAAAAACATATTAGAGAAATTTCAAAACAAAATATGAAGTAGGCGCAATGTTTTTAGTGGCTGATTTATATGCAATATTTTATATATATTATTATATTTTATGATTAAAGTTTTTAGCTTACTAGCACTAGAGCACTTTGTTTTCTCTTTGTTTGGAATAATAGGTAATTTATTAATTAATTTATATTAATTATACAGTATATTACTTAAATAAATTTGTATAATCAATACCACTATCCTCTAATTACTAATTATAAAAACAAAACTACGGTTGTATAAACAGATATGGTATCTAATAGCATAAGAATTCCATTTGTAAGTTATATCAGCAGTTCCATTATTTCCTTTCTGTAAAAAACTGCTGACAGTGCAAAACAAATCTAAATTACCTTTTAAATAATCAATAAGAAAGATTGAAAATTATTTTTGGAAATTGAAAAATAATTGCGACGTTGCCACGCTTCGGTAATCAAAAGAGTTATGAATTCCTGTAAAGACTCATGAATCTCATAAAATATCTTTCAATGTGTCTGTACGTAATGACATAATGTTATTGTTGATATATATCGACCTGCATTGACATTAAAATATTGGAATACCTAATTGGCATTAGGTATTCCAATATTAGGTACCTAATTGGCATTAGGTATTCCAATAGGTATTGAGAACCATTCGGTGGTTGGTTTGCTCACTTTTATCATAAGAATAAATATTTATTTTAATTTTTATAAAAAAGGATGTTCGAGTTCTGTATTTGTACATTTATATATTTTTTGTACTTATTGTTAAGGGAAACCGAATTATTGACATATCACATAAATATTAAAAAATAAGTAGCTATTTCATATTTTAATTTTATGTCGGAAAGGAAACAGGTTGATAGATTTATTTAATTGGGTAGGTATTGCAAAATAATGATTTGTTATCTTTTATAATCGCGCCGTTTCCTTAAAGCGGCAAACAGTGGCCTGGTTAATTTCGTTTGAACAATTTAGAAATACATGTATGTAAAATGTATATAATTAATATTTATTTTAATTTTTATTACAAATAATAAACATCGAACGTGCAACAAAATAACTGACTTAATCAGATTCCATAATAAGTTTGTTTATTATATTATAATAAATTTATTTTTCGATTTTTTTCAAACAGAAAAATATTAAAATATGACATGCATAATTTGCAATAAAATGATCTATATTTATATGCCATAAATTTAATGTAGTCATACATTATTATAAGAAGTATTTTTTTTATTATAAGCAAATAAAACAGGAATAAAAACAAGTAAATATGTGTTTTAATCAGTCCTATAGCTGTTTAATTATATATAGTACATTGTTTATACAGTTAAAAATATGCTCACTTTTCAAGCCCCAGAATTAATTATGTATATCAGTGATTCTCAACCTTTTTTTTTGTTGCGGCACATATTTAACGATTTCAATATTTGGCGACACACAAAGAAAAAGATTAAAATTATTTACTTACTACAACACACTGCATAAATAGTTTATGACAAAAATTTTAAATATTTGCAAAATTTGGCGGCACACAAAAGTGCCGCGGCACAGTGGTTGAGAATCACTGATGTATATATTAGCCTTTAACTGTCTGCATTGCTGAACATGAGCTTCCTCCTTGAGGGATTTTGTCAGTAGTTGCCATGATTGGCAGGTGGATTGGCAACCGCAGTTTCACTTTAGTGATGTTTTAAGAGGGACGCTGCTGCTCATCTCTCGCCTTCCCTTAGTCGCCTCTTACAACACCCACAGGAAAAGAAGGGGTAGCCTATTCTATGCCGGAACCACACGACCAATTAAAGATTTATTGATTTACTAATAATTACCTATTTAGAAAAAAAACAGCCAGTAGTGAATATTCAATAGAACTTTATTAGATATGTTCTATATTGTAATCCTAACTATATCTCGCGGCTTCATTCTTCTCATGAATCATTACATAAAGTATCCTATATTCTAAGTTATTATATAACCTACTCGTGTACCAAATTTTATTCAAATTCATTCAATATTTACGTAAAAGAGTAACAAACATTCATCAATATATAATTACAAACTTTGTATGTAATTATATATTGTTATTATTGTATGGAACGTCTAATTGTCCAAAGGTCGGTACAAGACAAACGTTCTCGGGGTAGATCACCAACGCGATGGACTGACCTCATCAAAACGACCACACAGCAGTCTATTGTGGAATGCTCTCGGTCTACTGTGAGCAGAAGTAGATGGAGACGCATTGCGAGGACCTCAATCGCGAAGGAGGGCAATCTGTCAAGAGTGTACGACTGAAGAGAGAGAGAGAGAGAGAGAGAGAGAGAGAGGGAGAAACCTAACAGGATTATGATCCAAAATTTGACTAGTTTTAAGGTTTATTTAATGGATGAAGATATAATGGTGCACCCGCTTGTGTTATCTGTATACAATGGCGAAGCACCGACGGAGGACGAAACGATGAAATTAGCTCAGTTAGGGCGACCGCTAGGAAGTCGACCTGATATTTGCTAGCAATGAGGATTAGCGTTTTCATTAACAATAACCTTCCTCTCCTCTTGGTATGAGATTGCCAGTAATAGTCTAGATCAGTGATTTTCAACCTTTTTTTTTGTGGCGGCACATATTTAACGATTTCAAAATTTGGCGGCACACAAAGAAAAAGATAAAAATTATTTACTTACTACAACACACTGCATAAATAGTTTATCACAAAAATTTTAAATATTTGCAAAATTCGGCGGCACACTTTTAAAATTTGGCGGCACACAAAAGTGCCGCGGCACAGTAGTTGAGAATCACTGGTCTAGGTATATCAATAATAGCCAGCAATTAACTTTTTAAGAAGACCTCAACATGGTTTCTCTTAGGATACACTGGAGTGTTTTGCCAGTAATTGCCACCCTCGACATACGGGTTGGCAACCGCAGTTACATTTTATTGATGTTTTAAGAGGGACGCTGCTGCCCATCCCTCGACTATTAAGTTTCCTTATTGGCAGAGGAATGAACACGGCGGATTCCTGTCATTGTTTATTATTATTGTCTTCTGTATATTTAAAATCACGCATACGTAGATATCGTCGTTTCTCGAGTTAATTATGACATTATATCATAAAACAACAATGACTTGTACAATACCTACTAATGCTATAATTAAATGTTCATTAGTAACCTGTTAATTACATAAAATAGCTACGCTATAGTGTGTAGGCATCGAATAAAAACACCATAATTTATACCACATACGTTTACTATCGAAACGGAGTTACGCTCGACGTTTTTCCGCTGGCAGTTACCGACTTTCTAAATTTTACAGGGCTGCAAACAAGCATTCCACTAACTTTATGGAGCGATTACTACAGTCATAAAAATGACCAGGCAATCCAAAATAAATAAATAAAATTAATTCGATTGGGTAATTCAGTCACTCGAAATAAAATGGTATGTTACCTACCTACCTACCTTACAAATATCGTAAACGTGAAAGTTTGCAAAGATATTTGGATAATTGTTACTCGATGACGCTTAAACAGCTGAACGGTATTAATTAAATTTGGTGCACCAGTAGGTTATATATCCTGACTTAACATCTTCGTCCACTTTATTACTGAAGGTCGTGCCCTTGTAAGGTGTCTGTTGCCAATCTTATGATATTTCTCCATTTTGCACGATCTCCAGCCTCTCGCAGGGCAGCTGCAATTGATAGTCTCCTAACGTTGGTTACTTGGTCCGACCAACGATTAGGTGATCGTCCTTAACGTAACTTAACATATAGGATATTTTATATATGAAAGCCTTGGGGCACAGCTAGTTTTAAAGGTGGTCAGCTAGATGATGACAAAAAAAAAAAACAAAATACAGAAAATGTTATAATTTAATGTATACAGTCACTGAGGAATATAATATACACATTTCTATCTATTGCCGAGTTTCTCGCTCGTTCTTCTCAGCTGAAATTCTATTTCGAACTGAGCAAGAATTATAAAAGATTATTCAAAAATGTATTCGAATTTTTTAATAAAATTAAGGTTATTTAAATATTTTTTAAAATTCTTTTTATTTCATTTATTTTATTTGACACGGACAAGCCTAGCAATATACGAGGGACCGAAATTAGCACCAATGGTGGGGACCACAAGCTGGCCGTACTGGGGGGCGATGTCGCCCGAACCAAGCTGCAATGTGCTGCTCAAACCGGCGAAAGACGCTGTCAGATCCCTGGAAAAATTGTAGTTTATAATTTACTAAATCGTGCGCGAGTGAAGTCAAAAGGCAGCCGAAGGAATGAACTTAAATGTTGTGATACTTACTTAACAGCGGCCACTATGGAGTGGTCTTGAAAGGCGTTCTTTAACGCCATATGTACGACGCCGTCGTTCTGAATCGGGCTCAAGGAACACGTGGAGTATACGACCGCACCGCCCACGCGCACCAGTGTCAAGGCATTCCTAAAGGAGTATATCCATATTGTTAACATCACTAAGAAAAAAAGTATTATAAAGTATTTTTTTTATTAATGTTCAATTAATAACTATTAACAATTATTAACAAATAAGGTTGTGGAAGAGATATATTTATAAAAGGTCGCCTATTGTTTTCTATATATATATATATATATATATATATATATATATATATATATATATATATATATATATATATATATACTTTATTGCACTAAAACATACAGTAACAACGATAAGTTAATAACAATGTTAGCAAAGGCGAACTTATCTAAAAGGCAAGGCTCAACCTTACGCAGTGGCATTGGAAGTAGTGAGTGGGCAGTAGTAGTGCAAGACAAAAATTAAAATAAATATTTACATAAATTATAAACACATACATACATATATACACATACATACACATATACACACATGTATACTTTAAATACAACATATAAATATCAAATACAAGAGAACACAATGATGACAGTCTTCTAATAAATTTTTATATTTAAACAAAATTGGAAAGATAGAATGTTTTGGAGAAAATAATAAAGAGTATATAATAATCTATCTAATAATAACTATTTTGTTAACTATTGAATGATCCCGCGATTGATCACAAGCTCATCTGATGAAAAGTGATGATGTGGTCTAAAATGGGGTTCGCGGGTCCAAGAATAGCCTATTCACATTTGCCTTAAATCGGTGCAGATGATATTTCAATGGAAAAACATAAGCAGGGAGAGAGTTTCACTTCTTGGCCGTACGCATGATGAAGAAAGACGCAAAGCGCTTCGTGCGTATAACTAGTATATCTATGACGTAAGGCTCTCGCTCCGTTTGGTCGTTCGATGCCGAAAGGGTAAAGATATTTCCACACCTTTAATAATTGTTAAATTAATTTAGGAGTAAATTTTATAGATTACAAAAACATTCCCTAAATCGGTGGAGATATTAATGACATTATAATATCATAAAAAAAAACAGACAAATTTCCTTTTTATTTTATTGGAAATCACTTTTAAAAGGATAACTTAAAAACACTTACGTCAAGAGCTGAGCTTGGAGTTCGGGTAACCTTAGCCTCTCTTTGATTCTGTCTGGCCTAAATATGTTGTTTTCATCTTCTGTCACCGAGTGCCTATCGGTAGTGCATGGAACATCAACTAATACCTGCGAATAAATAAAGAAATGTTAATATAATGTCGTTTCTGAAAAAACATTTTTTCTTATTTCTTATATTCTGTAAAGTCCATTTAGTTTTCAATAGATATTGGTGCAGATGCTGAAGTATCATTTCCATTTACAAACCTATTTTTAAAATAAAAATTTTAGTTTGATATCAGAGCAAAGTAAGGTTGCTAGAGAGAGAAAGAGATAAGGTTAATAGGAGATATAAGGTCGGCCATTGTTGCCTCTTCATCTTGTTTTTATGTAATTAATTATTATATTCTTTTCTATTAGTATCAAAGATTCAAAGAATTTGAAGGGTTAAAGAGAACTAAAGAGTTTTAATTCATTTATTCAAAATCTTCATTGTAAGAATCAATATAAAATACTTTTTTTTAATAATTGTTAAGTGGAAATTATTATAACTTTTAATTATAAATCGTTTAATTATAAATTGAATTATGTAACAATAATTTCGTCAATTTATTAAATTAAAATATTAGGTTAAGAGATATGATGCCTCAAAATCGGCCTTACATCTAATAAAATCTATGTAGGCTATGCAGAATATAAATAGAAAAAAAAAGAAATGTTTTTAGAAACTTACTAATATATTATTTTTTTATGCAACATGGAATGATAAATGAGTGGACGACCCACTTGATGAAAAGTGGTATCATAGCCTATAGATCATATAATACTATAAACATCACATAATATACGAAGATGCCCATGCGAACCTTATGCATTGCCATTTCTGAGAAGTAAGATATTACTTTTATCCTGCAATTTCACTGCCATATTCCATCTTCAAACCAAAACATTGTCATACAAGCACAAATGCTTCATGAGATGATGCGTAAGAACGAGACCGAGGTACCCAAGTCAAGAACTACTGTATGAAATCTCCCTTTAGTAAAATCTATGAATTTATTTATGTCGATATTAAAGTCAGTTCAGATGGTTCAGGTTTATGACAATGCAACTTTCAAAGGCCTATATTTTTTTTTTTATTCTACATGGTTAATACCTTATCCACTGTGTGGTCCCAGCATAGTATAGATCAATCCTTCCATTTCTGTGGGTATCGTAAGAGACGACTAAGGGAACTTAATAGTTGAGGGATGGGCAACAGTGTCACGCTTTAGACATCACCAAAGCCTAACTTCGGTTGCCAAGCATGACAACTATTGGCAAAACTCCACTAATGGGGAAAGCTTATGTTTAGTAGTGGTCAATTAACAGTTGATAAAATGAATACCTTATCAAATCCCTGATCATCGGTAAACAGTCTTCCGTCCACATTGGTGAACATGACGCGCTCACGCCATTTATTGCTAGTGTTGAAGTCGAACAGGTAGTCACGGAATATTCTGTGTTGTCTGCAACAAAGAAATGGAAACTTTTAATAAAATATGATTTATCACGTACGTTGGGGCCATATATTTTTGAATTCAACGTATTTTCGTCGGCGATTGCATATTGAATTGGAACGACAATAAAACAAATTGCATACAATTCGTGACTCTGGGTCATACTGTGCGGAAACTCGGTAATTACGTCGACGTAACGCTGCGGAACGCTCGTTCATGCTCGGTGTCTGTTCGGCCATTAGCCATTGCTAGACCGGCCCTGACTATTCTGGTTATACATCAAACTGGTATTTACATCTCTATAAGACAATCTTTTGGGTAAAGTCTGAAGAAAGGATATTGGAAAAGTCCAGCTGTGGACAGTAGACGATATAATTTATTTATTTATAATATTTGTCAACTATAGGAGTTTGACAGTTTCCCAATTCGTTCCTTTAGCAATAACAATATATGAAACAATAAAATTTAATTTAATTATTTTATCAAATGAGTGAGCTTTACAGTCATTAAATAATATAATAATAATTAGACTTAAATCACAACATAACAATAATAGAAATAACATCTATATCTCTAACAGACTTTGTATTCATCTGATGAAACTCCAGCAAGTTAGAGGCAAATACGTCTCAAAATATATAAAATAAAATAAAACAAAACATCATTGAGTAGTTTCAATGCAAGAGTACTTGCTTAGCCAACTCTGTTCTGTCTGTTAATTATTGGATACTTTTTAAACAATTTATTGCCAATCTGCGAAACTCGACAAGTTTACAAGTAATAATATATATGTAAAATAATAATGACAATGACAGATTTCATAAATTTTATTACAACTATTACCTGTTACATCTGGATATGGATGTGTCATTACAGACGACGATATCCGGTAACAGGGTCTGTAGAGCGACCAGAGCTTTGCCACCGGGCGCCGAGCACAGGTCCAGGAGTCGGTCGCCGGGTGCCAAACACAGCGCCAGCACCGCTAGTACACTGCCACAGTCCATTGGGTAATAGTTGTAAACACCTAAATACAAAAACGAATTGCAGTACTTTTTTAGTGCATGATGTAATGATATTCTACATATATTTCGTTCACGCTGGCGAGGTAAAAATGAGAAATGATAAAGTGAGGTTAGGTTAGTTGTTTTTTTTTTACCTGGACCTTTTTTTATATTGGTAACCTCGCCTGCGCTAACGGGATACGCTGGCGGAGCACCAGTGAAGGGTGATCGATGAGAAAGAAAACAGGCCAGTTAGCCCATCATGATGAATTCACCAAGAATTAAACATGATAGTTTCTAGAGGGAACCGCGTAGAGGTCGACCTGGTTGGATATATTGCTAGCAATGGGATTTTTAGTCTTCATTACTAACAATCCCTTTCCCCCCGGTTAGTTGGCTTAGAGCAAGGGTGGCCAACCGGTCGATCGCAACTATGAGTCCAGTCGATCGTGGCAAGGCAAAAAATATATTTCGCTAATCTAGCGGAAGATGCTCAGACGCAATGCTCACACTAATATAAATAAGTAGTTACTAAGAATAATTTTCAATTTTATATTGTCCTTCCTAATAAAATGAAAAATACTACAATACTACATAATTGTGTTCTGAACTATGTTGTTTCGTTTGAGATATCAAGAAGTAGGTATGTAATTGGTTTGTTTTTGATGGGTGAAAATGGTATGGTAACCCCGCCTGCGCTAACGGGATACGCTGGCGGAGCACCACTGAAGGGTGATAGATGAGAATGAAAACAGGCCATCCTAGGCAGCCCATCATTATGAATTCATCAGGAATTAACTATGATAGTTTCCAGGGAGAACCGCGAGGAGGTCGACCTGGTTGGGTATATTGTTAGCAATGGGATTCTCAGTCTCCATTACTAACAATCCCTTTCCCCCCTGTATGTAATTGGTTGATCGCATAGGGTTTCATCAGTAAACAGTAGATGTTTGGTTAAGTCGGCCATAGAGTATAAGATGATTTATGGTGATGCTATACTAAATTTCATAATGATCGGTTAAGCTGGTAAAAGTTAACAAATAAACTCACATTAACATTTTATAATATTAATAAAGATCATTAGATAGTTGTAATATATCACTATGTTAACACTGACCTGTTGTACATCTTTTAGGCTCTGGGAACATTTTCCATTCACTGTCCATTTCGTAAGTATATACTTTCAAATGTTCAGGCATCTTGAACTCCGTTTCCGGGTCTATTACTAATGGAAAATCATTACTTTCTGGAAAAAATAAAATTCTGTATTATTATTGAGAAGAATTATTGTTTTTAAAATAGATATGACATAATAAAAGAGTTTTAACCTGAATTCTCATGTGAAATTGTCTCTATCTCTCTTACATTTAGCTAAACACAGACAATTTCATATATTGTTGTCTATATTATGGCCCTGGCATAGAATAGGCCATCCTTTCCTTTCCCGTAGGTGTTGTAAAAGGCAACTAAAGGAACTAAATAGCTGAGAGAAGGGCAGCAGCATACCTTTTAAAACTTTACCAAAACCTAACTGCAGTTGCAAATCCAGGCAGATTAGCAACTACTGGCAAATACTGCCAAAAAAAGCAGATTAATTCATACGTAAGTGAATAAAGGGAATTTAATGAACTTACCATTTGTAATTTTCAACAGGTTGTTTCAATTTTTGAACCAGAGGGAGACTTTGTACAAAAGTCGATTGCTTGGGTACCTCTGTCCCATTCATGTTTCAACAGTGAAGCAGCTGTGTTTGCATGGCTGTGTTTCGGTTTGAAGGGTGGGATATGGTGTGAATTTACTGGGTACAGAGGAATAACACCTGAGTCCTCAGGAATGGCAACGCATGGGGGTATCATGAGCGAAACAGTATACTCTGTTATGTCTATGGTACTGCTTATGTTTATAGGTGACGGTTACCACTTTCCATCAGGTAGGCTATCAGCTTGTTTGCTATTCTAAGTTGTAAAAAAAAAAAACATAAATTAAATAATGGTTTTGTCACTTACTGGAATAAAATGAATAATGCAATGACTCTGGTACCCAGTCATCCATTCCTTTAAGTTTTGTGGCAGGTATATATTGGTAAAGTGCTTCTGATGATATGCCCATTGAAGGGTCTATGATGCGTGACTGATCAATATCATGATTAATTGTTTGTTCTTTTGCACTCTCATAGTTTCTGTAATAGGAAGATTATGTTTTATTTAATTAATTATACAGTTTAATGTGCAAAAATTAGGTAAATAGCTATTATAATATATACAAATCTAAACTTATTACAAGTAAATAAATAATATGTACAATTAAAATATGACTGAAGTTCATAATAATATGCTGCAGTTATATGTGATTAGACATGGAACATTTGGAGAAATTAACAAATTAAATGGGTATTCACATGCAATCACGGTCTATCTGTAATTTTTCATCTATTTATCTATGGCAATGTAGTTACAGGAGGTATAACACCTTAATCTTCAGAAATGGCAATGCATGAAGTGTATCACAGGTGACACAGCATACTCTGTTATTTCCATGGTTGATTGTTACCACTTTTTATCAGGTCAGTTGTTTGCTTGGTTCCCATTCTATGTTGCACAAAAAAATTGCTTTTTTTAAACTACAAATATTTACTAAATTACTTAGTATGTCTTTTTATTAAAATGAGTATTAGTATTCATTTAAAAACAATACAAAAAAATATTTAACAATAATATATTATTTACATAGTTTAAAAAAAAAACAGATTTAAAGTATATATACAGCAATACAATGATAATAAATTAACATAACTTTTTTCTAGCTATTTATATACTTAATAAACTATTATTTAGATAAAAAAAAAGATATACCAAAATTGGATATTAAATTACCCCAGTATATAAACAGATTGTATTCATGATTATTGTTACCTAACCCTAGGGTATGAAGACTGTTATTACATGCTTACGATTTTGAGTCATTTAGTTTGCTTTCTTCTTGTTCATTAGAATATTTCAAGGATACATCAGAAAAGTCCAGTTGCTCTGGTGCCTCTTTTTGATGATAAAGATTTGATATTTCTTCTGTTTGTAGTTTCTCTCTATAGTCTTGTAATTTATTATTACCATTGTTTTGTTTGCTTAATTCTATTTTTTCAGGTGGGTATTGTTTATAGAATTCTTGCTGTACAGATGTTAGTTTGTTGAGACAGTGTGCACCTAAATAATACATATACAGTGTTTATATTATACACTCAGATTATACATCCAGATATAAATATAAAGGTAATTATAAATAAATGTTTAAAAAGCAATAATTTATTTTTTTTACAAATTTGTTTACTAATTATGCAAAATATTTTGTAAACAGTCTCGGCATTTTAGTAATGGAGGATAATGTAGAATACGTTTTGATTTTACAATGTTTTTAAATAATTTCAACAAATGTTAATGTCTAAATTATTAACTACATGCCTACTATGAATTACTTTGTTAATAATTAATTGCATTTAATTACAGGTATATACCTCTATTTGTAAGAAATTCTATGGTTTCCTCTGGTTCACCATAGTTATTGACCACTGCTACATATTTATTTCGTCGGAGTAGAGCCTCTTTCATGGGTTTCCATTTATCACCAAAAATAGAACCATAAAAATCATCGAAGTGATTCATGGCCTTGTATTTAGAACTGGTTTTCTTCTTCAATTTAGCCTGAAGTTATATAAAGAATATAATATCCATGCAATATTGTAAATGTTGTTTATAATAATTAATAAGATAAATAAAAAGTACATACCCAATGAGTTTTGGATTTTAATCTCGCCTGTAAGACAAGATAGCTGCTGAAAGAAACATTTTTACATATGGTTGTAATCGTAAACATCTTTATGTGAATCACAGATCAGTAAAGTGTTAACATAAGGGTTCTTGAATTTATTATTTTTGTCTTGTTTTAGGTTAGTTTTAAGGTTATAAAAGGAAAGAGTAGGTAGGTAAGTAATTATTTTGAGTTTGACATTGACACTGTCAAATTTTGATTACTGGCAGATGTTCCAAGTTTGAATTCCGGCTGATTAATAATCAATGTAATTCCAAAGGTACATAATTATAATATTACAATAAAAAGAATGATATATCTATAAAAGATTGCATGTATTTTAATCAATGATATTACAACAATTATAAAAATACTGATAGCACTTGAATTTGTTTCTTTAAATTATCCTTGTCGTAAATTGGAACGTGTAGATTAAAATGTCAAACATATGTGCCCGATGACAGAAACAACAATATCATGCACATCCCCTTCCTCTTATGCCCGCGAACAGCAAATTGAAGTATTGATTTGTTTACAAGGTGCGAGATTTTTCAAGTATCCTATAATATACGTATGCCCTACAACCTTGTCAAAACGATTGAGAGATAATATATACTGACTTAATTACAGCTTTTCGTGCTGGAGGTTTATCAGTGCTTCGTGCCAGTGGTGCGGCGCGCCGTTTCAACTTTCGAGGACCTTAAAAGCTTAATTACCTGTGTTTGGTTTGAGTTGTTTTATCGATTACATGTCTGTTCGTGCCCTGATACATCGGGGATCTTTATACTATCGTGCGAATAGATAAGGATCTAAAAATGTGCGACACGACGACTATGTGTGTCAATGGATACTATATTTTCGAAGTAGGTCACAAGTAAGTCCATTTCTCATTTCTTCTTGTTAAATAATAAATGTGTGACTACTTTTCTTATACCTTATTTATTTATTAAAGGTCTGATTTCAATTGTCGGCGATGGAAACTGATGTAATTGTGAAGTTAAGATAGTTTGAAAGAGCAATAGTCATGTATGGGATGTTGAATGTAAGCTTAAAGGCGGGAAATAAGGTGGAATGGATAGCGATAGATTGGAGACTGTCCCTAATGGGGTTGCACATTTGGACACAGTGAGGGCATTACACCAAACTGTGGTGTCTTTGCGGACAGCATTGGAAGTGTCCAAGAATGAACTTAAGACTTTGAAGGAGAAATATGAGCAACAATCACGGTGTACTGACTATGAGGACATCATAGAAAAGTTGACATTAGAAAATCATATATTGAGGCGTAAAATAATTGATTCACATTATGAGGACTCTAATACCCAGAATATAAAATTAGAAGTCACTTACAGCCCTCGGGTGGAAGATATAGAGGGTACTGGAAGTGAAGTGGTAATTAAAACTGCTACCAGTGACAGTAATACTGTGGATATTGAACCTGAACCTCAAGATGAACCTGAAAGTACAGTCCAGTTTTGTACAGCAGAAAAGTTACATGATATTCAAGAGGAGTTAAATGTATCTCCTGAAGTGAGTCGGTATCTCCTGAAGGGAGTCCTGAAGTCATTTCTCATGAAAATACACATACAGAAATAGATGAATTGAACAGTCAAGTCACAAGTTTTCCTAAAGATAGTGAACAAGAAGGTCATCAACCAAGTTTTAAGACCAAACTAGAGCTACTGTCTAAATTTGATGTGAGAATTAAAGTGAGAACTTTGAAAGAAGGAGCAATCATTTCGAGTACTACTTCAGAGAGTGATTCAACTACAGAAGAAAAAGTACCCAAAGAATCAGATGTAAGGTTTCAATTTGGAGAAAGAAAAGAACATTTTGAAAATATTGAGGGTCCTAAAGGAGAGAGTATTAATGTAAGGACAGTTTCTAAAGAGAATATAAAGATGGCAGTGCCAAATGAGGCTGAAGCTAAGGCCAAAGTGGACAAATTTGATGTTCAAGTGAGGATTACATCTGAAGAGAGTCTAGTTATGAAGGAAAATGTAGAAAGGAGTAGAAGAAAAGAGACATTAAATTTAGATGTTGATGACTTGAGTCTCAGGTAAATAATATGGATAATTAAATAATTAAATAAATTCCAGAATATTCTAGAATAAAATAATTATTATAACCATGACACAGAGTTCTATTTCTCTTGTAGTGAACTAAAAATACTATAGTGTATTCTTATACACTCTCAACCCCTTTCTTCTGTTTAATGAATTTTATTGTAATTTTTCTTATTATTAAGATAAATTCACATCATAAAAAATATTAGGAAAGTTTCCTAGTGAAGTTAAAAATAAAACACTTTTTCAGGTGCAAATTTTTTAACTAACATTCTGGTATCTGGTTTATGTCTGAGGTCTTGAATTAACTGTTGATTATCTGCTATAGAACTATTACATGAAAAAGTAAAAAGTTATTATCTGTATTCGTTTTTTAAGCAGTTGTGTTTGCATGGCTGTGTTTCGGTTTGTGGGATATGGCGTGAATTTACTGGGTACAGAGGAATAACATCTGAGTCCTATATATGGTTTATCATGGGCGAAACAGTATGTGTGTATACTGTTATGTCCATGGTACTGCTCATGTCTATAGGCGACGGTTACCACTTTCTATCGGGTCGACCGTCAGCTTGTTTGCCATTCTAAGTTGTATAAAAAAAAAAAAAAAAAAAAAAAGTAATTATTATTTATTTTTTTAATTATTATATTAGCTGGTAATTGTTCACCACTGGACATAAACCTATATATAGGTTTTCTAGTAGTTGCTACTATTGGCATGTGGTTTGGCAATTGCAGTTAGACTTTGGTGATATTTTAAGAGGGATGCTGCTGTCCATCCCTTGATCATTAAGTTCCTTTGGTTACCTGCAATAAAGGAAGGGGTGGCCCATTCTATAATAAGTGTTGTTATAAAATATTACTTAATTCATATAATAATGATTGAACCTAGCTTATAAATAAAAAGTCGATTGCTTGGGTACCTCTGTCCCATTCGTAATTCAACCGTGAAGCAGCTGTGTTTGCATGGCTGTGTTTCGGTTTAAAGGGTGGGATATGGCGTGAATTTACAGGGTACAGAGGAATAACACCTGAGTCCTCAGAAATGGCAACGCATGGGGTGTATCATGGGCGAAACAGTATACTCTGTTATGTCCATGATACTGCTCATGTCTATAGGCGACGGTTACCATTTTCTATCAGATGGGCCGTCAGCTTGTTTGCCATTCTAAGTTGTATAAAAAAAAATTCTTTTAATAAATATTTTTTATTTCAATATGGTTCTAGGTCATTATCAGAAGGAGACAACTCAGTATTCTCTGAGGGTGTTGCGACGCCTGTTGATCCAGGCGGCGAAGATAAACTCGATCAGGAGACAGCTAGTGGCAATGAATCTGAGGAAGTTGACGACATAGAGTTGATATTCACCACTGATGAATCTAAGGACATGAGTAATTTGCAGGTATTAATGAAACATCTAACTATTAATATTTAATTATACTCTAAATATATCAGTTTAATAAACATTATTATTTTTTTGTCAATCACAGTTTCTGTATTATTTAATTATCTCATTTATACATATTCAAGTGAGTAAATGAGTTAGGATGAAAGTCACATATTTATCTTTATATAGTTAGTTTAAAACCATGGTGGTGTACATGTAAAAGTGATTTTGGACTCTACATAATAAACATTATACTTATGTCTTATACAAATTTGCTTTAAATTTGGCCTATAATATAAAGTATAGTCGGTATACACTGGCAGGGCACCAATGAAGGATGATAGGTGAGATGAATGAGCAGGTCAGTTAGCCCATCATGATGAATACACTTGGAATTCAGCACAATGGTTTCCAGAGGGGATTATGTGGAGGTTGACCTGATAGGGTATATTACTAGCAATGGGACTGATAGTCCGCATTATTAACAATCCCTTTCCCCTCAGCCTAACTGCGGTTGTCAAATAAATAAGTTTAATTAAATAAGAATTATTATTTCTCAAAATTTTCAATTAATCTGAAGAAAACGATATGTTTTCTTAAATGTCTTCAAGAACCCTCTTATGGTTTTGAAGATTTTGAGATGTGACCTTTTATAATGAAATTCATATGAGTGTGACCTCTATTTGTAGGAAGACCTCGTATCAATACGGGAGTCAGAGCAATGGACGCCAGGCTCCGCGTCTACCACTCACTCTACTCCGGTACTCATCAAGTTTCACACTCTCGACCCTGACTTCCAACCAGGGGGTGAAACTAGAGACAATGCGGAAAACGAAAATCAGGAGAACACCAGTCTCCAGAGTGTTATAGCTGAGTCCTCATTGAGAATGAAACGTGTGTCTTTACCAAGTGACAAAGAGATTAAACATGTGGCTTTTAATGGCAAAGGAAGTTTGGACTTGCCCGGCAGGGGTATACTGAAAAGCTGCGATAATAAATCAGACAATATGCTGTATAGAAAGAGCCCAAATACAAGTACAAGAAGATTGGACAGCGTGGACAGCTTGACTTGCGAGTACAACAGAGGCTTAAGTTTCGATAATACAAAGTCTTCAAGTTTCGAATTAGGATCCAGTATGGACATTCTCCATAGAGACGAGAGTATAGAAAATTTTCACAGAACCAGTAATTTCGGACATAGATTTTCAGTGTTTGCTGAGACTGATATATCAAAATGTGGAATTTCAGAGGATGATTTGTTAGGAAATTTGAATGTTAGAAGGAACACATGCCCCAATCCATTTCAGTACAGGTATAATTTGCATTTTTTAAGTTTTTTATATTAAATTACAATTTACAGTGACCTCGATTTTCTAATTAAAAAAAGTTACATTTTGATACAAATTTCTGTCTTTATTGAAATAATATATAAAATCAAATGGCATATATGTATGTACGTTATTTTAGTCGCGAGCATTGTTTAGAAGATTCTCTGTAATTCTATAACGAATCCAACAAATGCTCGCTATCGACATCATGTGTCACAGGCATACTTAAGGGGGTTGGGTTGGATATTTCATGCTCACGCCAGAATTGTCTAGAGCCCATCGCAGGACACGAGAGAAGCTTACCAAAGACACGACTGAGAGTACATTTGTGCCTTTTTTATAAGACCAGGTCCCATCTAGAAAATAATTTTAAATATATATCTGTGTGTATATCCGTAGACCGGTGGGATATCGCGGTGCGTGGCGCGGTCCAATGCGAGCGGGTGCAGGTCCGGGCACGGGGCCGGCCGCAGGGCCGGGCGCGGGGCTGCTGGCGGCGGGTGGCACACGCGGCGGCCCGCGGCGAGAAAGCGGCGCGCAGACCGATGTGTCGGCACTGCCGCCGCGGTGGAGCTCCGATGGGTATCTCGCTCATAAGGTTAGTTGCAGTTGCATTTATTGTTAGACATATAATGTCGAAAAAATATTTTTCATGATTTCAAGAATTCAGGAAACTGGTAAATAAAATCATAAGGAAAATTATTAAAATTGTTTTTGATTGTATATAAAATGTATAACATATACCAGACGGAGACTTTGTACAAAAGTCGTTTGCTTGGGCACCTCTGTCCCATTCGTGGTTTTACTGTGAAGCAATTGTGTTTGCAAAGCTACAAAGGAATAGAGGCCTACAGGAATAGGCTTATCTATTTCAATATGGTATCTCTTGATAAGCGTAGAACATTAATAGATTTAATTTTCTTATATAAGTTGTTTAGGAACAGAATTTACTGTTCGCAGATTTTTGCTAAATTTCATTTTCGATTGCCTGTACACTATTTCCGTAGTTATATCAGTCCAATGTCCGTGCCGTTCCATAGAACTGCTCTTGGTGCCAACTTCACTGTACCACGTTTTAACAAACTGTTGAATAATTGCAAGCAACACTTCACAACATATTGACTTCGAAATGGAAGAGGATTTCTATAGGAAAGCATTGCAGTTAATTGAATAGCAAAAATTTATTTGAAGCAATCATTTATTTAATTTAAAAAACTATACCTATGTTAAATAACTCAGGAGTTTGTTATACCATATTTGATAATTAGCATGTTGTGTTTCATTTAAAATGATTGTACACTGTGTAGACAGTAATTTTAATATTAAATCTTATCAGTGTAACAATTGCTGGGAGACCAAATAAAGATAAAATAAAAAATTACAAAAAAAAAGTAGTTATGTAAAAATAATTCTAGAAAGGGATGATACAGATGTGCTCGCTTGATAGGGGCCACTGCTGTCCCCTAACTAAATTTATATACTAAATACAATAAAGTTATATATATAACCAATAGATGGCGCTGCAACAAAACTACTACGCGATATTAATGTTTATCGCTAATCTATGACTACCTCGGAGCTGCGAATTTTCTTTATCGCTTCTCGGCCTTTTGGCTAAGATCAAAGTGTAGTATCTGTTCTTATCAGCTTAATATCTGGAAGTTCCCTCACTGAGGGACCAGTATATTAAACTGATTTTTGTAAACCGACGGGATGTTCGGGGCTCGCTCCACTCCCGTCACGGGTCGGCCCGGCATTGCAGTGCCGCCGGGATTGGCCCACATAATGAAATAAAAATCTCTCTCACGCACCTTTTTGCCCGTCGTTTTTAATGGTAGACAATTCAAAAGAAATGCATGAGTATTAAGGGTTAACTTTTACCAGAGGAAGACTTTGTACAAAAGTCGTTTGCTTGGGTGCATCTATCCCATTCGTGTTTCAACCATAGAGCAGTTGTGTTTGAATAGCTGTGTTTCAGTTTGAAGGGTGGTTGGTATATGGCGTGAATTTACAGGGTACAGAGGAAGAACACCTATGTCCATGGTACTGCTCATGTCTATAGGCTACGGTTACCACTTTCCATCAGGTGGGCCGTCAGCTTGTTTGCCATTCTAAGTTGCATAAAAAAAATTATTACTATATATGGAACATAATTATAATTTTTTATCCTCTTATTTATTTCTTTATATATCTGACATAAAATATGCTATAATAAGTAATTCATAGGCATTATTTAATTCTTAACGTAGACTCTAAAAGAGCAACTATAAAAATTCCTTCTAAAATGTTTAGCACATTGATTATTATGATAGAAATTATGATATTTGATGGCTCATCGTTTAATTAAATTTAAATTATAGGAGATTATTGTATGGAAAATGTATCGAATATTTTGACCATGTCCAGATTCCGTTACCGTCGGTGGGTGAGAGCTACGTGGGCGCGGCGGGGGGCGGGTGCGGCGCGTGCGGGGCGCGGGGCGCGGGGCCGGGGCCGGGCCGCGCGCCGCGCCGGCCCTCCGCGCCGCGCCCGCCGCGCGCCGACGACACGCGCCGCTTGCTTCTCAGCGACATTGGTAATTTTTTATCTGCTATCTCACTATTTTATGTCATCATCATCTCAGCCGTTATATGTCCACTGCTAAATATAGAGCTCCCCCATAGACTGCCATAAGGAACGGTCCTGCACCGTCTGCTTCCACTGATCTGCTTCCACTCCATCTAGTGGGGGTCCAACTGCGTTTGCCCGTATGGGGTCATCACTCAAGAATTTTTCCTTTCCATTGGTTGTCGGTTTTTCGAGCTGTATGACCAGCCCATTGCCACTTCAACCTGTTTATCTTTCGGGTTATGCAAAATACTCAGAGCATATTCCTCTCCATAGCTTGCTGAGTACTTAGAAGCTTTTAAATACGGGCATTGTATGCCACTAGTAACCCATTTGGTCGAATGGCAAAGCAATGCTTAAACCTATGAAACTAAAATATCAGACAGCATTTGATTATATTCTTTAGACTGATGGCAAATTTATTAATAGAGAAAAAAGTCTAAAATGCTGTTATTTACTGTGTAAGTGCGAAAAAAATATTATTCAATTTAATTACTAAAATATCCCGACAACAACGAATATCTTAGATCATTCTTTGACATACAGATACACTTTGTCTGTCACGTTACTTTTTTTAACTACTACATTTTTTGTGTCTAAAAATCTATCTTTAGATTTAAATAGTGACTTCACTATTTGCCAAGGAATATTTAAAATAATGGTACTAAGCAATTTTCACCACCGCTAGAAAATTTACGCTTATAGTACATTAAGGAAGATTGTACCAAGTGGTCTTCTTGTCGCCATTCTTTACTCGCTATGGCGGTATAAAACCCTAGTGTTGTTGCGTTAGGGTTTACGTCGATGGTGCCGGAGCTGTCGCGGTCTGCGGACCCGGTGTGGGCGCTGGGCAAGCGCGCCTCGCCGCAGCCCGCGGCGGGCCCCGCGCCGCCCTCCTTCGGCCCTGCAGCCGTTCCTGGATTTTCGCCCACCTCCAAGTACGTTATATTGTTTTTTAATTAATTTTATTAATAAAAATAATACCGCGTCTAAGTTATTGGTTTAGGTCAGCGGGTTAATAGATAGGGATGTTTTTTTTTTGATGGGTGAAAATGGTATGGTAACCCCGCCTGCGCTAACGGGATACGCCGGCGGAGCACCAGTGAAGGGTGATAGGTGAGAATGAAAACAGGCCAATTAGCCCATCATGATGAATTCATCAGGAATTAACCATGATAGTTTCCAGGAGGAACCGCGAGGAGATCGACCTGGTTGGGTATATTGCTAGCAATGGGATTCTCAGTCTCCATTACTAACAATCCCTTTCCCCCCAAGATAGGGATGTTAGATGAGAATGAATTCAGTTCAGTTGGCTAATCGTGATTAATTGAGTAAAGATTAAGTTTATAGTAAATTTCTCCTTAGAAATTAGTGTAGTTCTGTATACAGGTCGACTCCCATTACTAATAATACCCTCCTGCTGGAGGGGAGGGATTGTTAGCAATGTGAACTACCGTTTCCATTGCTAGCAACACACCCTGTCAGGTCGACCTCCACGTGGTTCTGGAAATCATTATGCTGAATTCCAAGTGTATTCATAACCATGGGTTAACTGATCCTATATCCTCACCTATCATCTCTCACGGTGCCCCTCAGCATATACCGTCAGCTCGGGCGGAGTTGCCATTTCATTATCATCCATTAAGTAAATACTATTCCTCTACAACATAAGTTTTTATAATGATAACTATAGAAAAAGAATATAATATAACGTTAATATTGATCCTCAGGTTCATGTCGCGCGGTTCATACCGTTCACCGTGCCTCAGCATAGATCGCAGCAATGATTGGTTGTCGCAGACGCAGCCTGTCTACCTGCCCCACACCAAAGGTACTCAGGCTATTTATTTTTATGCTTTCAGTCGATTTTTAACCGACTTTAAAAGAATTTTTCTGATTCGTGATATCAGCTATTAACTGTCCACTTATGAACATAGGTCTCTCCTATAAAGAGAGGTTTTGCCAGTAGTTGCCACGCTTGGCAGGCGGGTTGGCAAATGCAGTTGGCCTTTGGTAATGTTTTAAGAGGAACGTTGCTGTCCAGCCCTCTACAATTAAGTTCCTTTAGTCGCCTCTTATGATATTTACAGGAGAGAAAGGAATTTGATATGTTTGTTACCTCATACCTCCGTAGCTGGTGGCCTTATAGTCAAAGTAAAGTGTACGGTGTTTGCAGAGTGGCGAGGGTGGCGCAGCTCGCTGCCGGACGTGCGCGACGACACCGACGAGCTGCTATACGAGACCGACGCTTACCTGCGCCGTTCCATAGACAATTTGCGATCCTCCTCAGTCTCCACGGCGCTGGACCGTGAGTATTTTTAAGTTATTGTGGTGGCAAACAGGCATATGGCTCGTCTGATGGTAAACGGGGTTACTGTAGTTTATGGATGCTTGTCTATGGGTTGTCACGCGCGCTTTGCCCACCTTTAAGAAATATTATTACGCCTTTTTTGAAGAACTTCAAGCTGTTGTTTCTAAGGAAAATTTTGGCAGAAAAATGTTGGAGGAAAAATGTGAAAAACTGCAAAAGGATGTCAGAATTTCTACATTTTTTTTACAACACGGGGCAAACGAGCATGCGGCTCACCTGATGGTAAGTGACTACCGTCGCCTGTGATCACCCATAACACCTACGGCATTGCAGGTGTGCTGCCGGCCTTTTAAAAAGGAATATGCTCTTTTCTTGAAGGTTATGTTGTCGTATCGGTTTGGAAATACTGCTGCTGAAAGTTGATTCCAAAGAATGGTCGTGCGTGGGAGAAAGTGCCTTGAAAAACGCACGGTGGAGGACCGCCACTCGTCCAGATGGTGTCGTCTACATTTTTATAATTGTTACAATCTTTTTACCCGCTATTTTGTACTTGGCTATCAGAAGTAAAAAGAATAATGAATTTTACCTTTGACCATGACCGATTCTAGATGGGATATCAAGACGAAACACTTAAAAGATTTTAAATTAAATCTCCAGAAACACAACTGTGAATCGCATCTAATTTGGTATAACAGTGTATTTCAAACCGAAACACAGCCATGCAAACACAAGTGCTTCACGGTAGATACACGATTGGGATAGAGCTACCCAAGCAAACGACTTTTGCATAATGCCTCCTTCTGCAAATAAATATACATATATGCGTATATCGGCAGTGGATGGGTCAGCGGTGGTGTGCGGACAGCCATACATCCCGTCGGAGCCGCGCCAGCTGCGACTCGGACACACGGTCAAGCTTATCTCGCCCCAGGGGCGAGTTGTCATAGGACGAGTCAGGTAACGCGCTGCACTATATACTTCTGTTTTGTAATGGGTGATAATGGAATGGCAACTCCGCCTGCGCTATTGGTATTTGCTGGCTTGGCACCAGTGAGGGATGATAGATAAGGATGAAAGCTAGGTTAACCCATCGTGACAAATTTTACAAGGTTTCCCCTGGAAACTGGAGGTCGATTTGATAAGGTATATTGCTAGAGATGGAGCTTTTTTCTCGTCATCAATGTCGAAAGTAAACCCAATATATAGATATCAGAGCGGTATCGAGTTTACCTGTGTCTAGTTAGATGACCATTCAATTAATATGTTACACAATCAATCAAATCAATCGTTATCCAAAAAAATATGGTGTGTCAGATACGTGGGGCTGGCTGGAAGCACTGCCGCTAGTAGCAGCGTAGTGGTGGGTGCGGAGGTGTCCCGCGAGGCGGTCGGCTCGCACAACGACGGTACGTACCGCGGTCGCCGCTACTTCTTAGCCGCGCCTTCTGCCGCTGCACTCTTCGTGCCCTTCAGCAAAGTCGTCATGGCCTGGGCCAACTGAACATGCCCTGCGGTGAGTCCGGCCCTGTCTGCTTACCATGAAAATTTATTCAAAATTTCCGAACCAAACGTAACACGTACGGAATGTTGTCAACAATATTTCGGCAGTTCAAAAACTTTATGGTAGGGTTTATGATGAACGGAAAGCCAGTATACAATATCGGTGTCTGTAAAATCGATTTTCGCAGGAAAGTCTTTCATCGAACAAGATTTCTAAGTGACGAAATTACATTTCATGGTAGATATCCAGATTATGATCTCGGACAATCTTGATACTTGAACGTATTTAAAATGATATGAAGTATGAATTCAATGTGTTATCATACATGAAAAGCAATGTACTGGGGTTTTATCTATTTAAATCGAAGATAAATTAGTGGAACTCTATGGTGGCGTTTTTGACATTAATCTATTTATGAAGATATGTAAATTAATATTGATTGCTCTATATAGATTATAAACATTTGCTGTATTTAATTACAGATGTCCGACATTAGAAAATTGTTATCAAATGTCAAAAAATCCATCGTTCCATGTCTCTTGTTTAATTGTAATAATATTATAGGGGTGTTAATAATTCTCTCAAATTTTAACGTCATGAAAAAATCTAGTCATGAAGTGTTTTTAATAATTATGATAAACATGGTAAAGTACAAGTAAGGCATATTCTGCCTTTTATGTATGTATATATAAAAAATTATAAAGAACGTATCATGCATGCGTTGATCTGGCTCGAAGGACTAAATTATTATTTCATTCATTCAGTTAAAAAAAATTGTTTTCGCATACTAAGTAAAAACTATATAAATTTAATATATTATTATATAAAAAATAAACTACAACATGCCATAACATAACAAGAAAATTGTATTAAAAATACGAGCGGTGCAATTAATTTTAAAGGAATTGACATGATATTGATGAGTGATTGAATTACAGGATCTTGAATACTATTAGTATATTGTGAATAGTAGAGGGACGGTGTAACTCGTCGTGATGTGAGAATATAAAATATAACAAGAAATTTATATACGGTGATATCAAAATCATTAGGGTCCTTTTAAGATAGTGTTCTATCAATGAAAATGGAATTTTGGATTAAGCCTACTTTAAAATGATGCTAGTGATTTCGTTTTACCCTGTGTATGTAGATGGAAAAAAAAATTGTGAAAATATTCAAATATATTTGCGGCCTGTTTCTATATATAACATAGTAAAACTAAATGTACCATTACAAAATTATAGATATTACGTGTTTACGTAGTTATTAATTTGTATGTCACTATCGAAATACTTGAAGTTTTCGTTGAATTTCGACTCTAATGTTAAGAACATAAGACCTAATTGGAGGTGTGTTCAGATTAGTATAGTAGATAACTGTTTAGGCTAATTTTATGCATAGTTCATGTGTATAAATGTATGCCTAGGTAAATGTAAAACTCTTCTCTTTCCTTCATATACATTTCCGATATAAAGGTAGAAGGGGGAGAACGAATAATATATTTTATTTTTTATTAAATATTTATTTGTACCTTTATATAAAATTAGTTTATTTAAATGTCCTTTAAAAAAATAATTCATATTCTAAATTTGAATATTGATTGTCATAAATATTTTTAATACGTTTATCAGTGGCAAAAGTATAAGAATTATACAGCTATGTAATCAACTGCGACATTATACATGTTTGTTTATTTGTTGCGAAGATTACAGAGTAAATATATGATCTGCAATAAGTGGAATAAAAAAATATTTATAGGTAGATATACATATATTTATATTCTATAGATATGTAACAGTTGCTCACACTTCGCTACTCTATGGTGCTCTATAAATGTTTGGTTGACAGTGCATCTTGTTGGTGGCTACATGTTTTCTATTCCTGAAAACTTGTCCAGTTTGTATGGTATGTACTTGGAGTTTATGACGTTGCTTTTTTAAATTATTTTAAGTATTTATTTTTATTCGAGATACGTGTTTTTATCATATTTATTTACATCCAATTTCATTTCAGTTATAGAGGAAAATGATTTAATTCTACAATTAATACGAAAGAGTATCCACTGTATAAACTCTGCTTTTTTGGAAACTAGATGGCGTTATATCATATGAGATGTTTAAGACTATTCGCTATTTTATTACACTATATTTTTTAAATATTCAATAAAAAATCTTATTATTTTCTTTTATTGAATTTAGTTATTAAAAAAAAGCACACATAAAAGTACCAACATGTAATAAAGTGATACAAAAAACTTGTGAATTTAAATACTCATTATGTAATGTTATTTCGCTCAAAATACATGTAAAGCCCATGAGTTAGTTTATATTTCGTCCGGAAATTTTTACCAATAAAATAAAATAGAAAAAATATATATAGTAGCAATATAATATGAGTGATATCAGCTGACATGTAGAAATTAAATTGTCTATTTGTTCCTATCAGTTTTCTTCACTCAAATAATTTTTACAAAAATCATTTCCATATTCTGTCTATTTTTATGTTTTAGGTTTTTTTTTCATATAAAACTGAATCAGGTGATGTAACGGTACTAAATTATTAACATATATATTTGTAAGAAATAGTTGACTGCAATCTAATTATATATATTTGGGTATTTCATGCGATTTTTAATACAAACAGTTTTTTAGCTGCTTTAGCAAGTTGAACCGGTAATTGGAGTATCTTGAAGCTCGATTGATTGATCTAAATATGATGGTAATGATGATGAAAATAATGACTTTTTAGTCATCATACTATTATAAACTATCTCATTTACAAAATTAATTTGCAATAGAGTAATTGTATAATAGTTTTCTATTCAATATTAATCTAATTACGTTACGTAAGGATATATAAACGAGTACACTGTCAAATGCTTAGATTATAAAGTATATAGATTGGCAGTGTAAAAGAGAAACAAATATAATATAATATATGTTAGAGCGAGACAGAAAAGTAGGAGATTCTATATGCTCGAAGCTGATTTGGCAGAAGTATGAACAAAATATATTCTTTCTATTTTTAAATTTTGAAGTGTAATAAGTTTTAAGTGAATCTTTTTAGTTAGAGTTAAGTGTGTTGTTCCTGAATATAACATCTATTAGGAGAAAGCAACAATTTTGCATATTTTCCACGTAATTACGTTGAAATCTTATCTGTTTATCTTTTTAAATGTAGTAATATAGAACTATCAGAAATATTTTGTTCAAGAATTAGTAGAAAAAAATATATCTAATTTTATCCAAATAAAGTTCTAATTGTTGACGAATGGAAATAAAAATTATGACAGATACGTGAACTTTTGCTATTTTTACAACTTTAATTCCATCCAAATTCGAAGTTGTCACGTTGTATATATTTATAAAACACGCACACAGGTGTAACTATTTTCTTGTCTCGATTTCATGATTGCATTGCCAGTCTGTCAGTACGTGAATACGTAATACTACGTACTTACTCTATGGTAACTCTATGGTCATATATGTAGAATCATAGATAGTTCAATTTACGAATATTCATCTCTTATTTGACAGTGTAATATCGTACCTAGAGAGAATAATATCGGTTTAAATAATGAAGTATAAACCGATATGCAACTTGGACACAAACAAAGCAAAGCTTTTAATGAACCGTGGTTTGGAACTGATTATGTGGTTTCACAGCATATCATTTATTGCGCATAGTTAAAATATCTACATATATTTTCATATGTCCACTATACAATAATATACAGTAGTGGTTCTGATTTTGTATTTGATGTACAGAATAATATTTCAATACGCCTTTACATTTGTAATGTTTCTCTGATATATTTGTATCTGTAATTAAGTAGTTAGAAACGAATTCTGAACGCAGTGATAAAAATATAGCTCGTCAACTTTGTGACCGGCACTCCTTCAGGGTTATTGACCTATGAGAAGTATTATGTATTTACCTACAGTACGATCAAATTAATTGTGAAGTAAACTAATAAAGTAACTAAATTTCACGACCCCCATTGTAATTTAATATCATATAGCTTGCTTGAATATTGTTTTAATTAAAAATAATCATAACTTTACCTAATGATACGATAGATTTTTTTTTATGGATGATAATGGAATGGTAACCCCACCCGCGCTATCGGTATACACCGGCGGGGCACCAGTGAAAGATGAGGTGATGAAGGTGAGGATGTAGCAGGCCAGTTAGCCCATCGTAACGAATTCAACGAGAATTGTTCACGATGGTTTCCAGGGGGAACCACGTGGAGGTCGACCTGATAGGGCATATTGCTAGCAATGGGGCTGTCAAACTCCATTGCTAACAACCCTTCCCCCCTGATACGATAGATTAGAAGTAATTTTTAAATAGTGATTGTTTTCATATATGTAATCGTCCTAAGTCATCATTAGTCCCAATTAATATATCAAACATGAAGTATGTAACATAAATAACGTGAAACATTTTATGTGTTTGCTCAAGGTTTTTAGTACTTACTTACAGTACTTAATTTCACATTGTGTTTTAATGCTATGTATTGCATAGCATTAAAACACAATATGACATTATAACTCGACTCGCATTTTGTCTTTATAAGGGCGACTCATGTTACCTAGTTCATCATAATATAATATAATAATCATGTTACATAGTACCTAGTTTCACAGTAAACGTTATTATACCGTTTGAACGTACTCTTTATTCTGCTTACCTCTACTCTACCTTCTCGCGGATTTCTTACCTCTCCGCCGTCCGCCCTAGTTAAGTGCGAAGTTACTAGGAAGTGCCACGCACAAAGTTGTCGGACTATACATTTATAATAATTCAGTGTTATGAAGGTTTTTTTTTTATTGATGTCAGTATGTGCATTAAGAAGTATTATGTTATTGTCTATTACTTGGCGTCAATTTTCATACGCGGAAGTATCTTTTTCGGATATAAATGTAACTGAATAAATCATGAAAGTGACAGTATTGTAAAACGATGTGATTGGCTGAAAGTGTCTTATTAGGATACGTGTAACGCGGCTCACTATTTGTAATTCGAAACAGTTCTTTTATACTTACGAAAAAAATTTTTTTATGTGTATATTTTAATATTTTATATCTACTTTCATACAATACTCATGAACATCTTTTTTTATTATTATCGTACTGTCCGTTTTAAATGCACAATTTAGCTCTATAGGTTTTTTTTTTTATATTAACAAGTTTTGTATGCAGATGCAGATGCTACAGTGCTGGATTTACCAATATAGATGTACATTAGATGATACAGTGAACGCTCTATAGTGAAGCAACCTTTCTATAAGCAACATTCTTTATATTTTATTTATTCTATTCCGCTTAGTAAAAGAAATAAGTAAAAATATTTTCCAGACTGTAAGTATTTTTATACTCCTTTTTTCCCTATAAGCGACTTTTCCCAATAAGGAACTTTTTTATTGATATTGGTTTAAATGAGTTGCTTATATAGAGCGTTCATTGTATTATAAATAGGCCGAATAGACCGCCTAATGTGCGTTAGAGATACATAATATGGGAAATTAAAAATAAAAATCACTTTCTGTAAAAAAATTTAATTCTCATTTTACACTTTTATTATTTAATATAGCTAGTTTGTTCATTCAATCATTTTGCGGTACCTACTTTATAACCTATACCTACTCACATAAATACAGAAGTAAATAAAAAATAAATACGTGTAAGCGTCTCTCCCTGTCCTTTCTAGAGAAGCGGGCGAAAGAAAAGTAGCCTGTGTCTTAAAAAAAATAAATCCGGCACTGAGATGTAACTATAGGAAGTAAAAAATTGTTAGATCGAGATTTGGGTAAATTTGAAACGTAGACATCGGTATGTGCACGGCGTTAAACTATTAAAAAAGTTAAGTACCTATTACATGTATCATCGCACACGACTGTATGTAATTAGTTGTTGTTGATGTACTGGCAGCTATTATATTGCTTACTCTATATGGAACACAAAAAAAGAAATAAATTTGAAAAAGGTATGCAATGTGGCGGTTGCCAGTACGTCGTCAGCAAGAGTGTTATCGTAATGTAAAAATGTCTTGTATTATCTGTAGTTACTATGCACAAAAGTGTTCATTTTAAGATTATTTTTATATTTTTTCTACTTCTGTGATTTAATGTACCTATTTATTTCTATTATCAGAGTGAGATTACACAGTATTATAAATTTAGCTTAGTTTAGTTTTTACTTCAATTTGTAAATACGAGTATAACTTCCCTACGGCCTATATTCTGCACTAATTGTTAGATATGGTATTTAGTAATGATTGTGTAAATATTGATTTTTATAGTAGAATTTACTTATTGTTTTTTTTTTTTTCGTTATATTCTTGTACTGGACTGTAATTTGACAATTATTAGGGAGGTAACGTGTATGTACAATATAAAAATCTTCTTTTTTCTATAACGATTCGATAATCTACCATAATAATACTTGATAAAATATCTACAGTTTAAACAACTGTGCTATATTAACGTACATAGTTATTCTATGAATATCATGGGAATTATCAGAAATTAATTATTAATAGGTTGTAAACCTATTAATATTTTTGTATTCCCAAATGCAGGGATACACGCATTATGATATTTTCAAATTGGTTAGCCTGCGAAATGGGCCCAAAAAGTTTTATTAACAAAACGAATTCATTGACTTCATTGACGTCATCTAAAAGATGTATTTTATTAGGCCAGTTAAAAAATTCTCTCGTTAGTAATGGATGTGTATTATATATATGCGTTTAGACGTAAAGTATAAGATTTAATGTACAATCTCGAATGTGAAATAGTGTTCATCGAATGTGCCAAATAATTGGCTATTTGTCATTGAAATTCCATTCGTAATATAATAAAAATAAAAGTTCAAATTGTGTAAATGTTTACTTCATGTAATGAAGATGAAATATAAAGGATCCTCTGATTCTAATTTATATCTCGATTGTACTAAACGTACAAATAATGTTCTAACTCTATACATTCTGGGCCTATATGTTTTGTACGACTATAGGTGACACCTATGTGTACCTACTAAAATTATATTATATGTAATTTATAATTATATAAAGTAGTTACTTAGAACGAAACACTGTACCTAGTATCTAAATACTATTTAATGATAGTTAATCTAATAAACCAACTGTTTTATTTTAATAACATAAATAATTGAGTGTATAATTATACAAAATTAATAAACAATTAATCAGTTGGCTTTTTGGATAAACTGTCTACTTATGTCGTAATTCTGAGCTGTTATTAAAACCAAAGAAATCTATTTTAAATATCATTGTATGAGAATATATATGTTAAATGTATGAAATAAAAAAAAAAAAAACGAAAAACTGTGGTATATTGTTTTTTATTGTCTTCACTGTATAACGGTATATCGATAGGAATAAAAGAAAACATAACAAAAAATAATAACAATTTAATTAACAATAACAACAATACTGTGCAAATAATTTAGCCCTAAAGCGCACCAAGTAGGATTTTTAATTACATATGTTAACAGTCTTTCATATAAATGTCACAGAAATACATTTTTTTTATAAGTTGTATTTAAATACATATGATTGAAATAATATAATTAGTAACATTTCATATTTGAAAGAAAATAAAGACGTAGCTGATATATGATAATGATTTGTGATAGATAAGAAGTGAACAGATGATAGTGAGGTGAAAAATAAGGTAAATTGAAAATTTATTAAAGCGTAATGAAAAGAAAAACAGTAATGAGAGCTCACAAACAAATAATAAGCATAGAGAGAGAGAGAGAGAGAGAGAGAGAAAGAGTATTATGTAAAATGAAAAGTAGTTACAAAATAGATTTTAGGAATTAAAAGTAAAAAAGCATAGAATAAATAGTCAAGATGTAGGACAGATTATAAAGTGTGTAAATAAAGAATTAGAGGAAGGAATTAAGTAGAAAAAATTTAAAGAAAATAAATTAGGTGACCATTGAAAACATAGAAGAAAAATAATTATAAGTATGTAAAGAGTATAGTATATTATATAGATATAGTAATGTCGAGAAAGTAAATGTAGGAAATAGAGTAGAAGAAAAATGAAAATAAAAGAAACATGACTTTAAGAAAAAAATAAGAAATATATTTTGGAGAAAGAGAGAGAGAGAGAGAGATGTAAGTGGCTTAAGAAAGTGTTTAATAGACTTTAATAAGTTTAAGTTAGGTAAAATAATATTTTAGAATAAGTCTACAGAAATAGAAAGATTAAAGAACAAGAGATATAGAATATTGTTGATAAGATATGAGAGATTTAAGAACAAGAAGGAAAAAGGAATAGAAAGAATAAAAGAAACAAATATAGTTAGTTTAGAGGTAGAACAAATACTATTTTGCAGAAAAAATAACTATACAGCTTAAGAAATATAGAAAAGAAATTATTAGTAGAAGAAAGGAAATTTTTATGCATAGTATATGCATTTAGAGTGAAAATAGACCTGTAGAAGAAAAGTTGGTAGAAAAAATATAAATAAAAGAAAATATGAATTTTATAGTAAGGATATAGAAAGAAGTCAAGCAGAAGAATAAAAGGCAGAAAAATAAAGAATTAAGGGGACAGTACAAAAAGCATTTATATTGCATTATATAAGATTAAATCGGTGGGCCAAATACGTATCGTTCCAGGTTTAAATCATAATTACTAACTAAGCAAAGTCGCTATTTTGTAAGAATCAAATTATACTTCTGCGCAACAAGGTTAGCGTTCATAATTCGTACCACGTATTCCACCTTTCGTAATGTCTAAAGTTTAATAACCAGTTCCGTATACATAATTTTTGTGATATAATATCGATTTTCCATTTAACATCTGGCAAGTTGTTTTCTACAAATTTGCTGCTGTTACCTGCTTCAAGCCTCATGGTATCCAAATTTCAAGTGTCAAATGTATGTACGAGTACCTTGTATCGATTTGAATGGCAAAAATTATTTTCTTTGCTTATACTTTAAATCAGCTTAATGAATTAATAGGTTCAGTAGAATGATAAGGAAAAATAGCCAAGAAATTCTGTAATACTGTAGTATAGTATAATGAGAGTAGTAGAACAGTATAAGTTGGAATGAATGAAAGAGAAGAAGCAAGAATGACGGTTGAAAGAACGATGAAATGAGTTAGATTATTAGAATGTGAAAGTGGAAAGATGCAGAAAAGAGATTTACATTTATCACGATCAGATATATCGTATATTGCATTTATGAAACGAGTTATAAAAGTGAATAGAGTAAGATAAAACGTAAGAAAATAGTTTGAAGAATGAGAATGAAGAAGCTGAGGGAAAAATGAATTAATAGAAAATATAAAGTGAAATAAATTTTACAAATTGAAAGGAAAGCTGATATATTGTTTGAAGGGGAAATTTTTTTATAACGAATAATGAAATATAATAACTTGATTATACGGAAATAGAATTAAGATATGTGATTAAATTTAATTACTAATAATAGGTTATTATAAAATTAAAGATAAGATAATTAGATGAAGTATAAAGATGAAGGAGTAAAAATTAATTTAAGAATTGCGAAAGATACAAATAGTGAAGATAAAGTTAAGGTTTGATGAAAGGAAATAAAAAAAAAACATAAATAGATATGTAGAAAGTAAATATAATATGAGATAGAGTAAGAAAATGAAAATAACTGAATTAGCGTAAAATGTAAATTTTTGCTCATGTCATTATTAAATAAACTAGAATACAGAGAAATAGAATTAAGTTGAAAATTAATAATATAATGATGCTCTATTTTGTATGAAAAAGATATATAGATAGAGTATGAAGATAAAGTATAGTAAAGATTACGAAAAAAGAAATAAAGTAGAATTAAGGATATAAAGAGATAAGAACAGCTAATTTAAGTTTTCATAAGGGGAAAAAGAAATGAAAATACTTTACTAAGATAGAAATCCAACCAACCAAGAAAGAAATACAATTTGTAGTGCAAGAATTGAGGAAAAATATAGATTAGTTTATATAGAAACAGAATGAAGACCAAAAATAAACTATTAAAACAAAATATTGGAATAAAATAAATATTATAAAGAAATAAATAATAAAATAAAAATAATAGATACATTATATAGACAGAGTAAAAAGATGAAAGGGAAAATAGTAATAACTGAAAGATAGTAAGCAAAATGGAAGATGCATATAGAGAGGAAAGTTTATTTATCATAGATTTAAATAAATAGAAATATAGAGAGAAAATATAATGTATTTAATAAATAGAGCAAGAAAATGAAAAATGCTGAGTAAGTATAAAAGATAAATTAAATAATAGAATTATAGAAATATTTTGATAATAATAACAGAGAAAAGATTTTTAAATAACGATATAGATGCTTAAGGATGAAAATTAATGTTGTGATAATGTAAACGTGTCTACATGATGAATGATGAATGAAAAGGTTAGATAGATTGGTAAATGTATACACGATTCAATATGTTGATACACGCTGTCATATTTAAAAGAGAAGTTTATTATAAAGTCCTCGAAACTGACAAACTTACATGAAGAAGAAGATATGTAAAAGTGTATAAAGAAGATAGATGTATGTAGAATTGGGAGAAGAAGTAAGTTAGAGTAGGATAGAAGCAGATAATGATAAATAGAATTAAAAGTAGGAGTACTGATGCAAGTAAGAAATAGAAATATAATGTATATTAGAATTGTAAATTCTTTGTGAATATGTTAAAAGTATAAAATTACAAAATGTGAGTAATAGGAGTATGAAATATAAGTAATACATATAATAGGAAATATAAGTAACAGAAGAAAAATTAATCATGAAAGTAGATGAAATGAGAGATGTAGATAAAGATACGAGTATATAGAGATTTTTGGAACTTGCTTCTCTTTCTGGCGTATCAGCATAAAGGGAATATACATCAAGTCAATATACATTTAAGATATATAATATACATTTTTAAAACGGAAAAATGCTATTATATCATTCAGGACTACATAGATTTATTGTTCATTTTATGAAAGTATAATGATGATGATAATGCAATGAATAATGTGTGTTTGTTCGGTATTTAGATCATAGAAAATTATATAAATTGTACAGTTAAGAAATAACAGAAGGTAAAAGTGTAGCAAGCAAAGTAACAAGGGAAAATAAAAAAATAAGAGCACTACTAAATATCTAGTTAGAGACATGATAATAAATGGCGAGACTAGTTTTTGAGTTTTGCTTTTAAATGAATGAAAATGTGACAAATGCAATAATGAAAATATAGGAAAATAAGCAGAAAGTAGTAAGTAAGTAAAGTGCATGGCTATGTATATAGAATAAGTAGAAAAGTAATAGAAATTATATATAAATAAATATAAGAAAGCACACACAATCACTTATCATATGCCAAAAAGTGTACAAGGCGAAACAGGAACATCTATGAAAAATTTGGTTAAGAAGAAATATTGCTAAGAAAAAGTATAGAAGTAAAGTAGCAAGTGGTAGAAGCTATAAACTATGTAATATGGTAAACTAAGAAAATAAAAATGAATTAAGAGTTAGTTGAAAAGTATATAAAGAAAGAGAATAGAATACTGAATAGAATAGAATAGAATGAGAATAGAAAACTATGTACTGTACCAATTTAGGTACAGTACATAGTTATTAAATACTAGCGTATAATAGATTTCTAAGCTTGCTAATAATATGTACTTTAATATAGATTTAAACAAATAAACCAAGTGAACGATAAGAATAAGAAAAAAAAGTACAAGTAAGATAGTAAAATAATAATATAAAATTAATAGAAATAAACTTTGATTTCAAGGCGTACTATAATAAATAATTATATTGATTTGTACGTATTATATAAAGGTCATGATACTAATAAAAAGGAATATTTAATACTGCTAAATATACTTTAATATATTCATGAGTCATGATAGAAATGATGCGAATGACATGATAATTTTGTATAAACGGTAATAGTTGCGTCATACAAGATAAAACAAGATGTAAGTATTGGAAGGTGAGAAGTGAGTGAAAGTAACAGGTATTGTTAGTTAAATAAGCCATAGTGATAGCAATGAAGTTATGAAATGAAACGAAGGTGAAGATAACAGTCATATTTATATTTAAAAACAACAATAAATTATACATGGTAGAGTTGTTAACACAATATTTGTCAAAGATGAAGAAATTATAAAGAATTATACGTAAAAGCTAGAATGAAGCAGAAGGAAGAAAAGCGAGAAAGTAACAATAGTCCTAAAGCATAGTTAGGTGACAGAAACTGATTAAGTAATAAAAAGCAAAGGTGTAGGAAGGATTTTACAAACATTGTAATGACGAATATAATAGTGTGGCAAGCAGTTGAGTAGCGAAATGTATGGAATCAGTACTTTACTACCATGGTGCGTATCACAGTGTTCTTTTGAAACTTATAACTAACGAGGAACTTTTATTCAGTGAAATGTGTGCGGAATTAACCGTTTTGAACAAATGTGCGGTAATTCTGCTCGACACCTAAATTAGGTATAAAATCACTTTCAAATAATACTGTCTTTGGTAATATTTGGAATATCTACCTCCAAATCCTTAACTTTGTTCTATAATCAAGTGCTTTAGTCATGTGCATTTCTAGTATTAGATCTATCTATATATTGGCTAAGTTTGGCTCATTACTTTCTGTAACCAGAATGATCATCATGGTTATTAATGGGGTAGTCGGCGTACCATCCAAACGCACCTTGGTCCCCGGTGTGGGCACCAAAATCAACGTACTCTCCGAAGTCGGGAGGCCTCTCAGCAAGGTGTGTATCAGCTCCCATGGTGGCTGCCCCAGCGATGTCCTGAGGCTGCTGTTGTACTCGAAGCAGTCTAGCTGGCTCTGTTTCAGGTGGTGACGCTAAGGCTAGTCCTGTAATAAAAAAATATCGTAAAATTAGTAACCAATACTAAAGAATGCAATTGTTATACAAGTATTAAAGTCTATAACTAAAGTTGAAGATGTAAGAACACGAATTGCAAAGAAATGGGTTACTTGGCTAGACTATCTGATGAAAGATTAATTAAAAGTGTAACAAGATAGTGGCCTATTGAGATATATAGAGCACGAAACACATCACTAGTTAGATAGTCGGACGATCTTGTCGAAGTGGTTGACAAGAGATGAATGATATTTGTATACTACAAAGTACGTAATCGGTCAGTAAAGCCGAGGCCTATTATCAACAAGAGTGGATGTAAACTTGTATAATGACGCTGATGTAAGAAAAATATGCTCACGATTATAATCCCTAATGATAATGATGATTTAGGTATAAATTACAACTTTCATTTTTCAGCAGAATGTTGTCAGTACATTGATAGTTCTAAATATTATATAATGAAGTAAAAAGTATCATAACTAGATTTCGGCTCCGTACTTTCTACTCTACAAGAACAAGAAAGGAAGTATTGTGCAAGAGCGTTTCAAGTAGACGCAAGAATTCTCAATTGCAACATTAGGTTCATATTGTAGGTCAACTCTGGGCAAATATCAGAATAATATTAAACGTTTATATTAACTGTACAATATGGAAAAGTTTAAAAATTAAATTTATTCATGTTTATAATAATAATAATGTTAGGTAAAATGCAGGCGCAGCGTGGAGTGATCACGCAAATACTAACTCAGAATACCTAATAAGTTGTACTATAAGACCAGTAAATCCTCATCGCGTGTTTATTTTTAAAGAATATTGTAACTGTCTAGTAATGTCTATTCTATTAGATATTAAAAATAGATACGGGAAGGGGGAAACTGTTTAAGTTTACTAATTGTAACTTGACGGTAAGTAAAAGCACGGTTTATTTTTATGTGGGTAGAGTGAGGAACTTGCTTCATTACATCTGTGTCAGCGGTTGCTCTCCATTACGAGTTCAAGGTGTCCAAGTGACCGCTTTCATTTCATAATGATTACGAAATTGCATAAAAAAACAAGAGCAATTAAATTTATAGTAGGTACTGTTGTACAGAACGGATGTTTTACACAGAATTATATTAAATGAACCCAGAGAACAATGGTAGAAAGTATCTGAAAATACTACGTTATCTTTTGTGCATTATTGTAGCAAGTAATTATCTATTGAATGTAAAACATGTTGCGTTGGCATCATATTTATTCATATAGAAAGTTGATCCTTTGTGTAGCAGTGAAAGTGTCGGTGAACTAATCTTGATGGAAGGCCGTGCAGAATGACATTATGGATTCATCTTTTCCAATATTTCACAAGTCGCGGATCAACCGGCGATACATAACATTGACCTCATTAAATTATTTACGCTTTCTATAATCAACCTTTGATTTTATTCGTGTTAATCCCTGGGGCATGTTAAATTTGAATTTAATGAATTAAACGTGAGATTTTAGTAGTATTATTATGATTGTTCGTTGGAGCAGAGCAGATTTGCAGTTACTGATTTCTCTATAGATTTCATTGTATTCGAGAAACAATAAGAATATATATTTCACTAATTTAATAAAGTTACAGGTGGATAATGATTGTGCATGAAATATATTTATAAAAAAATGTAAAATACACACACACAAAAACTACTGCATCAAATTAAAGGCGATTTTCACTGTTGTTTTCCTGAAAGTCTAACTTAAAAACTAGTATTGCTATTTCTGAAATCTCTGCGGACGGTGTAGTGGGTAAAAGCTAGTACAGTATCAAAAGAAAGTATATACGATTGATAGACATATCTATTGACATACAAATTATATAATATATACCATGGAACTATTATATGGACATAATGTTTTTATGACACTTAAAATGGCTAACGAGCTGACGGTCCACCTAATCAAATGTGGTAACAGTCACCTACAGACATGAATAGCACCATAGACATTAGAGAATATACTATTTTTTCCATGGTGCCCCTCTTACGTGTGACGATTATGGTGTTATGTCATCGTACCTTGTAATTTCACTGCCATATCTCATCCTTCAAATTGAAACATAGCCATGTAAGTACAGCTACTTCACGGTACAAACACGTGTGGGACAGAGGTGATGCAAACGACTTTTATACAATGTCTCTCTCTGGTGGACTTGTACAATATAACTTACCAAGTATGCGCCCCTAATAACTGCATTGTGCCCCAACTAATACAGTGCATCCATCAGAAAAGGCATCCCGTCACCCGTATCCAATAGCGAGGATGGGATGCCTGAACAAAGCACCATTAACACTAAAAAAACTTACCTTGTTGCTGATAATGCTGTAACGGTTGTAATTGTTGAAGCGGTTGCAACTGCTGCAGCGGTATAGGTTGGTAGTCCTGTTCGTATAGGTTTGGTAGTGGTGGTGGCGGTGGCGGCGACAGCGTTTGTCGTGGTACCCTGCGCGCGCGCATTTGCGTTAGATCGATGAAGGCGATCTGGTCGGCTGGCACCGCGATGTACGATGGCATTGCAGTGGTCACAGCAGCTACCGCCGCGAGGAATATAAGGTGCTGGAAAAGAAAGAGAATTGAGTAAAAAATGACAATTGTAATCAAAGACGACGCTCGTGGTGCTGTGGCAGGCCCGTTGCTTTGCGTAAAAGAACTCCGAGCTCAATTCCCAGTTAAGTCAAAGGTCTGAGTGTTCTGGGTTGTGTTACCTTATGTCAATTATATGGTTCCTTATAACATAGAATATCTCAGTTTGAGGACCAATCAATTGGTGTGATTATGTGGTACTTATTATAAATATTTGACCGTATGGTCGAGTCACAGAATAGGCCAGCTCTTCCTTTCCAGTTGGTATCGTAAGTGGCGACTAAAGGAGCGTATGGTGGAGGGATGGGCAGCAGCTTCCCATTTAAAACATCTCTAAAGCTTAACTGCGGTTGTGAATCCGCCTGCCAAGCGTGGCAACTACTGGCAAAACCCCCCCAGAGGGGGAGGCTTATGTTCACCAATGGACAGTTAAGGCTGATAGGATGATGATGATGATTACAAGTATTATTATAGATACAGTAGGTAGTAATATTTTTTCGACCTTGTGATGAACGGAACGCTCTACACACATTGGCTAATTGGTATTTATTATAGTTATTTCTTGTTACTATTGCAGTAATAGAATCACTCGAATAAAATGTAATAAAATTGTGTAGGCCAAAAGGCTGTATCAACATATATGTTTATCACGAAAATTAACTAAGGGGGCTAAATATTAATAGTGTTCATCATATCAGCCTTTAACTGGCCACTGATTAATATCCCCCCCACATGGGGGGTTTAGCCTGTAGTTGCCACGCTTGGCAGCCGGATTCGCAACCGCAGTAAGGCTCTGGGATGTTTTAAGAGGGACGCTCATCCCTCGCTCTTCCTTACTCGCCTCTTACGACACCCACGAGAAAGGAAAGGGTAACCTATTCTAAGCTGGGACCTATACGGCCTCACTAGTGAATTAATAGTGTAACATTAGTATTATTGTATGTACATTTGTTAGATCTGAGCTATTTTACTACTATAAAGATATTTCTCAATTAGAATGAAATCTCGAAGGACCATTTCTATATTTGTCTATGGTATTCAGCCAGAAATATCTGTTTGTAAATACTGAGATGTGAACCCTAGCTGGTAATTGAGCTCATGCAACATATGTGTTACTTCATATCCAAGTATTAACAGCGCAATAAGTTAACTATGCCACGAGAAGTATCTCAGGGCTGTCTATATGATTAGATAAAAGATAAAATGAAAAAATCGAAGGACTCGTATATCTATCGGAGTGGATTTATATCTTTCTTTATGGATTTTTTAAAAGGTTCTTATCTCTACAACGGTTTTCATATTTGAGTTATCGATTGCGTTTGAACCTACTTATAAGTAAATTGAATAAAATACAATCTAATAAAAAAAAAAATGAAATTAATAGCTAATGAGTAAATTTTTACAACTTCCTGACATGAGGGTGTAGGTATACAAATAGGGTATAAAAGTCTTTATTTGGGTACCTCTGTCCTATTTGCTTTTTTACCATGAAGCAGTTGCGTTCGCATAGATGTGTTTTGGTTTGAAAGGTGGTATATGGTAGTGAATTTACAAGGTACAGAGGTAAATAATACCTTAATCTTCAGGAATAGCAACGCATGGGAAGTATTATGGGTGAAACAGTATACTCTGTTATGTCCATGATAGTGTTCATGTCTATTAGCGACGGTTACCACTTTCCATCAGGTGGGCCGTCAGCTTGTTTGCCATTCTAAGTTGCATAAAAAAATGTATGGTAGAAATAAGGACAGAAAGTAATAAATGTACTGACAACCCTAGCTATTAGTATATCAGGCTACATTTGGTTCGGCAAGCGTCTCGTGGTTGTGTAACGGTAATTGGATTGGAACTCACGCTTGCCATTGCATAAAGACACGGGTACTCAACTGTTGCAAAGTTCATTGTTTTTGGTAAAAATATAATCACAGTTAAGAGCCTTCATGGCTTTAGCTTGAAGAAGTATGGCAACGTCGCAATTATCTGTCAATTACGAACAATATTTAAAAAAATATTACTATTAAAAAATGGTAGCAAACTAAAACATTAATCATATTTATTAAGCTCTCGTTAAAAATATTAGATTTAGATGTCATAAAGTATTTGATCAATTTCGAAGCAAAATACGAGTAGATGGGAAAGTTTTTAGTAGTAAATTTGTTGTACAATATATTCTATGATTAATGTTTTAGTTCGTTATTGAAGCAATAGCTGTGTTTCTTGCCCATTCTTCTCAGCTCAAATTTCATTTTGAACAGGACAGTAAACGTATTAAAAAAGCTATTAAAAGTGCTTATTATTAAGTTTACTTGAATAAATTATATATTGTTATTAATATCAGAGCATTTTTTAAATAATCAATTAAAAACGATGCTGCGACGTTGCCACATTTCGCCAATGTTCTTAACGTGATCCTCTATATTTTATACCAAGTCTCGAAAAGCAGTTCCAGTTCGGCCGCCTAATTCTTCTTAATATTATAAACGTGAAAGTGAGTTTGTTTGTTTGTTACTTTAACGGCTTGACTTAGCACTATGAAAATGAAAAATACGTATGTACTATATGGGATGGTAAAGAACATAGGCTACTTTTTATCCTGGTCCTTGAACACTTTATACTATAATACTAATTTATACTAATACATATTGCTTGATATAAAGAATATATTGTTATTATTATTAATTGTCAATAATTAACTGCATTTATTTAGAAATAAAATTTTGGTTTTTCTACAAAACATAATTGACTCCGGCTAACTCGTAGTAGTTTTTGAGTTGACCATCTTTGTCTATGATATCTCTAGTTGTCTATGTTGTTTGTCTACTGATACATTTACATACTCTGTGACTTAAATAACAGTGTTAATAAGCTGTAATAAGTATTATTACCGACAACTTGAATACTAACTGAAGTTTTACATGCATCTGTGAATTACTTACAACGGATACGCTCAGAGATTTAATGATATAATTGCCTTTCAAGGAAGCCAACATAATAGGTACTTAAAACTTTCTCCAGAATGTTAAGAAATGTCTATAGTACTAACATTTTAATGTTATAAATGTATAAGTATAAGTAACACAGGTATGAATAGAGTAAGATTTAAGCGATTTACAAAGAAATGATTGCTCAATTCTTTGGAGTTTTTTTTCGGCACAATTACGCGATTACGCTGCAAATTTTAAACGGATTTTTTCAATTCTTTTTGCAATCGATAGAGGTATTGTTTGTTTTATATTTTGTGATGAATAAATTTTGAAACAAAACGCTATTTATTGTGAAGAGTCTTCTTGTATAAACTGTTTTAAAAAAAAGAATCAATGAATACAAACAAATAATAATAATCCGACTAATTAAAAATATCTTAATAGATTTAATATTTAAATTATTTTAATGTTTCGATTTGATTAAGAGAATGTTTCTGTGATAACTTCAACCAAGCATGGTTACATAAAATATTTAAAAAATTTAATCTTCCACAAAAAAGATGTTATAATAAATACCTGACCGGTATCGCCGTTAGGAGTATTTTCTCAGTTACCTTATTATTAAGTTCTATTGAAACAAGTTTTGTATATGCAATTCCATGACCTTTATTAAAATATTAAAAAAAAAACCATTTCTTCTTTTATCGATATATCATCATAATATCAGTTTTTAACTGTCCACTGTTGGACATAAGCCTTCGCCTAGGTGGGTTTTGCGAATAGTTGCCACGCTTTACGGACACCCACGGGAGAAAAGAGGGTCGGTGCCTTTCCTATTCTATGCCTTTCTCTTCATGGGAAAGGAAGGAGTGGCTATTCTATGATGGGACTACATGATACAACTAAATTATTGTATATATTTATTGGTACATATATATTCATTATTGATATCTCTTTTTTGTAGAACGAAATATATCTACTAGTTGTTATCAAATGCTCGTGTTGCAATAAGCTTGGTACCTATACAATGTGCGTAGGCTGTGAAAAATTGGTACAATACAAAGGTCTGCTGTTGGTATTGGACGTGCCGCCCACTAATCTTGCCTGCCCACACAAGCCTTTCGTTTCAATAAACCAATAATTTTAAATGTCAATTTTGTACTTATGAATGTTTCATCACAAAGTCAGGAGTATAAAGTTAAATACATGTATCTGAGGTAATTTGCAATAAGTATTTAATTACGATCATTTGAAATAATTATGCAAGTATTAATTGGTATAATATATTTGTAATTTAATAGATATCTGTTATATATTTAATATTTCAACATTGATAAATATAAAGATCATGACATAAATTCATCGATGCCTGTAAGTACTTTATATATGTATATATATACATATATATAGGTGGTAACACTTACTAGAATGCTACAAAAACTATCTTAGTATTGTATCAATTTTGTTACGAAATAAATATTTTTTTCACTTTTTTTTTCACTTTATATATATCATGACATTAAGTGGGAATGGTAATAAATTTTAAAATACATAAGTTGATCTAATGAGTAAACAATACAAAGGGTATAAATGGAACGCCTATCCCTAATAGGCGACATCTATCATATATGATATGTATAATTATAGTATCTATAAATTAGCAAATTAAAAGATTTTGGTTATTCAATGTACAATATTGAAATGAAGAATCTGATTGAAACAATATTATTAATAAAACACATCCTTACTAAAATAATAAATGTATAAAAATGAGCTTATTTGTTTGTTACTCTTTGATTTCTTAACGGTTCAAACCGTCAGCAAGAAATTTGACACGTAGGTACTATTTGGAGACTAGATGGAGAAAAATATTGGCTACTTTTTATTTAGGTGAAACAATATATCTCGTTCACACAGCCGAAGTCGCAGGCAATGACCAGTATATACACAAAATGTTGTCAAACATATAGCAATTTTCAAATTCGTTACGTTGTCTTCGAAACGATATTGTACCTACATCGCAATAGGCGCTAAGTGAGAACCTAATGCAACTTACATGTCACGATTTACTTTCAAATACTTGTTGTTATAAAGGGAAATTACTTTATGTAACCGATTTGTCGCGTTACTTGTGCTAACTATTTTTGTATGTCTATAGTTACGTTTGCGGATAACGTTTAGAAAGTTTAGCAAACACAATTTCATGGCTTTATAAATGTTGCAGTTATACATTTGCATTGGAGTGAACGCGATCAAAAATCAATGAAGCGGTTAATGAAGGCTGTATTTAAAAGACTGAAAATAATGAAAAAAATACCTAATATTTTGTAAAGGATGCTAAAAAGAAATCACGTGGTTAAAGTTAAATAAAAAATGGACGATGGAGTTTTTTAAAAAGGAGGTTTCTTCAAGGTTGGCAACATATTTCTGACATTCCTTGTGTTCGAGTTATAAGTATGCATAAGCTATGATAACCTTTTACCATCAGACGTGCTCATGTTTGTGTCATGCCAACCATATTGTTAACTATGTCGCTCAAAAAATGTTAAGAACAAGTTATTGCAACAAAGTTAGGCACTTACGAACTTTATAGTAATATTTAAGTATAATAATTAATTAAGATACATATTTTAACATTTTGTGCACTAGTTAAACGCGGAAATAATGAACAATAAAAACCATTTTCAATGTAGAGTAATTTACCTCAATTCAGTACAACAATATTTTGTATTATATGTACCTACTTATATATAATATATATTTGTTCTACACGAATGCGCCCGTTCCTGTTTACCTTGTACACACGGGTTCCGCCAGAGAAAGGTCTTATTCCTTTCAATGCCATTTAACAATATATACCTAGTGATAATAATATAAATAGGACATGATACAGTAACTACTTTATTTCCGTCACCGCCAAAACCAAGGTTGAATTGCTCGCAAGAAGCGAGTGTGACTTTTATGAATTTTTGTACGCGAAATCTACATGAACTTGGTATACTCAGTTCTTTATTTTTTATAAAAGGAATTCTAGTTTTCATATAGAAATATAACTTTAATGTCTGTTTGCCAATTTTAATTTAATTCCGTTCAGTTGATAAGCGATTTGTGTTACATAATGAAAGATCGAATTGCAAATAGTTATAGACATATTATCATACTTTCACTTTGAATTACTGATATTCTGGATTATTTTTTTATGATTATAAATGGCTGTTATGAATTAATTGTTTTTTTTTTTTTTAATTATCAATATAAGATTAAAAAATAAAATTATCGGGTTTTACGCTGCAAATTAACTTAATATATAAAAACTCATTTTACGTGAGTATAGTAAGAGATGATTAAGAGTACTTCATGGTCGAGAATTTCATGGGCAACAGCGACACGCTTAAAACATCACCAAAGCCTAACTGCGATTATCAACCCAAACCAATGAGTGCCAATAACTGTCCACTGCTGGACATAGGCCGCCCCCATAAGGTTTTGCCAATAGTTGCCACGCTTGGCACGCGGATTGGCAAACGCAGTTAGGTTTTGGTCATGTTTTGCCCACCCCTCGACTATTAAAGGAAGGAAAAGAAAGGAAGGGAATAAACTACTATTTATAAATATGAAAGTGAGTTCGTTTATTTGTTACGTTTTACCATTTTAACAGCTCAACAAATAGTTATAAAATTTGGTATACATTTACAATTTGGAGTAGAGAAATACATGGGCAACTACTGATCCAGTCATTTAACAACTTATCCTTGTCACGTGAACGAAACCGCGGGTTAAAGACTAGTATAAAAATATATAAAAGTTTAAATTTAACCTTATTACTCCATATATAATTAATTTTATCCGGCTATCAAAACAATAGTTCTAGATATGTGGTAATACCTAATGTTTTGTTTAAAATTGAACGCATGGCCTTGTTCGTTTGTTCGTTTCACGCTCTGTTTAATAACAGTTATCGAATTAATTAACTGCAACGTGTAATTAGTCAGTTTTATAGGTCAACAAGAAACATTTGCATGCATATTTTACTCACTTCGCTGCTTTTGTTTGGTGTCACCACAGAAAAATATGTCTCTACTAGTTTTTACTCGCGACATAATTGGGGTATTTTTACTGACTGAGATAAAAATTCTCCCTCTACGCATATATATATATATATATATTCAGGCAGGTGGCCGGTCGTAAAACTACCAAATCTTTTTGTAATATGGATAAAATCATATTACGCCGACCCCAAATGATTGGGATAAGGGTAGGAAGATGATGATGATGATATATATAGTACGTGTATACCAAATTACATAGTGATTGCTTAAGCATTTAAGGCACTAAGACACAAATAAGCAAACCCAATTTTACATTTATATTTTTAAGAATTACTATATAGAATAAAGGAATAATACAAATTATATGCCATTACCATTTATCCGACTTTCTACAAAACGAGCAATTTTTTCAGGTGTAAATTCGTATATTTAGTAGGTACAGAACACTTTTTATTGTCGTCTTCACCATCATTGCCACGATGGCAAACAAGCATACAGCTTGTCTGATGCTAAACGAACTATGGCCTATGGCCGTCTGCAATATTAGGGGTGTCACGTGCGCATTTTTGACACCGAAGAAAATATACCTTTTGTGAAGAATCCCATACGGTAGTCTCTAGGAAAAACCTCGATAAGGTATTCATTCCACTAATAATGATAAGAACTTTATTATTTATTATTATTAGGTTATTAGGTGCATATATATAAATATTTTAATATAAAACATAAGTTAGTACCAAAATGACTACATTGTTAATAAATATAATGACAGTCGACAACAAAAACAAGCACTCCAATCATTGGTCCTTCGAGCCGGATTATATGTCTGTTTACTACTTGCAGATCTCTGGCGCAACGTTTTTATAGATTTTTATAAATGCAGTATTATTTATTTATATTTATTAATTTAAATTACACGACAATGATATAAAATATCATATAATAATATATAATAAAATGCCTATTTATCATCTACGTATAATATCATAGATAACATTTTTCAATGTATACGAAAAAATTTTAAATAGTTTTAAACTTTTTACGAGAAATTCTTCAATTTTGATAAAATTTGCGAGATCATTATAATAAATCTTAGAACAGGAATCTAATAATATAAAATTTGATTAAAACAATCAAATTTGTCCACCAACTGGCGTAGAGATCGTGTAACATACGCACAAAAAAAATCAAATAAGAACCTCCTTTTTGCTAAAAACTATACTCACAACTGTAAAAACTGGCAGGTAATAAAAAAGAAATACACCATAGATTAAACATAGAGTAAGTATATCACGAAGAAGTTGAAACTTACATAAGTATGTCTACTTAAAAAAACAAACACAACTGAAACGAAAGTGAAATTGGAATTATGGAACTGACCATTGTAGTGTGTAGTTGCACTGGTAACAGGCACTTATAGCGCGCTCGCCTCAACTGAGCTCGCTATAGTTGCTGCTACAATTTTTATAGCAATCTTTCGACAAAGCAGTTTCACTTTCTACTCGAGTCCGGTCCAACATGATCCACTTTTTTACGGTTGCCATCGTGTTGGAGCCTTTAATGGTAAACAAAGACCGTTTCAACCCCGGGCGTGGCGTGAAATCTTTGCAAAATTACAGGCGTTCGCCATTTTCTGCAAAGGTTATTTTACTTTATGACTGATCGGTATAATTCCTCTGTTTAAGTTGTAAAACACTTAATAGACTATTTAGCAATGTGAATGTTTACTTCACTCGGATATCTGACGGTTTTAAAATGTTAAATCTACAACTACTAGTAAAAATATATATTTCATACATATATTTTTATGGAACTTAATTCTTGTTATTATTAATATAAAAAGTAATTTATGTTTTTTTTTTTGTATCTATTCTGTTAGAATAATAGGCAATATCAGAAACTATTATCAGATTCTGTGCGTTACAGCATCGCAATAGCATTTTGACAGCTACTTTTTGCAGTATTTAATTGACTTCAAAAATGTACGATGCATGTTCGACTGCATATTTTTTTATATATGTTTACCGATATGTTTGTAGATTTTTTCATCATTGTAGACCAATTTTTAAAGTTTTTTTTTACTACTACATTGTTATTTAGTCAGATTTTTTAAGGAGAAACATCAAACTAAACTTTATAACTGTGATTTCAATTTCGATTCCCTAGAAAAGCAGATGACGTAATATAGAAAAAAAAAAACATTTTTAAAATTGTCTATATCTTGTAACAATCTATACTTTAATTTGTACTTTATGCTACTGTATTTCACTTAAATTTGAATTTTGAATGTTCACGGGAAATGTATTCCATAACTGTGCAGCACGGAATGGAAATGAAATACCCATAAAATAAGGTGTTTAAATATGTTTTAATATGTCTATAATGTCACACATCCGTTCTGTTAAATGTGTTATTTAACCGTAATTAAGTCAGTGGCTTTTAAAATTTATTACCTGAAGTACCAAATAGACCGTTTAAATAGTTGATAATAGGTTTAGGTATGTATACATTAAAACTAGAATAGCTTTAAAATGGAATACTTATGTATATTGACACAATTATAATCAAGGTCTTATATAATAAACAATTAACTTGAAAAATCTAATATAAATAAGATACATTTAAAATTCACTTAACTCTTATTGCCAATGGTGACTTAGTATAATGTTTAAACGGTCTTATGTTTTTATTTATAGCCAGGAATGTCAAAATAACTAACTCTATTAAAAAATAAATAAAAGACAAGATCAAAAGAGATATATATAGTTATTTATTTATTAGTACAACACATCATCGACACCGCAAATTATACTGTGCTATCCATTGCAGATGATATTCATGAATAAATGAGCATTTATGATAGTTGTAATAATAAAGTAGTTATTTTATATCTAGAGCAAACAATAATGCTTATATGAGACACGGAAACCAGTAATGGCTTTTTTAATAAAAATAATAAATGTAAGCCTCAGCTAGTTCTCGAAAGCGGCAGCATCAGGCTCTATTGGGACCGATTTATCATCACGGACAGTTCCCGCGAATAAAACTGATATCGTGGTGATAGATCGGGCACTTTGGAGGGAGTTTTGGTGGATGTCACTATACCGCATGACGAGAACGTCGTGCAAGCTTGCATTACAAAAGCATGAAACTTGGCTCACGAAGTGACCAAATTCTGGGGAATGATGTCCACCGAAATCCATTTTAATCGTTCTATCGACGAGACGGTTGGGATTCCGAGGCGGTAATCAGTCTGGAACAACATCTCAGACGGTTGAAGTTCCGAGACAACGCACTCCTGAAAAAGATGCAGAAAGCGGTGCTTTTGGATATTGTTCGTGCCGGTTTCTCTCCCTGGGGCCCTGAACTCCGGCCGGTTGCACTTTTGCTGGAGGTTAGTTTGCCATCTCCTCCCCATAAGGGGGAGATTTGAATTTAAAAGAAAAATAATAATAATAATTTTTATTTGCTTAAACACGGTACAATGAAAGATGTTATATTAATAAAAGGACGATTGTGTTTAGCTAACAGTGTGATAGCGAAAAAAAATTTTTTTTGCAACACAGGGGGCAAACGAGCATGCGGCTCACCTGGTGGTAAGTGACTACCGCCGCCCATGATCACCCACAATACTAACGGCATTGCAGGTGTGCTGCTGGCCTTTTAAAAAGGAATATGCTTTTCTCTTGAAGGTTATGATTAACAAAGCATATGTTTATATCAACTTAAAATACATGATAACATGGTTATATAACTTTTATTTAAGATATTCTAATTGATTGGTTAATTACATTTGTCTCATTCGTGTTTCTACCGTGAAGCAGTTGTGTTTGCATGGCTGTGTTTCGGTTTGAAGGGTGGGATATGGGGTGAATTTACAGAGTACAGAGGAATAACACCTAAATCCTCAGGAATGGTAACGCATGGGGGGTATCATGGGCGAAACAGTATACTGTTATGTCCACGGTATTGCTCATGTCTATAGGCGACGGTTACCAATTTCCATCAGGTGGGCCGGCAGCTTGTTTGCCATTCTAAGTTGTATAAAAAAAAAACATTTCCAATGTTTTATTTACAAATGATTCATTCCTAACAGTAAGATTACTAATGTTACTGTGTAGAAATGGATCACCCGATATTGCATATAATAATTACGAATATCCGTTCAGTCATAGAAAAAACAATAATAGCGTGTTTTATGTGGCTATAGTTTCTATAGCCAGTGTGAATTGACATTAATAAAAAGTCACGTCAGAATTGCTAGTTGGTACCCGCCTTGTTCTTAGCTGTACCCGCAATTTTGTCTATAGAATCCTGCTACAGTATTAAATGTGAAATGTTGCAAGGTTGATATGGGTGTTCAATATATCTTTGCCGAAAAAAATAACAAAAGCTTAAAACTATCTTAAAGATCTTAGATAGAGCATCATCATAAACAAATTTTTGTAAGATAATTGTCAAATTAGCTGACTTGTTTTTTTTTCATTAATTTTCTATATACTTACGCACACAATGTATGTATATTGAGATATCTATTAATTATTTAATAAATAATTCGCGTTTTCGCGCATTAAAAAGGTGATGAATTTATAAAACAAAATAAATATTGAAGTTATAAAAGGTTATCACTCATTTATCATGCAAAATTGTACAAAAAATTTGACCTGTTTTTCTCGAAGCATTTGTATGGAGACACTGTTTATATAATCTAAGCTTAAAACATACGATATTCTGTATAATAATTACTGCCTTGTTTTTGTTTTTACACATTAATTAGAGGATAATGGTAATCATAAATTAGTATTCAAGTAATATTTTTAATATATATATATATATATATATATATATATATATATATATATATATATATATATATATATAGCAAATGTTCTTTTTCATGTTATACATATGAGTATTATATTAATTTTATAACAATTTGTTGAACCAGGGCATCTAGAGGTCAGAAACAACGAAATAAATAAATAAACTCATTTTTATAAATAATTTAAAAGTATAATAAATGAAAAAAAAAACCTTTTATTAATTTAATAATAGCAATTAATCGTAAAATTGGTACATATAATGCAATCTGTTATTTCTACTAGAAACTCGTTTCTAAAAAGACATATTTTCAATGTTCATAAAAATGGGAATTTATCAATTTATTTCTTTACGTAGACATTTTTATATATAAGTAAGAACACTACTTGCACATGCTTTTTTCCAAATTTTTACCCAAATTAAAATTTTTGCGCCAACTGTTTTAATACTAATGATAACGATGTTACATTAATCTTTTTTTTATGTTACTTAGAATGGCAAATAGACTGATGGCCCATTTGATGGAAAGTGGTAACCGTCGCCTATAGACATGATAAATACTATGGACATAACAGTATACTGTTTCGCTTATTATACCTCCCATGCGTTGCCATTTCTGAGGACTCATTTTTTAATCCTCTATACCCTGTAAATTCACTGCTATATCCCACCATTTAAACCACACAACCATACAAACACAAAAGCTTCACTGTAGAAACACGAATGGGACAGTGTTGCCCAAGCAAACGACTTTTGTACAAAGTCTCCCACATAATCATAAGTATTTTGACCTCAAAGTTCTATGCAGTCTTGTTTTTGATGAAACTTCAAATAAAACAATTACCTTCATTGTATAATTTGTTATTATTTTTATATTTTGGCCATAGATAATGTAATAAATGGCCATAAAAACTACTAATCTGCTGTTATATCTGCCATGAATATGAATATAATGGCATGTAACTGGAAATTACATAATTTACAATAATTGTCATATTTGGAGCTAGTTGTAATTTAGAACAAATGTTTGCAGTTTGTTATAATAGGCGTGCACACTTCTTCATGGAAACTGATAACTTATTGTGTATGATGACATAAATATAGTAGATCAGCTTCGGTTTTTTTTTTTAAATAGATGATAATGGAATGGTGACCCCGCCTGCGTTATCGGTATACACTGGTGGGGCACAGTGAGGGATGATAGATTATGACGAAGCAGGTCAGTTTGCCCATCGTGACGAATACAACAATAAATCAGTCAGGATGGTTTTCAGAGGGAACCGCGTGTAGGTCGACCTGATAGAGTATATTGCTAGCAATGGCATTGCTAGCAATATACCCATACAAAGTGAAAAATTTTAAAAATTGAATATTTTTTGAGTTAATTCGTAAAAAATCTCTCCTCTTCATAACATAAGGTTAAGATTTCATTTACACATAAATATATTATTAACCTACGTCTACAATGTCAGGGTTGTCACGTGTGCGTTATTGGCCCTGAAGAAATCTTAATACACCTCTTTTTAAGAACTCCGTACTGTAGTTTCTAGGGAAAACCTTGGCACGGAGCTCATTTCTCAGACTAAACGTTCACAGGAGAAAACTCCCCT